TAATGAAATGTGACATAGCAATCTAGATACGGGTAACGGGTATGTTTCAATTTTAAACGTCATTATTAAGATTAACGCAGCAATTGTTTTTTTAGTACTTTCCTCACTAGAGAGGAAAGTTGCATTTTCTTCACCCTTTCTAGAGACGAAAGTAATTGTTTCTAAGGTAGTTTCAGAAAATTATATTTTCTTGTAGAAAGTGTAAATTGTTTAGCACATCGTTGTTCAGTTTTATTCGTTCTCTTCTTGGTTGAATATATCTCGAATATATATTAAGCAATACGGTAGGTTAATCTTCTGTTCGAAGAATAGGGATACGCAACTAACATTTCCCTTGATAAATTAACACTGACGCAAAGAATTTTAAGTACCTATTGAGCAACCTTTCAACATTAAATTCTGCCGACAACTTGTTTTCAGCAAATTAAAATTAGAATTTTCGGCCAATACGGGCTTATAAAGAAGGAAATAAATAATAAACGGCGCCGTTTCACCTGCTTATTTTGATATTCTGCATATATGCAAATGAAAGTAGCGGCGTTAAAGAATAGAATAAAATACGACAGGCGCAAAGAGCTGCCGACTGTTCAATTACGATTTTTATAAATTAATTAATAATGTCACGTCAAGGACCGTCACTCTTTAAACCGGTGCAAATGCGGCTTATCTTCTTATCCCATTCTAGATCGGTTACCGTGCCCTCTGAAAGGCCGATCTACATCTACCGTTTGATATTTTTATCTTTCATAAAAATCTTCTTTCTGTCTCTTCGCGTACATATCATACCAATTGTATACGATTATTTCAAGTAGTCGCTCAGGATAAGATCAGTACACCTTTTGATTTTGTAATACGATATTTTAAATACTTAATAAGGTAGCGACGTTTAACTAAAAAAAAAATGGGACACCCTTTTATTATATCCACTGAAGCCGTATCAAAGAAGCGAATTTACTTTGCCTTGCGAAAAGTCGCGTAATAAGCTACAGCATTTCATTTCCTAAGAAGGAAAACCAATTAAGGCAGAATTTATTTGACGACATGCTTTCTTTGGCCCAAATGCAACATGTACACATCAGTGTGTGAAAAAAATAGGGGTATTTTAAATCAGAATTTTTTAGCAACCCCATTTAGCGGTGCAAATTTTGGATACCTACCATGAACACAATCCACAACTTTTTCATGCAGATCTCTTAATAAATTTTCGAAAACGAACGACTACTGTACCTGATGATGGAAACGAATGTTGGCGGATTGACCTATGTTAGTGATTTTATGTTTCAGGCGCAGTTTTTTCACTGTCAATTTCACCGGAGTTTGTATTATTAGTAACCGACAAGGGGTATATGACAACTTACTTTGCAATCTAAAATCGAGATTATATTAATTAGCTTTTGCAAAGATCGCAATGACAGGTCAGACAAAGGATGTTACACTTAAATGGGTACATCCGTAACGAATTGTTTATTACCGGTACATCGTATTTAGCAATTAGTTGCGGATCTGTGTAAAATTTGTTTGCTATATTAACTGCTTCACTTGGCAGAAGACTTTCAATCAATATGATTTGTGATTCACGTATGTCATTATTTGTATATTTGTTGTTCAGAGTAATAGGAGTAGGTAACATTTTAGGTATCTATATAGATAATCACAATCATAGGTGTTGACTTTTTTGGAACGAGGCGGGATTTATGCACTCAGAAATAACTGCCTTATTACTTTTCAAGTGTTTACCAGATTTTACCTCTCCGGTCACCTTCTGTCACATTACGCATCTTAGGAACAAATGAGTACTTCCTCGTTACTTCCCATATACTTCCCATATACTTCCCTGGACTTCCAGTACTTCCCCGTACTTCCCTGTACTTCCTCATAACTTCCTCCATTCTGTACAATTACTTCCCCTGGTATTTACCCCCTGCTCCAAACTCTTGGTATTATATATTATTAAATTTGCAAATTGAAATTCCAAAATTAACCCAACCCACCAATCAAGAATGATCGATTACCAACTAATTACTGAATCATAAAACAACATGTTGACGCCAAGAAATGACCTCAGTTCTCGCATCCATAACCTGAAACCTGAAGTGGTCCTCTCCAACAACATTCGCGTTTCAAATTTGATCATAACTTAACCGACATAACAAAGATACTGAGGAGTATTATATATATTAGGAGGTATTAACGTTCACAAATTACCTAAATGTAATCGCATATAGGTAACCCTGAAGGGGCAAAATAGATTTCAACTAAGACGCTAAACAGTGACGGAAGTTGCCCCTCATCACCTGGTAACCCATTTCACAGCAAAATCGCCGCTTGTTATCAGCAAGTGGAAAGATAAGTCACCGCGGCGCCGCAGACAATGGTGAGCTTAATCCAAGGTTTCGAAAGGCGTCGAACAGAATCGTATGTAATGTCAGACGTGTCCGGAGCTTTAAGTTGAACATAAACTGGTCCTTAAAGTTGAAGTTAGAGCCGACGATAGGAAAGGAAGAACGCACATGTACCTATATCCTCACTAGGAGTATAAGTAATCCCGTCCAAACTAATTACTTCGGAATCTCCAAATTATGAATCCAATCGCAATCGCGATACGGAACATGGTAATTAAAATTCCATGAGTTCTACCTCACGCTTTCAGCTGTTTGATTAAGGAAAGAAAGGTGAAAGTGGACCACCAATCAAGGCAAAAAAAATACGCCGTCAAATGCGCCGAAAAATGGCGTTGTCAAATTCCATCAATAGATGGAACCATCTATCAAAATCGCTTCAAAAGTTACGAGGATCTTTCAACAAGTAATAAACCGAAATCAATAATAAAGCTTCGTAATCGAGAACACGTTATGCGGGTCAAAATTTTGGATCTCTCTGGGAAAAAATAATCGCTAAAACTGAGTAAACTTCATGTTTGAGTTTTGGATAATTCAGGATCAAAATACAACACAACAAGTGTATAGGATTTTTAAGTACAATAAATGGCAAATGTTTACAATTGTGAAGTGTTGACTCATCAAATATATTTATATCGCGCTCAAAACTTTAATATTCCTTTAATAAAGACTCAGAAGAAAGTTTTAACTATACCAGAATATATAGAAGTCAAGAGATAATTTCACTGATACTTATTTCAATTAGAAACAGTAACCACCACACAGCGTGTCACATTCATGTAATTTTCTTAAACATTGACTGATTTCACGTGACACCATAGTAAAAAAAATAGGAGCATCCACTGACATTCATGTAGTTCTTCAAAAAGTCAATAATTATCCTTGGTATGGATTTTCAACAGTGTTAAATGCCAGAATTATGGATCATATTATGGTATCACCACAGACTCCCAAAGGCCAAGAAGTCTAAATTATAGTGAATAGTCATTATGAAAATCATACATTTGACCTTTTACAATTACAAACAAAATTCCAAAATTATTGCAAACTAACTCTACAAGTAATTATAGATATAGTCAGTAAAATTAGTAAGTTCGCGTATCAGCTTAGCGCTTATACTCGCGCTTATATTAATGCGAGTATGAAGTTATACATCTTTGTCATTTTAACACACATGGCATTTGGGTTGGAGATCAAGGAGGTAAGGAGGGAGTATCACTGGTTTGACGCTTTTAAGTCTTTCACAAACCTGCCTTACCTGTTGTGAACTAATTATATTGAAAACTGTAGGAGTATTTAAGGCATCGGACAAACAGAGAGACAGAGAAAGTCTTAGTTGGAAAATGCACTAAAAATAGTGTTTCCAGATCTTTTAACATAATATGTACTACCTACAGAATGGTAATTCTTAACAATAGCAAAATATTCTTGAAGATAACTAATTACATATCCACTGGCTAGCAAAAGGTACTCTGCAGTCTACTGTTGGTATGATACGGACAAAATTCATTATTTGAAGAGGATATCGCTGTTACATACATCATTGACTTAGGGTACGGTCGAAAATTTACTCTACAATTTACGTGCATTCGGAGCATTGCAAGTGAAGTAACTCGGTTTAAAATCATATTTTACTACAAATGCTTACAGTAAAATTTTATTTTTAACCGATCTTTAGCTCAACGTCAGGATCATGAGCAAATTCTAACGTCGCATTTGTTTGTTTCTTTACGTTATAACAGCCCATGAATGATTATACGATTGAGGTGTGAAGTTTACTTTATCATTTTCACTCAATTTTGTTTACTGTTATTCCGAAATGGGGGACATTAATGAATTTATAATTGTTCTGCATAACGTTATCCAAAATATATTAGAAAGCAGTAGCTCCGATGATGAAGAGTTTATTGCAGTAACAAATTTGCGTAGAAGGAAAGTTTCCTTAGTCAGGATGCAGCATTATTTAGAAAATGTAGTGCATTTATATTCTGATTCACAGTGTCAATCGCATTGTTTATGTTTACTACAACCTTTACTCAGTTTACTCAGCTTTTACCACCAAATTGGTAGAAGCAACATGAGTATTTTGCAGTAAATCTCACACATGCGTATTGATTGTTGCAAAATTTTAAAGAAGCATTCGCAGTAAATGTCAGCAATTTTATAACCGCCACAAAATTACTTTCAGTAAAAACAGTAAGTGGAGTAAATTTTGGACCGTACCCTTAGTGTATAAAGTCAATGCATACATTTACATTTCATGGATATTTGAGTCTCATGTGGAATACGAGTTTGACAAGTTGCCTGTTGCTCTGTACAAAACAGCTAAAAAACCGCCCGTAGGCAACACACAATACATTGTATTTAAAAGCAGATGATATGAAAACTGTTTTCAGTCTAATATAACCGCAATGGTTAAAATGAACAAACAATCTAACATTTATAAATCAGTCTAAAACTTTTGTAATAATTAGTGAACAAAATCCATTTTACATAGAAACACTCACCTTTCAATTATTTTTAATAATTTTAACAATTAGCATTCTGTAAAAAATGATTTATCAAGAACCTTGTAATGTAAACAAAATCCTCTACCTTTATTACACTTTACCATTGAACTATGGTAAGTATATAATCAAACCTTAAAAAATAGTGCAAATAGTGCGTATCGCGTTTGGAAGCTCTGTATATCCCATTCATAAAGACCTATAAATATATAATTCGTTGTATTTATATATAACTGTCCGTGGATGAAAGCCACTATTTTACGTAAAATTAGGTACCATGGAAGTGTACAAGTATAGCATGTAATAATAAAAATATGTACTAACTCCAACAAAAAACGCCTACCTGTTAGATGATTTCCTGTAAATTCGAAATCGTCATCTTGATCCCAGTGTTTCAACGAAAGATTAGAAAGAGGTGTCGCGTTTGCAAATTCCAAATTAGCGAAGTGCCAGTCCAAAATTTGACGGTCTTTCGATGAGAGATATACATCACTACAATTATTCATGTTTAGAAATGTATAATTCGCTTCATAATTACCTTGGTGGAGAATTTTCTAAATCCTTAAGCTTTTCTTCGATCTCATTGGCTTGCTCCTGTAGCTGATCCCATTGCTTCGCGCATGCGTTTAAATCACGAAGGCAACTTCGATACGCAAATTCCAGCTCTACGTTTCTTTTTGGGGTACCTGCCAATTCCTTAAGCCGTAGGTTAGTCTCTTCCATATGTTCTTTTACACCGACAAGCAATTTGTGAGTACTTTTTAATTTTTCCTGTAGCGCAATTACTGATTTTAGATGTTGAATTTGTTTCTCTTTCACATGCTTTTCCTGCAATTTAATTACCCATTCCAGTGCTTGACCGAGGCTTACAGGTTTGTTTCCAGCATAATTGAAGTCCAGTTGGTGAGACAGATATGAAGTGGCCTCTAGTAAGCGATTAAACTCACGCTCTACCATCTCATCTTTATCTTTGTCAACAGTAACACCGCTCGATTGGTATAATGGACATTTTTGTCTAATACGATGTAGCTCCATATCGATTTGTTTACTTAAGACTGTCACTGGATTACCTCCTAATCCTGTTACGACCATAGCACCCAAATCGGCGATGTAATTCCCTAAAATTTGAATAAAATTATCGTTTGTTTAAAAGCTGTCATTTTAATTAAATTGAACACTCACACTTTAATAATGGAAGTCGCCCGAGGGTTAAATATGGAGTAATGCCTGAGGTTCATAACAAAATTTTATTTTTCATCGTTCCAAATAATGCATTTCCAACATACAAATATAATGATTTGATTACTGTTTGACCAACATTAAAGTGCTTCATTCGAATTAAGTAGCATGTTTTTTTATTACATAGTATTATAACTCCATCAATATATTTGACAAGCCGTTTGAGGGCATAATGAGATCACAATCCATTATGCCCTCGGGCGTCATAGACCGGTTTCTATACAGGGTGTTTCGAAATTCGCGCACACGGACTATGGGATGGTGTTATACGACAAAAACAGAACAAAAAGTTCCTCTACCAGTTTTCCATCAGACCGCTATTTTTCGAGCTACCGCGGTTTTAAAAATCTCCGCCCCCCCCCCCTTCGTTGCGCCACTGGTTAAACTTAATAATAACACATTTTCAGGTTCAAAATAAACTATAATTATGACGAGTAGTACGTAATTACAACAGTTGTTCAAAATGTCCGCCGTCTGCTAGTAAACAAGCACGTCAAAAAAAAAGTGCAGGTCTGATCAAAAACTGGTAGAGGAACTTTTTATTCAGTTTTCGTTGTATAACACCATCCCACAGTCCGTGTGCGCGAATTTCGAAATACCCTATATCTCATATGACATATAATTGGCATAATAGGCAAATGAAAAATAAATATTATGGTGATACTTATTACATGATACATGTTATGGTTACGTCCATTATGAATGAGCACTAAGGCGAATAACTTTAGCGCATTTTCCATGCATTAATCAGGGCTTCCCAAAAGGCCATTGTTATGTGCGCTATGTTTTTGTGTACTAGAAGCATCTATTCAAAGAATAAATCAGTCGGCATTGCGCAATCTGCGCATGCGCACATCTGATTTTTACTTCTCATATATTTGCCTTTACTAGAAATTAGTGGTTAAAATTTCAAAAAAGTAAGGAAGGGCCACCATGGGGATATCGGAAACTATAAAGCTAGTTGCCCATCGAACGTAAACATAATCAGAACCACAATCATAAGGTTCAAATGCCTGAAATAGATGTCCTTTGCTACATGGAGTTACGCTTATGATTACGGTAATATTGAAGTTGAAATTTTTCAACTTTGTGTTTACGATTATGTAAAAAAGCTTATAGCGCATATCCACAAAACATCAGCTGATTGTTTATAATCTAAATCATTTTTGTGTCATTTGATAGAGCATTTTCTGATTTCAAAAATTTAAATATCACTATTTTCTAATAAGAAATGGCGCTATTAATTCGTAAAAACGCAAGAAACTACGAATATACACTACCCAAGACAAAGTTTTCCAGGAAAAAAGGAGACATTTTAACAATATTTAAAAAATATTTCAAAAATCTGAATTGAAAAACTTGATTTAAATTTTAGATTTCCTATTTCTTTCATCCATTTTGGGCATTTTAAAGTTTGATTTCTATAATTTGAGTGACATGAGATTTACGAATTTAAAAAAAATGCTACATATTCAAATGCGAGATGTCAGACACAATATTTTAGTAGGTTTTAATATTAAAAATGCGCATTGTGTACTTGAATACTATTGATTTTTAGAATCTGTAATTGTTGAGGTAAATGTATTGTGGTCCAAAGCAACTTTAAAACTATGTAATCAAATTCAAGCTACAGAATTCAAATATGCAAAATTTGAACAAAAACTATTTTTGAACAGTGTATAATAGTTGCTTACTTGAATTCAGTATAATTCAAATTTCTTAATAATTTAAGTCTGAGACTAAGACAGAAAAAATCAAAACAATTGATTTCATTTACTCATTAGATGATTATTCATGTTACCAAATCGCCTACAAACCTAATATCATTGTATATACAATGCTAATATCCATCCAAAACCTGAATTTAAGTTAGGTTCAATTTTTATAATACTTGCAAGTCAGCTCACATCCTGACTTCTGCCCTTGCACTTGAAATTAAGGCTATTTAAAATTTTGCCAAAAAAAAAACTAAAAGTAAATGAAATGAATGTTCAATCCCTTTCGAGATTTCATAAGTGAAAAATCTATTGAAGATAAACTAAATGACACCACCTTGTAGATATAAATGGAAACACTGTGAATTCTGTGATTTTTGCCTTAGACCACGACACAGTCCAGCACTGTGAAACCATATGTGAGGTGGATAGCACAGAGAACTGATTATCCATGCCGGGCCTTCTCTTATTTGAAATTACATAAATTAAATTTTAAATTTACGCAGCATGCACCAGAAGATTAAAACTGATCCAAATTGTTCACCTACCCAAATTTTAGACCTATAAATGTAATTCTTCATTCTACATACAAAAAACGAACTTTTTGCTTTAATTTTAAAACTAATGTGTAAATAATACAGCCAAATTTTTATTTTATCTTTTGCTGTGCTCAGTGTTTCTGTATCTGTGCCTATCTTTGTCTATGTAACACCTATTTAAGCTTGCCATTTATTAACATATTATACAGGTGCTTTTGTCTCAAACTCAGATGTGAAATATACAGATATTTACACATCATAACCCATAAAATCAACCTGAACTCTACAGCAGCAGACAGGGGAGAGAGAAATCTATGCAAGGACGTTAAATTTTAACGTCCTTGGATCTATGTATATTTCCCTCATGAGGAAAACAGAATTTTTTACATAATTACAGAAACAGTTTGAAGTAAATCACCTTTTCTAAATGTAGCAATTCGACCACCAACTCTATCTCGTGCTTCTAAGACAATAACTTCCATTCCAAACTGCTGCAGCTGTCTCGCTGCTGCCAACCCGGCGATCCCAGCACCGATTACGATAACTTTCCCACTCTTTTTGGTGGGCAGTGGCTTTGTACGTTTAAAAATTCCAAAGTTAATGAAACCGTTTCTCTCTAAAAATGTGTGTATGCGATGGACCAGTGGCGCGTCGCTATTATAAGGTGCCTCGGTCTTTTCCAGGCATTGATCGACTAATAACTGTTGCTTTGGGTTATCAAGCCACATTTGTAAAATACGATTTCGTATGTGCAAGTAAACCTTAACTGTGGCCAAGGAAGATTGAGCAATATCGGGAAAGCAGGCGGCTTCGATCGAGGTAATTTTATCGAAGGGCATTCTACTTTGAAAGGCGGCCCCCTCCAAGCCCGAGAAAAGTTCTCTGACAACAGGATCATCTAGTTCCGACTCCGGATCTTGCTCTCTTTTCTCTTCTTTCTTAACTTCGTCTTTTTTCACCTCTTTTTTCGACGATTTTGACGAACTGGCTATAGAGAGCTTTTTCTCAGACGACGGTTTACTTTTTTCCAATTGTGTGGAAGCCTCATCATCACCTGCAGCATCGTATTTCTCTTCAAGATCCTTATATTCAACCTGAAAATGAATGTTTTAGAAAAGTTAACCTATACGAAAGGTTCTTGTTATTGAAGATGCAAGTTTATACCTTAGCTTTCTTTCTGCGACTCATTTTCCCAATAATTAAGTAGAAATACGGAAAATACCACTCGTTTCGTACTTTGTTGATAATTTTTAAACACCGGCGGACAAAAAGTAAACACGCGCGAGCGCACAACTTTACGAATCGCAACCACAGAGCAGATCGCCACCTAGGAATTTTTCTCTTTTCAGGATATCACTAAATAAGTACCATATGCAGTGGCGTAACATCACTTGTCTACATACGGGCAGCGCTGGTTAGGGAAGTCCCACTATACCCTCCATAACCAAGAACCATGCGAATGTTAATCAAGATTTATTTATTACAATGGTTTTTACCATACAATATGAAGTGTTTAGCCCAAGGCCGTAGCTAGGGAGGGGCCAGGGTGGGCATTGTCCACTCTGATAAGAAATGTTGCCCACTCTAGAAAAATTGGTTGGATCTTTAAAAAATAAGAAATTAAGTACCTAAATCGCTCAAAAAAAATTAAATTGTGTGTATTTATATTTAGTTATATTTATATCTAGAAAGTAAGGAGGTTGAGGAACGGAACATTCTTAAAGTTTTTTACAATCAACGTGATGCCTTTAAAGAATCTTACCAATTGTATGCAACTGTGGCTGTATTTGGCTGTAGCACAGCTATGTGTGAGTCTTCATTTTCGACCTTAACCCGAATAAATAGACCACAAAGGTACTCAATGTCCCATAGTCGAATGGCCAACCTAATATATTTAGCGTTTGAAAGCAAACGTGCAAATAATATAAACTTGGATGTGTTCTTAAACAAATTTAATAACAGAAAAAATAGAAAATTGCAATTATATTAGTGTATTGTATATTATCTTATTCGTCATGTTATTAACCTTTTTTTGTCTTTTATGTGTATTAATGTATATGTAAACGCATTGATTTTATTTTTGCATTTCAAATATACCTTCTTAGTTGTTTTTTTTATTAAGGGATTTTTATCGTCACCTGCTTTTAAATTATTAAATAATTTTGCCCCCTCTGAATTTTGAGTTGCCCCTCTGAAATTAACGTCTAGCTACAGGCCTGGTTTAGCCTAATATACGGTTTCGCCTTCCTTCAAAGGTCGAACTCCCACCTACACATACATTAGTATGTCAATAAAGTGAAATAAAATAAAGTAAATCAACTCTCCTCAAACTAGACACCATTTTTTAAAAGAACGACGCTCTTTCTTGGTACGTGCGCTTTTGTTGCGTGGAGGCGCTTCTAAAAATCGCTTCGCGCTACTTGTGGCGCTGCCAATCGCACCGTGTGAAGGGGTTACGCTACCAGCCGCGCGGGTTTCTGTAGCGGAAGTTCGCTACACGTCGCCCCACGTCCCTGCTCTGTATGGAAGCAACGTTTCGTTACCAGCGGCGCCACTCTGCAGCGCAGCGCTTCAAAAACGCCTCGTAAAAGGGGCTTTAATACGTCCAAATGAATGTTGTAGGTAGGTGTTTAAATTAGAAACACTTATCATTCATCGTCTACAAGTCCACAAATTCTCTTTCTCTTTGGTTTTCATGCTCTTTATCATACATAGAAATTGTAACTAAATCAGTTTATTTAATCTTTGTCCATCTGACAATAGCGATGTGTCGACATTCTTTATGGCACTGGCTGAAATGAGCGCCAGTTGAGTGTAAAATGCGAATACTACCCCAAATTGTTATTACAGTCCAATACTGCACGTCGGTGTCCAAGAATTTTGTTGCAATATTCTTTCTCCGTGAGCACTGTAGCTATTACTTATTACTTTTCAAATAATAAAAGGTTTTATGAAGCGATCAGCATTGAATAATAAATTAACGTACAAATTAATACCTAGTTACTTACCTACAAAAACCTAGAATGTGTTTTTTTAACAATTCATTAAAATTAAATCATTAGTGGCTACTTTTAGATACTATTTTTCAGTAATTTTGTATTTAATTAACATTGTACACTATATACTGTATATTTTGTATTTCGTATTTTGGTAATATATAAATGTTAGTTGTACTTTGTACAAAAAAGTACACAACAGACACTGGGTTCCTTCTTAGGGTAAAAAATAGTTTTCTGCAGTCGAGAGTTAACACCTAGGTACAATCAGAGCGCCGTTTCATCACGTATCACTGAATTTGACCTTTAATCCCAAATAAATTATTTTAATCAAGTAACTACTTCTCAGTACGCGAGATAATAATCGTACAATAAGTCAGTTTGAGAACAGTTGCATCATTACTGTAGGCATATAAGTGTTCTATTCTTACACTATGGTGTAGGTTGAGATAGACACAATAATTAAATATAGTGATCTATCCAGCCAAAGGTAAGTTGCAGTATTCTGAAACTAAAATGAAAATGATTTGTTACGTAAATAAGCTATGTAATTGTAATACCTAGCTATTGATTATCACATTTTAAATTTTAGGGTATGATTTTGTTCGATTAGTACCTATGGTGAACGAGCGACCCGCTGGAACAGTGATAATATTCTTTGCGTATTATCTCTGGAATGTGTGGGTTATTTATTGATTAGTCGATTATTCTGATAAATAATCTACAAAATATAACGCACGTATTTTGCTCTCAGATGTTCTTATGTAGAGTGCGTACAAGCTTGATTTAATCAAAATCATCTGTTACCGATAACATGATTTGCATGCGTCGCAGCAGAAAAAGAAAGGACGCTCGGGACCACAGTGGACGGGTGCCTTAAGACTTTATGCCACTTAAGAAGAAACTAAGAGGTCTTTACGCACCATATCAGATTTCATTGGTATGCAAAACTAAAGCACTATGTACTGGAATGATTTATATTTCTTTAATTAACACTGATGGTCTGCTCTGTTCATCATCAAGAAAAGTAATGGAACTCCCAATTAATTTTTGCAGTGAGGACAAACTCAGAATTTAAAATTTGCTTCCTTTAAATTTATATTCATCTATGTAGCTGTAATTAGTTTTTACCGTCTTCCCTTCTTAATGATTCTTCATTGTAAGTAGGTTAAATTTATTTAGATAAGTAGGTACTTAATTATCTGTATTCACGTTTTAAGTTAACGACGTTCCGGCTTCACCGCCGAACTTTTTACTCAATATTTGTAATGTGCCTTTACTTTTGGAATCACTACAATAGTATATTGAAAGACAAGTGTTACAATGCGACCTATTGTAATACGACTATCTTGTGGCACGAGTGGCGACGCGAAGCGTAGCCACGAGTGTCCGCAAGATAGGAGTATTACAATAAAGCATTGTAACACGCGTTTTTCATACTATTTTTTCTATTTCGGTGCTTTGATTTAATTAAAAAAATCAGAAACTATAGGGAGCATTAGAACCATTGAATTTAGATAGTTATAAATTCAATGATTAGAACTAACATGTTTTATGTTGGGAACACTTTTTATGCCGTTAAGTTTTAGGTTGGCAGCGTAGTAAGACTGACATTTTGAAGTTCAATCATGGAAGTACCCAACGAAGTACCTACTTGTACTAACTAGTAACTGCCAACTTAAGAGATGAGTTCCCAAAAAAAACGACTATAATCACTGTCTTTGTACAACTGTTTTCGGCCGAAAACAGTTGTACAAAATCATCATTGTGACACCGAAATAGAAAATAGTATATTGAAAGACAAGTGTTACAATGCGACCTATTGTAACACGACTATCTTGTGGCACGAGTGGCGACGCGAAGCGTAGCCACGAGTGTCCGCAAGATAGGAGTATTACAATAAAGCAAATTGTAACACGCGTTTTTCATACTATTTTTTCTATTTCGGTGCTTTAATTTAATTAAAAAAATCATTATCAGAAACTATAGGGAACATTAGAACTAACATGTTTTATGTTGGAAACACTTTTTATGCCGTTAAGTTTTAGATTGGCAGCGTAGTAAGACTGGCATTTTGAAGTTCAAACATGGAAGTACCCAACGAAGTACCTACTTGTACTAACTAGTAACGGCCAACTTAAAAGATGAGTTACCAAAAAAACGACTATAATCACTGTCTTTGTACAACTGTTTTCGGCCGAAAACAGTTGTACAAAATCATCATTGTGACACCGAAATAGAAAAATGTATTTGTGCTGCTGGTTTCCAGTTTCATTACCCATTTTTGGGGTGTGTTACCAATTTTTAGTTCGTAGTTAGAATTTGTAAACGTAAGTTCATACTTGCATATTATATACGGTTGTCTATATTAACGCTTAGTTTTTAGGTTCGGCTATTTAACCTTTTAGAATTTTACTCATTAACCTGTTCAACCAACTATTGTATCGGTGACCATTCGATCAGGCACTTTTTAGTTTTACTGTCCCGTTTATGGGGGGTTTTCATTAATGTAGACAGTTCGTGCACGCACCCTTCCACTGTAAGTTAATTATATATGCTCTCCGCAATTTTTTACCTCCATCTTTTAGTTCAGAGAACACCTGAAGATGACGTCAAGTCGAAACATGTAGTGTTTGTGTCTTCGTTCTTTTTTACACTTAATCAAAGGCGCCGACTTAGGGGTGGCCGAGCACTTTCAGCCCCTCCAATATTTATACTGGAGGGGCTCAGCTCCCCTAATTCTGAATAAGTGACAATTATATACCGTATTCGTATTCGTGGTTACTTACACCAAATCTTGAAACTGCATAATCAGCTTTAGACTCAACAATAAACCTTTATACCTCTACCTCAATGCAAAAATGCAATAACAAACCGTCCCAAGTAAGCAGGAAACCGTTGACACTTCTAAGAAGCAATAATCTGACTCCTGATGTGACGTCATAGTTTTTCTTTCTGAGAAAGGATAAAGATAGGTACCTGCACCTTACACCTACTACGATAAGTGCATTATTTAAAAATGCAAAAATTCGTACTTGCTGGTTTTAGTTAAAAGTCGACGGTTGTCGGTTAGGGTTATGGTGATGTTTTAATAATTTTCTATTGTTATCGTTACGTATTACGTTTTAGTTCCTAAATTACTTATACCCGTAACCAGGGCCGGTGAAAGTGAAAGGCTATTTGGCGCCCTAGGCGAGATGTTCTCAGCGCGCCCTTCCGGAGGTTATTCCTATGGTACCAGTACCAGCCAAAAAATAGAAGTGGCGTTCATAAATACTTTATTGTGTTTTCTTCAAATACATAATAACATAACGACATAACGTGTAGGCGGTGTAGGTATACAAAAACGCATATCCAAAGATATTAGGGTAGGGATATACACATAAAAAATCAAAAATTCATCTTTGCCTTATTTCTCGCGGACTGCTGGACTAGCTGTTCTAAATTTACATTCCATGCCTCCTTCGATTCAATTGAGATCATTGCCAAGTCCACGAGCCTATTCTGAGACATTGTTGACCGCAAAAATGTCTTTATCAGCTTTAGCTTGGAGAAACTGCGTTCTCTGCTCGCCACCGACACTGGAAGCGTCATTAAAATTCGAAGGGCAATGGATACATAAGTGCGCATAGGCCGCCCTCGCTTGACTTGAGAGAGGTGTGCGATCGCGGCACCGGCAGTACCGGGAAGTTTTTTGGAGCCGCCGATGCGCTTTCGCTGAAAGATGTTGCTTAATTTTGGCGCCCTCTGAAGCTTGGCGCCCCAGGCAGCCGCCTATGTTCGCCTTGTGGTTTAACCGGCCCTGCCCGTAACCCGATACCCTATGCAGGTACGTAAAAATGTTTGGGCCCCCCCAAAAATTTTGTCAAGTCGGCGCCTATGCACTTAATTAATTGTATGGGACCGGTTTCGAGCCTGTTTGTTCTATCTTTATAAACTAACTTCCCATTATCCCATTTCGAGTTCAGAATGGACTTCATGAAACCATACTAGCAAATTGGAAAGCTAATAGTAGGAGAGCTAATGGCACAATCTTTTAAACAGTTTTATAATTGTTGATATTTGGATAGAATATAGTTAAGTATCTAGGTAATATGCTAATAACAGTAATAACATATCCGAGCGTCTGGAAGCAATTTCGCGAATGTCGCAGCGGTGGTGAGTGGTTTGATTAAAACTCAAACCCAAAACCCAAATTTGGGGACTTCGATTCTCTGTACTACTGTACAACCCATTAAAAGTTGGAAAATTCAATTTGACCTCTCCGCTGGCCTCTAAATCTCTTGACTACGGCTGGAACCGCAATAAAATACTTAAACACAACTTAATTTTAGAAAGATTAAATTATTATTCAATCTATAATGTATAAACATTCGTCTTGTTTTATGCAGTCGTCTTGCTAAAATATTTCAAACCGCAAAAAAGTGTGGATACATATCTTATTTTACTTTTTGCAGATTTCCAGCTACTGTGATTTACTCCGTCACGAGCTATGAATGAAAACAGCTTGGATACGCTATTATCAAAAATCGGAGAGTTTGGACGATACCAAATTCGGGTTATAACGTTACTCCTCCTGGTAATCGCGTTTTCGTACGTTGCCTCAATTTCTTGGCTATTTGAAACTAAAAACCTAAATTATAGGTACGTACACATTTACATTTATCTTTCAGGATATGATGATTAAAAGTGTCTACTGCCCAATTTGATTATAATTTATCTTTACTTTTGCGAAACCTCGTTATATACAAAGTGTAACATCACATATAAATGTGTAGAGAAATTGGATAATAGATTAAATCGATCTTTTTTTTCAAATACATCAAGTGTTCAAGTTGTTTCGTTTGAGGGGTAATGTTACAATTCAAAAAACTGTAATCTCTTGATTTCAGATGCAGTATACCAGAATGTGATGAAGATGTTCTTGATCTCAAGCCAGCTTGGTGGACTAATGCTATCCCATCGATTTCAAATGAACCAGCTAAGTGCAGTAGATTCAAATCTATAGGCAATATAAACGGGACAAATTGTAGTTCCATCGATTTTGATAAAAATATATTACTCGCATGCGATGAATACATTTACGAAACATCGGAACGATCAATTTTACAGGACGTAAGTAGGTACGCAAGAACAACGTTCATGGTAAAAGGAATTAACGACCATGGATTTTTTTCATAGTAATAAACCCCATAGGAACTGACATACCTATTTAACTGCATAAGTATGTACTGTACATACATACATACACATATGACATTTATTATTTCATTTCTAATATTATCATTGACTAATAACCTCCCCAATGATATCATTTAAAAATTGGTTTGTTTCAGTTTAATCTGCATTGTGACGAAAACTTATGGAAATTAACCACTGTTGGTACCTTGAATAGTATTGGAAGTCTCATTGGGTTGCCACTGATTGGAATTTTGTCAGACAAGTGCGTAATTAAGTTCTTATTTTAAGTAAATTATTCTACAGACACAAGGCATTAATAAGAGGTTCCTTAAAGACTAAAGCAAAACGGTCCGTACTGAATACAAATAGCAAAAATTACGATTTACCTTATTTACATGGTCTCTAAATCTACCTTTCGATCAGTTCATCCTTAGACAACCGGATCATCCCCTATGATTCAGAATTTGGAAATGGAAATTCATTTATTGTTGACTTTAATTATTGACTCGTAACGCAATGAGGCTCTATTTGGTTACATACTTCTATAAGAATACCCGGCGCTGTGCGATTCAATGACAGAGTTAATTTATTCTTTTGAAGCGTTAGTAATTTGTGCATCAAAGTATTTAAGAATGTCTTTGCTTACTTGCTTTAGTCTTTTGGATTTCTATTGTTTAACGCCGCCGCACGAATTAGCACGCACGGAAATCCGGTCGGTTTATGCACGATTTAGTCTGTTTTTTGATTAGCCCTTGTATCAATATCGTGTAGGTTTTTCCCCTGAGGACGATAGAACGAATGTTAAAAACACAGTTTAGAAGGGTCTCTAGTGAGCTACCAGCTGTTTACATTTTCGATGGAACCGTTACGTCACTGCCACTCTAATTAGATCTTCCATCTGTCTGCCCGTCCGGCCACACTTCTGCAGTTTTTTTTAACTACATTTAGGAAATGGATGTTGCTCATTTATATCCTACGAGTAATAAACGATCAACTTCAGAAGGTCTCCTAAGACGCTTTATACTCGTATGTAGGTACACTATGTGTATAAAGTACTTAATGCTGAATTCATTGTCGAGACACTTGGGAGCACTTCTGCACATATAATTATCTGTGACTTCTGTATCGTTTAATTTATCGTATTCGTAATTGTTCATCACTACTTGTATTGGCACATTACTAATTTCTTCAATTTTAGATATGGAAGAAAGACTATTCTTATCAATTCAATTTTATTATGTGCAATTTCCGGACTAATTCGGTCGTTCGTCAATTCTTATATTTTTTACATGGTGATGGTGTTTGTAGATTCATTTTTTAATGCCGCTACTTATACAACCGCTTTTACATTAGGTGAGTAAGTCATGATCCTTCCAACATTCAGTCAAGTCTACAGTATCAGTAACTTACTGGAACACTTTTATTACCTACTAGATTTCGTCGAGTTATTGGTTAAAAATTCCTCAATTTGTACCTAACTACAAATGGTGCTGATTGTCATAGTGTATTTTATTTTTTAAATTTTAGCTGTTGAATTTATCAGCCCTAAACAACGAGTAATAGTAGTTTCACTAATTTCCTTGTTTTATGCTTTTGGAGGGGTGATTACTGGAACCGTGGCTTGGCTTTTGCAATCATGGAGGTAAGCAAAATTCTAATATAAAGTATTCTAAAATTATAATAACCAGGCCATTGTTACAAATACTGTATGGTGTGCAATTGTTAATCGTTACGTACTATTGGTTGCTTCCGGAATCAGTGAGATGGTTGTTAATCAAAGAACGATATTTGGAAGCGCAAAAAATTTTGAACGACATTGGCAGAGAAAAACAATTTAACGTCCCGCTGCAGACGTTGAAGGACTTACAGGCACCGGTTGATCAATTAGTAGATGCTGCAGATGTAAACACGACCCTGAAACAGTTCTTTAAATCGTTTGCGTTAACCACTCGATTGATAAATTGCATTTTTTGTTGGATTGTAGCCGTCTTTGTATATCAAGGATTAACAATCAACTCCGTGGCATTGTCGACCAACACATACTTCGATTTTATACTAACGGTGTTAATAGAAGTTCCTGGAGCACTGGCAACATTCTTCGTCATGAAAACGTTTGGACGACGATTTACGCTTTGTTTCTCATTTTTTATGTGCAGCATCTGCTGCATAAGCTTTATTTTCATTCCACAAGGTACATGTTTGAATTAACTTTACCATCAGACTTAAAACAACTTTATTGTAGACCTTTACTGGCTAAGACTATGCATATATCTGTTGGGAAAATGCTTTTCTGCAATGGATTTTTCTGTAATGTATGCAATCACTACTGAAATGTTCCCGACCCCTTTGAGGAATTTGTTATTATCCGTTTGTTCTATGTTTGCTCGAACTGGATCCATGATTGCTCCTCACATCCCATTGCTGGTAAATGTTATCACATGATTTGGTTGGCAGATCACTTCTGATTAATTAGGGGTTGTATCCTTTTATAGCAAATCTTCGGGACTTGAATGTTTTTTGTAGATTACTGCTCTGGTCTGCCGGTTTGTTCACTGGTTTGATTAATCTATTCTGTACGAGCAAACCGAGTAACTGCAATAAATCATACAGTGGCCAGTACCTACTAGTTAACGCTGAACGGCTAAGTACTTTGACAACTAGTAGATTAGCTAGCGACCACTGAACTAACCTTTACTGTTAGCTAGAGGCATACACGCAAACACTTTCTTGCCCGATTGGCACGGACCGCGCCAATCCTCTTGGAAAGCGTCTTCATTAATGGCCACTAAGGCACTCACGCGCCGCGATTATCCTGCCGCGACGTACACCACGAGGCCTGGCGCTCTTAAAACATGCACACCTAGACATACACTACACAAGCGCTCTTTCCTATAAAAGTAACGTTAGGGGATGTATCGCGCGGGATTGTCGAATGTCGTGTCACGATAATCTTTCAGGAAATAGCGCTCGTGTATGCCTATAGCTATTAACATATTACCACAGTAACTTATTCTTTGACATTACCGTCATTGTCAACTCTATCAACTAGATAATACTGTGACTGTGTAAAGATATATCATCGCGCGCGCATCAATATTATAAAAAAAATTACTGAAACCAATGCATCAGAAAGACAGACAGATTGATAAACAATATACCTAAAACCTCATAAAGAAGGTTATCAAAATGTAATATTTTCGTCAATGTCATGACCTTTGTTAAAGTTACGTACCTCTTTTCATGTGAAAGTTTTTCCCTTTTAATTTGGAAAAAATTAAGAATATGAAAAAATCTCGTATGTCAGGAATCAGGATAATGTTCTCCGCATTAAAAATTTTTCGAATTGTGATTCTATTAAAACATTCGAAACTTAATTGTAATTTAAAATAAAACACAATAAAGATGCCTTATTTTAAACACTCCTTATTTAAAGCTTTGAAAAAGTAAAAATACAGCTGTTGTATTTATTTGTATCAAGTTCACTGAATTATTAAAAAACGTTGCCATAGAAATAAGGTTGTTAGAAAAAATATAAAAAACCGTCATAATAAATTTAATAAAAAAGCTCTTGTCAAATTGTTCTTCGACCCGGACAATATAATATATCACATTAGGTAAGAGTCAATAACATTGGTCCTTCGAGAAAACGAACCGCACTTGGATTGTAATTAGTCCTTCAAGAAGAGGAGCTGTACGTGATTGTTACATCGACAAGTTACATCACGTGGGTATAGTCATATTGGTAATTTCCCCAAGAGAGGAAGCACTCGTGAACGACATTGATCCCTCAGACAAGGCATCAAGAAATTCATAGAATAACCAAGATGTCAAAATCATTAACTTTTCCAAGACGGAGTGAACGTGTGAAAGCCATGGGTAAACATATTGAACAACGACATGACAGCCTTCCTGACAAGCAAGAAGAGATTCAGGTTCTTCAAACCAATGAAGATACGCAATCGTGCAGGTCAAGGAAATCATCTAGTAAAAGCAACTGTTTCGTAAGACAACAACTCAAGATTGACGCCGAGATAAAGAAGCGGAAACTGGCGCAAGAGATTGTGGATTTAGAATTGGCGATGCAGGTCTCCAAGTTAGAACAAGAAGAGGTCGACGGGAATTCTGAATCAGTAGACAGTGGGTCAGAAAGTAATAGGTCATTTGTACAAAAATGGATAAATAGTCGTAGAGATGCTTCACCTGCAAAGGATTTGTCATCTGAGGTAGGATCTAAATATAATTTGCGTAACCAACAAATAAATAAATCTCAAGTACCAGTCGAATTCTCAACATTCATAACCAGACAAGCAATGCCAAAAGATTTGCCAATATTTAATGGTTATCCCACAGAGTGGCCCAATTTCATATTTCAGTATGAAAATTCGACAGCTATTTGTGGTTACACAAAAGAAGAGAATCAATGTAGATTACAAAAATGCCTGAAAGGTAATGCTAGAACGATTGTTGAGAGTCTTCTTATATTACCAAGGAATGCGGATAAAATCATTGATATGTTGAGGAAAAGATTTGGCCGTCCTGAATTAATAGTCTTTATGCTCTTAGATAGAATAAGGAACTTTCCCGTAGTGAAAGAAGATAAACTTGACATGTTCATTAATTTTTCTGACAACGTCAAAAATGTAGTAGGTACCATGGAAACTCTAAACCAAGAGGATCATTTGCGAAATCCAATTCTACTTCAAGAACTACTAAATAAATTACCAACCTCACAGAAGTTACGTTGGCTGGAATATATTTCTAGAAAAACGGTTCAACAACCTAAACTGATAGAATTCAGTGCGTGGTTAGATCATAGGGCTTCGATTGTTAGTCAAATTGAAATGCCAAAACTGTCAGATACGGTAACTAATGTAACTAGGGATAAACAAAAACACAATAGGAGAGATGTTACTCTGACCACAAACAATAGTAGAACAACAAACCCCAAATGTGCTTGTTGTGGAAATGAGTTTCATCATCTTAGTAATTGTTCAAAGTTCAAATCTCTAAGCGTTGATGATCGATGGCATGTAGTCACATCCCAAAGAATATGTTTCTCTTGTCTTATACCTAATCATACTTTGAGGACATGCAAATCAATTAAAATATGTGGGAAGAATCAATGCACAAAGCCTCATCACATATTATTGCATAAAGATAATGATAATAATCATAATAGAAGCAATCAAGGTTATCAACATGAAGTTAATTATCATCGCTTAACAAGTAACAATGTTTTATTGAAGATTATTCCTATTACAATTAATACAAATGGAAATTATGTACATACTCATGCTTTACTGGATGATGCATCCACAGTTACACTCATAGATCAAGACTTAGCTGATGAACTTCATATGGATGGACCTCAACGTACACTCACCATTCAGTGGACAAATAATCAAGTTCGTCAACAAGACGATTCAAGAATAGTAAGTTTCAGTATCATCGGACAACAAAAGAATAAGAAATATCAATTGCGTCGTGTATGGACTATGAAAGAAATGTCCCTACCTACTCAATCCATTAATAGTTCAGAAATGATGGAAAGATTTACTTACTTAGGTAATGTGGTTTTGTCTATGACAAATGCAAAACCTAAGGTAGCACCTTCGGACAGGACAATTGGCCCCTACTAGTTAACAAAAGGATTATTTCTGGACCTTGGAATGGCCCTGCCTTAAGCAAGACACTGCTGGGAAGGGTACTTCATGGAAATGTAAGCCAGACTGCTAACACATTTTCAAACAAGCATACTACTAGTCACGTATGTCACATGAGTAGTGAAGATAAGGATGACTTGGATGTTTTACATGACTTAGTTAAACAACAATGGCAAATAGACTCGTCTGGAGTATATAAGCTTGAAAAAGCAATGTCCAAAGAAGAAATGGTCGCTCAGTCTATAATAGATAGAACCATGACAAGATCAGGAGGAAGAATTGAAACCGGACTCTTCTGGAGAGATGAAAATGTAGTACTTTCCGGAAGCAAGTGAGAAGACTTATTTGCACTGAAAGAAAAATGGACAAAAATGAACAGTATGGCAGAAGACATTGTCAGAAATTCGATGAACTGGTGAAAAAGAAGTATATACGAAAATTGAACAACAGTGAGATATGTGGAGATCAATTCAAAGTCTGGTATTTACCTCATTTTGGTATAATTAATCCAAATAAACCTGATAAATTACGAATTGTTTTCGATGCTTCTGCCAAGAGTAATGCTGTCAGTTTGAACGATTTTTTATTGACAGGTCCGGACAAATATAACTCTCTCTTTAATATACTAATTAACTTCAGGATCTGCAGATATGCGTTCACAGCTGACATTAAAGAGATGTTTTTACAAGTTCACGTTAAAAAAGACGACTGTAGTGCACAACGCGTCCTTTTCAGAGAGACGGATAGAACGAGAGAACCTGACGTTTATGAAATCGAAGTTGTTTTCTTTTGATCGACTTGTGGTCCTTGCTTAGCTCAGGAAGCTAAGAATAAGAATGCGCAAGAGTTTAAACTGACTCATCCAGATGCTGTTCACGATATTATAGAGAAACATTACATGGATGACTATTTGGGTGGAGCAGACACAATTGAAGCAGCCCATAAATTAATTGCAGATGTGATTTATATACACAGTAAGGCAGGTTTTCAGATTTGCAATTGGATTGCGAATGATATCAAAATTATTGACCATATTGATTCCAAATTAGTGGCCGATGGAATGAAAACTTTGAGAAATGAAAACGATAAGAATATCGAAAGAGTACTTGGCATATTTTGGAACCCAATTAATGATACTTTCGAGTTCAAAACCAAATTCCACAAAATTGAAAAGGATTTGTTGGAAAATATAAGAAGACCGACGAAAAGGGAGATTTTGAAAATTGTAATGTCAGTTTTTGATCCACTGGGATTTATTACAAAGACAAACATATTGATTCAAGGTAAGATGCTGATACAGGATGTTTGGAGGAGCCAGTTAGGTTGGGACGACGAAATTACAGATAACTTGGCGAATAAATGGAACATATGGATTGAGGAATTGAAGAAAATGTATAATTTCAAGATACCACGACAATATTTCACATTCGATAGGAGTTCAAGTCATTTGCAGCTGCACGTATTCTGCGATGCTTCAGAAAGACGTTATGCTTCAGTAGCTTATCTGAGAATACAATATGGAGGTGAAGTACAGGTCAGTTTCGTAAATGCCAAAGCAAGAGTGTCTCCTTTAAAACCTATGTCAATACCAAGGTTGGAACTTCAAGGGGCATTAATGGGTGCACGCTTAGGTAACTATCTAATGAAGAATTTAAACTTGAATATTTCATCCACGACATATTGGACTGATTCAAAAACAGTTCTCCATTGGATTCGATCGGAAGCTGGACGTTTTAAAGTATTTGTAGCCCAAAGACTAGGTGAAATTCAAGAATTAACATGTGTAACTGACTGGAAATATGTTAGATCTTCAGACAACGTTGCGGACGAAGCGACGAAATATGTTATCAACTCCTCAGTATCAGCAGATTCTAGGTGGATATGTGGGCCAAAGTTTCTACTATTGAATTCCCAGGAATGGCCAAGAGAAATCGAACATGATTGGAAAATTGATTCGGACAATTTAGAAATGAAAAGACTGGAGTATACTTGCATCAACTTTTCAGCACAAGATTTGATCCCTGATATTCCTAATCCTGAAAGATTTTCAAAATGGACGAGACTTCTTAGAGCTACAGCCTACATAATCCGAGTAAGAAACATACTACGAGCAAAAGTTTTCATCCGGAACGAAATTACCGTTGAAGAGTTGTATGAAGCTGAAATTATTCTTTATCGAAAGGTACAGATGGAATCTTTTCTAGAAGAATACAAGATGTTACAACAAGGTCAAATAATCAAGAAAACGAGTCGCCTCTTTTCATTGTCTTGTACGTTCAGAGAAGAGGACAAGTTGATGAGGCTAGATGGACGATTGAATAATTCTTCATCTTTGAATTTCGATACGAAACATCCGATAATATTAGACCCGAAACATAGAATAACTAAACTGATAATTCAACATTATCATGAAAATGCATATCATTTTGGACAAGAAATAGTACTCAACAAATTACGATGTAAATTTTGGATTTTACGTATGAGACAAGCAGTGAAAAATGTTTTCCATAATTGTCAGCAATGTAGCAATAGGCGAGCCAATCCCATGATACCAATTATGGGACAATTACCGTCATGCAGAATAGAACCAACAATCAGACCATTCATAAAATGTGGAGTGGATTATTTTGGACCTTTTGAAGTTGCAGTGAAGAGAAGCAGAGAGAAAAGGTATGGAGTTATTTTCACTTGTTTAGTAACCAGGGCAGTTTACTTAGAAATTGCTCATGACCCCACGACTAATGCTTTTATAAATGTACTCCGGCAATTTGGTTGTAGACGTGGGTTTCCTCACGAAATCCATAGTGACAATGGATTGAACTTTAGAGGGGCTGAAAGGGAAATTTCGCAACATCTTGACAATTTACAACAAAATGAAATAATAGAATTTTGTTCTTTGCGAGGAATTAAATGGCATTTTAATCCTCCACATGCACCACATATGGGCGGCATATGGGAGCGGCAAATTCAAAGCATAAAGAAGATATTAAAGGAAATTCTGAATACTAGGTATCCTCAAGAACATATACTCAGAACCTTCCTCATAGAGTGCGAAAATATATTGAATTCCAGACCTCTGACACACGTTTCTTCCGATTCTCATGACTCTGAACCTCTAACACCAAATCACTTCCTGATCGGACCAGATTTTGTAGCACAACCTTGGACTGTGACTACTGACAATCGAGATCTTAATCTTATGAACAGTTGGAGGTCAGCTCAGCGTTTGGCAGACTTCTTTTGGAAGCGATGGCTTGATGACTATTTACCAACAATTATTAAACGGTCCAAATGGTATCAAGAACAGAAGAATATCAAAGTTGATGACATTGTTATAATTGTTGATCCAAATGGAACAAGAAATGATTGGCGAAAAGCAAGAGTAGTTAAAACGTATCCTGCCAAAGATGGTAGAATTCGTATAGTTGACGTCAAGGATGGGAATGGAAAGGTATACCGAAGAGCGCTGTCCAAACTCATTGTACTTGATCTTCAGTAGTAATTGTTGGAAGAGAGGCAATTACTAGGGTGGAGAAATGTTGTATTTATTTGTATCAAGTTCACTGAATTATTAAAAAATGTTGCCATAGAAATAAGGTTGTTAGAAAAATTATAAAAAACCGTCATAATAAATTTAATAAAAAAGCTCTTGTCAAATTGTTCTTCGACCCGGACAATATAATATATCACATTAGGTAAGAGTCAATAACAACAGCATTTTGCTATTTCAGGAATTGATTTGGAAACCTCTTCCTCTAATTCTCTTTGGAATTACTTCGCTAATGTCGGGGGTGTTGTGCTTGAAATTTCCCGAAACTAAAGATGTCAAACTACCCGATACAATAGACGAATCAATATCTATTGGCACGAAGAAGGAGATAACACGCTGTAATACATGAAAGTATAAAAATTATATGTTATATAATTATGTACAATGACAAATGGCAAATAAACAGCATCAAAAGTACTTATTGATTGAAATACCTATACCCTATTTAAACGTTAACATTTCAATTTTTAGCGCATTTTATAAGAATTCCATCCGGAACTTTGCCGTTGTGGAGATCGATGTGTCAGGTTTCATTGGAAAATCGGAGACCATTCGTTAGAAAATTCGAAGAGTTGCATCGATTTGCGACTAAAATTAGCAATGTTTTTTGTGTACTTGAAAATGCACACACGGTGTATGTGCACAACGTATAGCCCTTGTTTCTTATAGGTAAGATTTTTTTAAAGAAGCCATGTGAGGCCATAGCAACTTTAGGATACATTTTTCTTAAACTTAAGACCTCACAGGCCACGCACTGACACCACAACTCATTGTGAACCAACCTTCAATTATTTGTAGGTCATGTGCACCTGGTATTCTACTAATTTGATCTATTCAATACATAAATGAAGAAAAGAAGAAAATAAATAACGAAAACAATTACAATAAATGTTCGAAGCGTGAATACGTGATTGAAACCATCCAACGTCAAACGTAATTTTAAATAATTCAATTCATCGTGAATGAGGAAGAAGTTCCAGAAACTATTCGAAATAAGGCCAATCTTGTGATTTAGTAGGTATTGACAATTAATAATTGACGTTTCTAATTTTCAATGACCTGCAAATAATAAGTTACTATGGTGATATTTAATGCCCTAGTTAACTTCATGGACTTATACAGTTATACCTACCTAATTCACTCTTATCTTCTATAGGTATATCTTTGCCAAAGCCAAAGCATTCACTATATTTTTCTGTTTTTCTTATACAGTGTGTACTTTCGTAAAAGAACATTTTTAGAGCATGGTTTATTTAGCAAACTATTATTCATTTTTTTACAGAATCTACCCTTTAAATGTGCTTTAGTCGTACTTATATTATTATGGAGCACCCTTCATAATAGACCCTTCCTTACTGACACCGTATTTATAATTCATTTTTTTTACAGAATATACCCTTTAAATGTGCTTTAGTCGTACTTATATTATTATGGAGCACCCTTCATATTAGACCCTTCCTTACTGACACCGTATTTATATACTTATCGAGTATTTCTATCCATCCTGTGTGCTCTTCCTCAATTACAGTAAAAAAAACGAGCGAAAAAGGTCTTTTAATCTTAAGATCTGCAATAACACAAAAGTTATTCAAACATTACCATTCGATATGGGTGATCCTGTATACCAGGTGGTCAGTGGTGCCTAGCGCGACGCAACATAGGGATTTCAATGGTAATTTCTTTATAGTCAATCACTAGCTCCCCTAATTATTTTAGAGCAAAAGTCTAAATACGTTTTTTTAGAGAAAAAAATACTGCATCTGTTCATACTATTTTTTTTAATTTTCCGTTTTTCACAACCGTAGAAATCGCCAAAATAAAAAGGTTCATTTTACAATAAATCAAATATGCCTTGAAATTACCTAAAAAAAACAGCGATCACGTTTCATTATTTGCCTTTGACGTATATTAAATTTATACTTTTTTATAAGTTAGTTAAAGAACTGCAAGTGCAATAACGTTCAAAATGTCCGTCAAAACCATCAGTAAAACGACAATACATTCGACGTTTTGGCTGCAGTAGCGGAAAATCCGAATATAAGTTTAGGAATAAATCTTCTTCAAATCAGTTTTTTTTCTTCGATTATGTAGGTACTCTGATTCCGGAAAATGATAAACAAATAGTATCTGATGCAGATGCACCATACATTCCTTAAAAAAACGTTACCCTGATGCCTTTTATTGCGTCGGTTAGTTGAAACAGAATTAAATATGAAAATCGTTCGACGTCAAACAACGATAATTTAGATGCGATGCGCTTGTAGTTTGTTAAAAGATTCCAAAGCATCACTGATTTATAAAAATGTAATTTTTTTATTTTTTCGATTTCTACGGTTTTGAAAAATAGAAAATTATAACTAAAAGTATGAACAGATGCAGTATTTTTTTCTCTAAAAAAGACGTATTTACACATTTGCTCTAAAATAATTAGGAGAGCTAGTAATTGACTATAAAGAAATTACCATTGAAATCCCTATGCTGCGTCGCGCTAGGCACCACCCTGTATAATTACAATAAGTCCATTTCTATGATTGGCAACCCTGCTCAAATAACTGCGCAACCGCAAACCGGCTATCGACCAGCGACAGCGACCTCCAACAGTTCATTCCTTCGTCGTAGAAAGTGTTGTAATTTCAGTAATTTATCAGCCGCTTGTTGTAAATTTAGTGTTAGGATTGTAGTGTTTACAGAAATTATTTGCAATGTCAACCGCAACTGCAGAGCCTTCCCCTGCCAAACAAGAAAATTCAAACGAAAATGGAAATCAACCAGAACAACAAAACGAAGATGCAATCGTTGAGCAGCATCATCCGCACCACTATGGCGGCGGCGGTGGCGGTGGCCATGGCCAGGGCCAGGGCTTTCAAGGCGGTCGCCGAGGTGGTGGAAACCGATTTAGCGGCGGCGGCGGTTTTCGTCGACAACCTATGAATGTAAGTTTTTATTCAGTCTTATTCTATAAACGAAAGATAGGGCTGCTAGAAATTTCCGTTGTCGGCCATGATTCATAGCGGATTGAACGTCACCTAAGCGACGCTTCCCTTGTTAAGTGATGTTTACCTACTCGGTTTTTATTGATTTTTTGCAAGTTTGAATTTCCGAGTGAAATTATTTAATGGAAATTATGCTTTATGAACACACTTTGTGTTTTGAAACTACCTGCAGGGGTTATTGCCAGTGGCGACTCGTCAGGTGAGGCAAGTGAGCATATTAAATGCAAAGGATCTAGAAATGCAGATTTTGTTGGTTCATGCTAATGCATCTTCATAATAAGCCGAGTGGCCATCTATTCACGCTCATGAAGCGCAAGTAGTTGACCAGGTTGAGCTTCTCAGAGGTAGGGTATCTGATTGTATGCTGGTGATCTGTCCTGATGAGACAGTGCCATTGTTTAAGCTTACCTTTCCATATGAACGATTAATATTAGTGCCGTCGAAGAGGTAAGAATAATTTGGGATACGGGATCACCACATTATAAAAAAATCGGGATGTACTGCTTGGGAGCAGCAAAGCACAAAGCGGCCACAACCCGTTGCTTCTCGCTCTGCATTTCCATTTTTGCGACTGATCAAATGCATGGATGTGAAAGCCAGATACTGCGACTGATGATCAGTCCGATAGACCATCAGGACTGATCATTAGTCGTTTGTGAAATGGGCCTAAGTGTTAAATGATCTATCTTCCGGAGATTTGAATTTGTGACTACTACCCGCATGTTCAAGGGAAATATTTTACCCAGGGAGTTTATCTAGCAGATTAACGTGAATTTCAGGGCATCATCTCCAGTCTGATACACTTTTACAAATCACTGAGTTTTTTTCATCGATATACAGAAATGGATTGCGCATGCCTATGCTAAGGGCGGATGCTGCAGGTGAGCTTGAGGGCAAAACTAAGAGGCATGCACTCTCTCGTATCGCACTTCTGTTGATCGCATACAATCGATATTGCTGTGCCAGTGCGACCAACACGAGCGCTATAGAGAGAGCGCTTGCCTCTTAGTTTCCCTTCTCTCTCATCTGCGTATCCACGCTTTGCATTCGGATGTGCAGTCCATTTCTATATATCGATGGTGTGTCCAGGAAAGATGGGGTTATAGGCTTGTTTTGTCTTTTTTGTTTTTTTGAGAAAAATAGATTAACAACGTAATCTGAGGCCCACGAGTGCGTCTCACAATTCATGTGTCATGAGCAGTCACTGGTCATTTCTAAGACAATTACAATTACAGTGCAATACCGGCCGTTCCTTAGTCTGGCACGTTCAGTAATCCGGCGTCATTTTCGATGAAATGTACAGGGTGTTCCTTAAAGATATGCTAATATTTAAGGGGGTGATTCTTGGCCCTATTTTAAGAAAAAACTTCCTATGAACGTATGTCCTCAACGCGAACCTAAACGTTTTCACTTTTGAGATACCTGGTGGTAAAGTTTTTAAAAAAATTAGTTTTTTAATAATAACACATAATATTGTAGACATCTTTATGAAATTTGGTATATGTTTTCTATGCATCAAGTCGCATTTTCTGATGTGCGTAAGTTTTTATTTTCTCTACCAGTAGCGTCCGTACGGCTTTTGCATTGAATATTTTTGGAGAAAAAATACTACGCCCCTGCTTTCTCTTAAAATAAAAAATTTTTTTTTCTGTGACGGGAAAAACGGTTGACATTTTATCTCTGTTGATAGGTAACAAAATGTCACTTTTTATGAAATTGCTTTTTATACTTATACTGTGCGATCAAAAATGAGTTGCTGTCGAGTCACCTTTGGAACTTTTGTTTACATGGTAAATCGTATTTAACTTGAACTTCCAAAGGCGACTCGACAGCAACCCATTTTTGATCGCCCGTTATACTGGCATATACAATTTTTGTGAGGCTACTTTCACTTCACTATCTTCACTAACTCAGGTGAAGTCAGAGAAAATTCAGAATCAGACATTTTCAACTTTATGTGATTCAATATAACTATTAAACAATCATTAAATTCGAAATATTTAAATCAAATGACAAAACTGAATTGACAGATATTTGAGCAAAGGTTTCCTTAGCAATGCAATTTGTATTGTCGCGAGAAGTACAACAGCCTATCTGCAGTTTAAAACTTCAAATTTCTATAAATCAATACAACTGTCGTTTTCCCTGTCACAGAAAAAAATAGTGTACTATTATGCACGGGAAAAATTTTAGATTTAATAAGCTCTTTCTTTTGTATCTAAGAATATGTGTAGTAAATTTGGTGCCAATCGATTCTGTCGTTTAGTCGGAAATGAGGTACAGACGGACAGACCGACATCATCTAGATTTTGTTTGATTCATATTCCTGGTGCTTTAAAACGTGTATTTCTGGGTCATTTTTACTCCTATGCAATACACCTCGCTTACTAACTAGCGGTGGATAAAAATAGCCAATCCAAATGGAGGAGTTACAGGAAAAAGCGAAACCTCGGGGGGGGGGGCATTGAATGGACGTATGATTATACAGGATGCAACAGATAAAGTCAATTCAGACACTGCATTGACGCCTAGCTGTCTGTTTTGGTTATAATGTTACAGATATAGGTAATGATGTGTTATCTCCCTACTGTTAATCACAATTACCTCCGTTATAGTAAGATGAAAAGTACTTGAAATGTGTGAAAATCGAGGTGAAAATTTTGCAAAAGTGGTACTGATGGATCTGTTATTTTCTAGATTCTTTTTCTATATATCTATTAAATCGGAGTCTATTATTTAGTGCATTGGTTTTTAGCGCGTTTTAAAAAAATACGCTATTATATTGGTTATGGCTGGGTGGCCGGCTGTCCGGGTGAGATCTCGACAACTACAATAGCTAGAGACTTCCAAGTTTTCACTAAAAGCTTTCTGCTATAGTGCAGATGTGCAGGCTTTAGTCTATTTTGAGTTACATTACTTGTGAGATCGATAATTTAAGAAAATAATTTCGATATGGATTTCGGAGGTGCTATAATTTTACCGTTAGATGGCGCTACCAGTATAAAAACTTAATTATTTACTTTGTGATTTGTTTTACAAAATAAAGACGTACCTCCATTGAAATTAAATAAAACTAATTATTTAACGCAGCCAAAATTACTCGTGAGATCGATAATTTTAAACTTCGCTAATAAAATACTAACCTGTATTACCAAAAATGCGCTTTAATCATGCATATGCTGATTTACAACTTGTTTAGCATAATATTCATTATGCAATGCTGCTAGAATATAACCTTTATAAAGATAAAGCGAATGGTAAAAAAGACTAGGGTGCAAAGAATTAAATAGTCTAAACAAATATAGAAAACGAGCTCCTGGGTATGGCTATAGCATGTGCAAAACCAAATTTTAAACCTGATGTTAGTTTTGCTTTTATTTAAAGTGTATATGTATAAAATTTCATTTAATTGCTTCCATAAATAAGAAAGTTGGCACTGCGCATGCGCAAAACGAAATTTTGAAACTGGCGTTAAATTTGTTTTTATTCCTTCATAAATAAAAAGTTTGCAATTCGGTTCATAACTCACGGAGATGTCAAAACATTACATTGCCAATTCACGAACTCCGATCTACAAATTTGATAAAGAATCCATCTACTAAATTTTATCGTAATTGGTCCATTCGTTATCGAGATATCGTGCTAATGGACGGGCAGACCCCGCAAAATTATAAACTCGCTAGGAGCTTGTTAATAAAACGAGAATCTAACATGGAAACTGGAAATGTTCGTTTTATATTTAATTTTTTTCTTACCAACTATAACACAGGAGAACGGAGCGAACAGTGTGCTACGGTTGCCTTGTTCACCAGATGACCCATAAATCAGCGTCTTCTGATCTGTGCGAAACTTGATATCTGGTAGCCATTTTTTCGTGGTTTTGTCAAGAGTTACGCATTTTTTTCATTTAAAAATGAAGTAGAATTCGTGTTTGTATCTTCCAAGACCTACGGATATTAAATTTAGTTCAATGAGCCACATTTCGATCGGCATTTTAATAAAAGAGTTTTCAAAATCAACGAGACATGTCTAAAAGCCCAGGCAACCCGTTAAATTTCATCTTTTATGCGTTATACACGGTCCTGCAACAGTGTGTCGGTTTTTCCTAGCTCACACCTCTTGAAAAAATATAAGCACACTTGAGCTAATGCCAACTTTATTGTCTATAGACATTATTCTTGAAGGACGTTCCTTATAAAAATTGAAGAATTGAACACAAAAGACAATTGAGTATCAAAATAAGATAGTAGTAGTTCCATTTGAAAAAAAATATTTATGGATACTTGAAATTCGGAAAATTTACTGTTCCGTTGTGAACACCCTGTATTATTGCTTAAATTTATTTCTTAACTTCAAAAAACAAGGTCGCGGCGATTCATAAAGTGCAGCTTGTTTAAGAGTAAGGTGTCAAGGTATATAGTTTTATTTGAAAAATAGTTATTTGGATTCCAGTACAAATTTGTCATTCGCCCATTTGTCGTTGAAAAAAGTCATCTAGCAGTACAATATTTATCTTGCGTTTAGGCAAATGAAAACGAACGAAATGATTTCTTCGGTGGTGGCGGCGGCGGTGGAAGAAAACGCGGTGGACGTGGAGGCGGAAATCTAATGCAGGGTGGCGAAAGAGGCCCACGTGATCGCAATCCCGACGATCGCCTGAATGATAGAGTGGCCCAAATGTCTGGTCCCACTTTTGATCTTGCGCCCTTAGACACAGCTGAAAAGAAGTTCTCTGGACGAGCTCGTTTGTATATTGGAAATATTGCAACCGAATCTACCGAAGAAGAAATACATGATCTTTTCAAGAATTATGGTGAAACAAACGAACTGTTTGTTAATAAAGAGAAAAACTTCGGTTTTATAAAAATGGTAAGGAGGAACCTCGTTTAGAACAAAAAAGTATTATTTTTTTAATAGGACTTCAACGTAAATGCTGAAAAAGCAAAGCGAGAACTTGACGGTAGTTTGTTCAAAGGAAGAATGCTTAAAATTCGATTTGCTCCAAATGGTTCCTCTGTCAAAGTTCGGAATCTGCCACCATTTGTTTCCAATGAGCTCTTGTATTTTGCTTTTAGCGCCTTTGGAGAAGTATAATTAATTCTATTATCCGTTCAAAATATTACCATATTTTTAAATTGTAGATTGAAAGATGCATTGTTATCGTTGATGACAGGGGTAAACCAACCGGTGAAGGTCTTGTTGAATATGTACGAAAAGGCAGCGCCACTTTAGCCATAAGAAAATGCTCCGATGATTGCTTCTTTTTGACGGCTTCACTTCGTCCCGTAATTGTAGAACTATACGATGCAGTTGACGAAGCAGACGGCTGCCCCGAAAAAACCATGCCGAAAAAGAACATGGAATACACAAAAGCTCGAGAAATTGGGCCACGATTTGCAAATCCAAACAGCTTCGAACACGAATACGGCATGCGATGGAAGCAATTGCATGAACTCTTCGCACAAAAAGAGCTGGCCCTGAAAAAGGAATTGGACATGGAAAAAGAGAAATTGGAGGCTCAAATGGAATATGCAAGGTACGAACACGAAACTGAAATGCTGCGAGAGGAACTTCGAGCGCGCGAGATGGGTCGAGATCGCCAAAAGCGCGAATGGGAAATGAAAGAACGTCAAGCAGAAGAGACGAGACAAAGGACTGAAGAACAAATGCGTCGGCAACAGGAAGAGATGCAGACTCGTATGTTACTCCAGGAGGAAGAATTGCGTCGTCGGCAGCAGGAAAACAACCTTTTTATGCAAGCACATCAGTTAGATGACATGCTTGATCAACAAGAACAAGCTTATGAGCAACCAGAACGTGGAATATTTAACGCAAACAGTAAGTCTTATATTATTTTAGTCTTCTGTCTGGTGTTTTTTCCTTCGTCATAGATGCCTTGGATTCTATATTAACTGTTTCAAATGCGTTTGTATTGAAAAATTCTATTCTTTATTGCAATTTGAACAAGCCACATATTTTTATTATTCTACGAGTACTAACATTCATGATCATGAACCATCAGATTTAAATAGATGTACCCGCAATGACAGAAAAGTAACATGTTTTCATGTCTTGAATGTAGGTTGCACATTATCAAATTTTTTCTACATAAATTACTGGGTTTGGTAAACCTGGTGTTACAGAGGACATTGTTCTCTTGTTATTTGCACATAGATATCTGTTGCAATGCATATGAAGATACGTTGTGGGCGAAGTTGTCCGTTCCATTCTATGATTAAAAATCCAGTTTGTCTTGAAATACCACTGAGGTACCAAAATTAATCAGTATTAGCACAGATCTACACATACACAGATTGCTAACCTTATACATTTTTTGGGAAACAAATTTAGGTATAAAGTAACTAGATATAGAAAGTACCGCAATCATCCGCCATTTTTGGGCAAATTTACTGCCAACTTAAAAAAATTGACAAATAAAATCTGAATAACTGTCATTTTTTATAACCTAACTTCATAGTACTGTCATGTTTTATAAAAATATATACAAACAGGTGGAACAATCCCTAACATTAAAGTTACTAGAATCTGGTAACTTCCGCCATTTTTGGGCAAAAATCATGCGTTCTCTCTCTAACACACAAGCCCAATGGATTGCGGTACTTTCTATATTTAGTGACTTTACCTTAGACCATATAGTACATGGACTGCTAATTGTAACTAAAATATGGTCAAGGACATCGCCTGGGTATGTGAGTTTCAGGGTAAACGAGTCTGTCCGAAGTTGTCCGATGAGACACGATTTGAGACTGTCAACCTATAAATTAACAAACGTCAATTAATTAATCGCCTAGATATCCCAAAAAAAGCAAACTTATTCTTATTTGTGGACGTATAGCAAATAATGAAGAGCATTTAAAGGTTCCCGTACTACGCGGTTACTATAAAGCTGCTCTTTAAGCGATCCTATTGGTGTTTACACGACTTTAGTTTACCCTGAGATTCACATACCCACGACTACAGTGCCCTCTATCCGTGACCATCCATTTTGTATTGAAAGCATAGGGCGAATAGCAGTCCATGTACTATATGGTCTAAGGGAAATACCCATATATATCATATATATAAGAGCCTGGTTTTGATGGCCCATTCCTTCGTGCTAGCGGTGAGTGTCGGGTCCGTTGAAGTAATGCACGAACAATGAAGTTACGTGACGGCCTGTTTGTGTCAATTGCCATCTACAATCGGGCTATCTTATTGGAGGCGGTAGGAAAGCAAATTTGTATATTTATGCCAGTAGGAGCGTTCCAGTTTTATCATCGTAGTAGCCGTCCGGTTTATGAGCGATTCGTAGATATTTGAAATGTCTTGGGTTACGATTTGTGAACATAGGGCTTATACTGTCCTTTTCGGAATTTATACTGCTGCAGGGAAACATGGCTCTTGGTATACAACCTCAAAAGTGCGAGTTTAAATGTACATTACGATTTACGAATATGTTTATATTCATTATAACGGCCTGTGATGAAAACAATAATCTAACCTACATTTTAATTAATAGGTGCCTTTACACTTACGCTCTTTCGTGCGGTATAAACGCGTGGCGTTCCAATCGCGCGCGAACGACACGCGCCAAGAACGTGGCGTTCCAAAAGTGTGTTGTTAGAAACAAGAAATTTGTAACGTTCCAATCGTGGAGTATTGTCTACGCGCCCGGAACGTAAGAGGAAAAGAGTGTCAGTGTAAAGCCGTTTTCGCCTGCTTTCGCACGTTCTTTGCTTGGCTCGTGGCATTTTAGAATTTCTAAAAGTTTTATTGTGTTTATTTTTTGTATCAATGGTAAATACTTAAGAGTATAAGTTTTGCTTCTTAGTATGATAGTTAGTAAGAATAACAGATGTAATGGTGGCGTGCGGTTTTTGTTTGTACTGTTATAAAATTAAAAATTACAAATGTTTATCTGAATACGTATTCTGTTCACTGTTTATTCCTCATTTTAAATAAATAAAACAACCACTCAACAGGTTATGGGCCCAGCACGCTTCCACTGCGTTCTTCCTCTATCAACAACCTAGATGTTAGTTCTGCCAACGTTTGTGACTCGGGTGGCACCGACTCCCATGCAGACCGAAAATGTTTGTATTGCTCGGGCAACGACATTAAGATTTTTGTTATTATCATTTTATCACTGAGAGTTTCTCCAGCTGTTTTAAGTTTTGTTTTAATTTCTTCAATTTTAGAAATAAACGTGCTAACTGACGTATCAAACCCTAACATAAAGAATCTTTGTTGAAGTAAATGAACACTCACCCCAGATTCCCTGTCGTATACTGCCTTCAACTTACTCCACATTTCTTTCGATGTTTCGCATGACATAAGATGAGTAAGTGGCCCCTGCTCCATACGAGTTACGATGATTTCTTGAGCCTTGGCATCGTCCTTCACCCACTTGGTCAGCTCATCTCCGGCTTCTACAGGTTTTATTTTCGTACCGCTTACTATCTCGAAAAGGCCTCGACCCTTCAATATTATGGATATCTGAAATTTCCACACCGGCCAATTTTCACCTGTTAACTTTAGGACGTTATTTACACTACTCGCGTTTTCACTCATTTTTTAATAATACGGTTTTTATGCCTTTTATATTATTACACACGTGGTGCTAACCTCAAAACAAAAATTCACAATTTTTATGCACAAACGAGAACTTCCGCGTGCTCTGGGCCCATAACCTATTGAGTGGTTGTTTTATTTGAGTGGTTGTTTTATTTATTTAGGGCCTATGGAAACTGTTTCCCTCGGAGGTGCTCGATATTTTTTACTCTTTAAAGACGACTACTCTGCATTTAGAAAAATTTACTTCCTAAAACATAAGTCTGAAGTTCAAACGTACATTAAACAATTTATTTCGATGGCAGAGAGACAAACTGGGTATGGACTAAAAGTTTTGCGAACCGATAACGGTCTAGAATTTATCAACAAGGAAGTCACGGAATATTTGAAGAATAGGGGTATACAACATCAACGTACAGTGGTATATACACCAGAACAAAATGGACGAGCCGAGCGCGAAAATCGTACCCTGGTCGAAGCAGCGAAAGCCATGTTATATGGGAAACTGGACAAGAGTTTTTGGGCTGAAGCCATTAATACGGCGTCATACATAATAAATCGAACTAGTCCCAGTCCTAAGAAACCATATACTCCTTACGAACTTTGGCATAAGAAAGAATGCAACGTAGAAGAGTTCAAGATTTTTGGAAGCAAAGTTTCGGTACACGTACCAAAAGAAAAGCGCGTAAAATGGGATTTCAAAAATAAAATGGGAATATTCCTTGGGTATGGAGAGGAAGTAAAGGGATTAAGAATTTATTTTCCTGACACAAACAAAGTTGAAACTAAGAGGGATGTGATCTTCTTGCCCGAAAAATCTCAAGAGGTGAGGAATACAAGCGAGATGTTAAACTTAGAAAATGAAACGTTAAATGAGGACCAGGACAAAGAGGATCTTCAAAACGAAACAGATGAAGAGGACCACAATCAAATAATAGATCAAGTTGAAGAAATAGAAGAAAGGGAAAATGAGTCGACCGGTGAAGATTCCGAAACCGACGAAGTTGTGAATGACAACACTGTAAATGGAAGATACTGTTTGAGAAGAAATATACCACGACATCCTAAATATGATGACTATGAGATGGATTTAGAAAACATCCTTTTGACTGTATGTGAAGAAAGTGATGAACCTACCACCTACGACGATGCGATAGCGAGTGATGAAGCAAAAATGTGGATCCAAGCTATGGAACGTGAGATAAGTGCATTAAATGAAAACGAAACGTGGGTGTTAATAAATGAGAGTGATATAAAAAGTGAGGTCATTCAGTGCAAGTGGGTGTATAAAAAGAAGAGAGACGAGGTTGGTAATGTAACCAGATATAAAGCTAGACTTGTGGCAAGAGGTTTTCAGCAAACAAATGTACATAACAGTAGTGACCTATATAGTCCTGTAGCAAAGCTCCCGTCTGTAAGAATTTTTTTAGCATTGTGTAATCATTTTAAATTTAAAATACATCAACTTGATGTATGTAGTGCCTTTTTAAATGGTGAGATAGATGATGAGGTTGTCATTGTACTTCCAAAAGGTGTCAAAAATCATGAAGGCAAATTTGCAAAGCTCAAAAAGTCCTTATACGGCTTAAAAAGTTCACCTAAAAATTGGTATAAAAAGTTTCATACGTTAATGATATCTTTGAATTTTGAAAGATCTCAAAACGAATTTTGTATCTATATGAAAATCACTAATAAGTCAAAAATATTTTTGTTAATATATGTGGACGATGTACTCATTGGAGGATCAAATGAAACGGAGGTGGAAAATATTATAACGACTTTGGGTAAAAATTTCAAAATGAAAAAGTTAGGGAATATAAAATTTTTCCTAGGTATGCGAATAACACAAAACTTGCCTAAAAATCAGATAGTTATAAATCAAACCTCTCATATTAAAAACATATTAAAATTTTTTGATATGGAGAACTGTAAACCATGCAATACTCCAATGGATGCAAACTTTCCACACAATGAACTTGTACGAAATATGTCTGAAACTAAGGATATTGAAGATAGGTGTCGTAGAGCAATTGGTGCCCTAATGTATGTAATGTTGTGTTCAAGACCTGATTTATGTATTACAATAAGCATACTCAGTCGGTATCAATCAGCAAGTAGTGCACAGCTGTGGCAAGCAATTAAAAGAGTCTTTAGATATTTGCAAAAAACTATTAATACAAGCTTAGTTTTTCAAAGAGGAGATTTTAAATATTTTATTGAAGGATACGCAGATGCTGACTGGGCAGGCGATAAAGTTGATCGTAAATCTACTTCTGGGTATATTTTTAAAGTTTTTGGATGTACTGTAAGTTGGTGCTCCAAGAAGCAATCAACTGTTGCTTTATCCTCAACCGAGGCTGAATATGTAGCCTTAAGCGCAGCGATAAGTGAAGCTTGTTGGATCCGAAGCTTAACACTTGATTTCAAATTTGCTCATGATGGTCTTAGTGTTGTCATTTTTGAAGATAATCAATCTGCTATGAAAGTATGTAGAAATCCTGAGTATCATAAGAGACTAAAACACATAGACATTCGACATCATTTCATTAGAGATAAAGTAAATGATAAGGTGGTTATTCTAAAATATGTTTCAACTACAGATCAATTAGGAGACCTTTTTACCAAACCTTTAGCGGTCACATTGTTTAAAAAGTTTTGTTATAGATGTAACTTAGTTGAAGATTGCATTTAATTTGTTCTTTTTAGATTTTTGTATTTACCCTTGAGGGGGCGTATTGTGTTTATTTTTTGTATCAATGGTAAATACTTAAGAGTATAAGTTTTGCTTCTTAGTATGATAGTTAGTAAGAATAACAGATGTAATGGTGGCGTGCGGTTTTTGTTTGTACTGTTATAAAATTAAAAATTACAAATGTTTATCTGAATACGTATTCTGTTCACTGTTTATTCCTCATTTTAAATAAATAAAACAACCACTCAATAAGTTTTAAGAAAGTTTTATAAAAAAATGTATAAAATAAGGCGGAAATAGTATATTAAAGTACAAGTGTCATTTGACGAAGATTGTCGCACGAGGTAGTTTGCCGCATAAGCCGCGTAGCGTAAAATCAGGTTAGCCAACGTGAAAATAAATGAATTGTGTCTATTACCAACATACACTGAATGATAGTTTAAAATTACCTAACAACGCCTAAAGGCAATATTTATAATTTGTATAATTTATTATTTAAAATAAAAGTCGAAATAGAAAAAATAGTATAAAGCACACGTGTCATTTGTCTACTTGTCGCACTCGGTTTTTGCCGCATTCGCCGCTACGCGGCTTATGCGGCAAACTACCTCGTGCGACAATCTTCGTCAAATGACACTTGTACTTTAATATACTATTTCCGCCTTATTTTATACATTTTTTTATAATTAATTTTTTAAATAAATAAAACAACCACTCAATAAGTTTTAAGAAAGTTTTATAAAAAAATGTATAAAATAAGGCGGAAATAGTATATTAAAGTACAAGTGTCATTTGACGAAGATTGTCGCACGAGGTAGTTTGCCGCATAAGCCGCGTAGCGGCGAATGCGGCAAAAACCGAGTGCGACAAGTAGACAAATGACACGTGTGCTTTATACTATTTTTTCTATTTCGACTTTTATTTTAAATAATAAATTATACAAATTATAAATATTGCATTTAGGCGTTGTTAGGTAATTTTAAACTATCATTCAGTGTATGTTGGTAATAGACACAATTCATTTATTTTCACGTTGGCTAACCCGATTCCTGTATTTTCAAACTTCAAACTTTTAATTAGGTATTTGGTCATAATTCCATTTTGCGGCAGTTACGATGAATACGGATGACAAACACGTCTCTTGTACCCCATCGGAGATCCAAGAGATTGCCAATGAAGCGACGTTAAATTTACTGCCTGTAAAATCGAAAGTAAAGTACGAGGAGTACAAAATTTTTGAAAACTGGCTCACCGAGAAGGGGAGTTCAAAAAGTAAGCAAGAATGTACTGCTGGCATATTTTACTACCCTAAGTAAAAATAAAAAAAAGTTCTACCCTTTGGAGTATATATTCAAAATTAATCGGAATTAATACAATCGGTCAAGTTCCTCGTACGTTATTTACACTTTACAGGTTATGTTTAGTTTTGATTTGACGGATACCGTTGACAGCAAAAAAGCAAGGGGTACCAATCCAACAAAATTAAAAAAATAATGCGTTTCTATTTCTTTCGGCATCATTTCTGTCTAGAAACGCACGCAAACTGGGCCAATCAAGTACGGTTTCGGTATTGTTTCCACATCGAAATAGAAAAAAATGTATTGCTGCACTTTGTGTGGCTGTGCAGATGAACCTATAACGGAAGAAGAAAAGAAAAAAAGAGTTTGGGTTAAAAAGTGGAGGGAGGATCGGAACAAATTTGGTCACATGCCACTTTTAAACGAACTTCGGCTAAATTTCCCAGACGATTTTAAAAACTACCTTCGTATGGATCCTGATACGTTCAAAATTTTATTGAATTTGATTTCGCCAATAATTTCGAAATAAAATACGAAGTTAAGAGAGAGCATAAGTGCCGAAGAAAGACTTATGGCGACTTTACGATATTTAGCAACGGGGCGCTCTTTCGAAGATCTTAAGTTTTCCACTGGAATTTCATCGTCTGCCTTATGTCAAATTATTCCTGAAACTTGTAAAGCTCTTTACCAGGTTCTGAAGAAAGAATACATGAAGGTAAGTTTATTATTTTATTATTTACACTATTCATTCGTATTAATATTAGCAATAGATGTGTAATACTCTACTAAACTGCTTGAGGGTACAACAACAGGAGGTTGTGGTGCATCTTCGCATGGCAATGTAACTTGCCAACACTGCCTGCTATCTGATGAGTTTAAGGTATAAGATGATGAAGATGATGCAGGTCTTTGCTCATTTGCGTCGGACAATGTAACCGCATCTGACAGCTTATTTAATAAACCACGAGAAACAATGCTATTGATTAAGCTTTCAGCATAAACAGCTTGTTCGGGGTTCATTCTTTTTAATTTTTTGGCCCATGAAATTCCAACTGCATCATATTCATCGATATCATTGTGTGCTTGAAGTTGCTGCTTACAAAATTCCATAAATTCTTCATTTCTCTTCTTAATAGTGGTTTTCTTTTTCTGCCTTGGTGTGGTACTAAGAGATTTCATCCCTGATGAATATGCGGATTTTGGAGTTGAATTTGAAGCATTATCATTCTGAAAATTTATGATATGAGAACTTATTCACTTTGAGCGATGAATTAATAAGACTAAGTAATATTTTGTTTTAGTTTCCATCAACAAAAGAAGATTGGTGTAAAATAGCCACCAGTTTTAAAAATAAGTGGCAATTTATTAATTGTGGAGGAGCTCTAGATGGAAAGCACATACGGATTGTTCCTCCTCCTCATTCTGGCGCTCAATATTATAACTACAAAAACTTTTATAGTATTGTGTTACTAGCCCTTGTAAACGCAAATCACGAATTTATATTTGTTGACGTTGGAAAAAATGGCCGACATTCAGATGGGGGTATTTTAGAGTATACCGATTTTTATGATGGTTTGATGAATGGTAACTTGATTTGATACAATAATAAGTAGCTAATTTTATTATGTTGTATTTCAGGTCACTTACATTTGCCAGACAACAGCGAAACAGATAAAAATCTTAATTTTGTTTTTCTGGGTGACGAGGCATTTTCGTTGCATGAGAATTTTTTAAAGCCGTTTCCTCAAAGGGATTTAACGTATGAAAAGCGAATTTATAATTATCGTTTATCACGCGCGCGAAATGTCTCAGAAAATGCTTTTGGCTTACTGTCTGCAAGATTTAGAATTTTGCATACAGCCATACATATGACCAATCCACAAAACATTACGTATGTTGTTTTAGCTATTTGTGCTCTTCACAATTTCCTAATTAAACGAAAAACGTTGTATGCCACTCTGAGATCGTTTGATCAAGAGGATGTGCTAACCCATGAATTACAACAGGGAGAATGGCGCAACGTCACTACCCAACTCGAAAATTTAGAAACGAGCCTGCAAAAAAATGTATCGGTAGCAGCAAAAACTAATCGCGAAAAATACATGGAATATTTCAATAAAGAAGGACAAGTGCCCTGGCAGGATGCCATGTTAAAGAAAGGAAAATCATAATATTAATTATGTACTATATAGCTTACCTCAGTCAATAAAAGGTCCTTATTAGATTTATTTTCTCTTCTTTCCTCCACAAGTTCATCTGTTTCCCATTCAGTGTGTTCTGAAAGTTGTGTGTCTTGATTTTCTTCTTCCTCATCATCCTGGCTATTATTATCGACTACTGTTTCGTCATGAGACATATTACTCTGCACACTTGCGTTTGGTATCTCTTGATCGCAAGTAAAAAGTAGTAGATCATAGTACCAGAGCGTTGGTTCATACACATCCGGCACTCCTGCTCCGCTCCTTTTCGATTGCAAAAGCTTTTTCAGTTCTTTACGGAAAGAGCCCCGGAAGCTCTGAATTTTTTTTATCACATAATCTCTATTTGCTTCTGTATTAAACGTTTTGCAAAAGTCAACTAGCTTATCATATGCAAGATTTTTTAAATTTTTGTTAGTGTAATCTTTGGATTTCACTTTCCAAAGACATGGATGGCCTTTGTAAATTTCTATAAAGTTTGCAACAATTTCTTTTGACCAATATCGGCTGTCCGCCATTTTGTACAGAACCAGAGAAACACCGACTCTTACAATGTTTTCAAAATGAAGTAGGGGAACCCGGGGCAAAGTGGATAGGTTAAGGCCAAAAAATCCATAAATTGATGAAAACAACATTTTAAATAACGGTACTGTGTTTATATGATAAATATAGGATTCCTTTACAAACTGGTGTAACATAAGGATCATAATGAGAGCATATATTTTACTGCGATTTTTTTTGTGATGATAACATTTTCTTCCACTTTGCCCCATATACGGGGCAAAGTGAAATTTAAAATGGGGCAACATGAAAATACTTTATTTACAGAAAAATCTCAGTCTTGTTGATACAGTTTTACAAAAATTTAATTTTACCATAACGGAGCAGTTCATAAGAGTGAAGACGACCAATTATCTCATTCAAAAACACCTCACTTTCGTCGGGAATCGCAGGAAAAACGTAAATATTTTTGCTTTGTCTGTATTCTCGCATAAATTTTACATTTATTCGGTTTTTCTTTGCACACATCACTTGTGCAACAAATCGTTTTTTAGTTTTCTTGGCCTCATCTTGTAAGTCTATTAACACATAATCGTTAGGATGAATATCAGCAACACTGACTGTGGAATAATGCAGTGGTCTGTCTTCTTCGAAGCTCAACTCACTTTCATTTTCAGCATCTGGAGATTCTGAAGAATCCGCGTAACTAATAGTTTCATTAGAACCTGAAAGGTCTGATTCTACAAATACTTTCTTCTCAGTGTTCTTATTCTCTTGTTTTCTCTTCACAGGACAATTATTTATTTTTGGGCTACTGGATATTTTGCGCTTAACCGCCTTTGTAGGAATTTTCGGAGTTGAATGTTTTTCTTTGATTTCCTCCATGTTTGGAGTGGACGTCAAGATCATAGTCTTCCCTCGATTCCGGTTTGTTCTTTGTTTAAGTTGAACATCGGCCTTTGGAATAGGTAAAATTTCTTCTGGTGCCAATAGCTTTTGTGACTTTGATTGTGGCTTATCTGGAATGCTTGAGGTTGTAGCTGCTGGTGGTGGGGTTGTATTATTTACTTCTTGAATCAAGTTTTCTAACGCAGCTGGCGGTGTTGGAGGAAGTTCTCTATTTGTTGTCTCAGATGGTTCGAATAAGTCATCTGGGAAGATGTGAGGATTGTATGGGAATATTCCTGTATTTTGAAACCCGCTTGTTGCATTCTGTTGAGTCGATGCACGTTGATATGCTTTACCAAATAGAGCTCCAACATTATGGATAGTTACAACCTTTCCGGGATGGTTTCTTTGCCACGCCCTCACCTCTTGCTCGTAAAAAGCACTCAATGGGAACATATACGATACATCCAAGGGCTGTAACCTATGAGAGGTATGTGGCGGTAAAATCAGGATATGCACATTGGTAGATTTAGCTAATTCCATCATCTCTATATTTTTTGTGTGCGTTGCATGGCCGTCCATTATTAACAAAACGGGATCCGTGTTGGTGGGTTTTGCATACCTTACAAAATGTTTAAACCACACTACAAATATGTCAGTTTGCATCCATCCGGAGGGATGACAAACGACTACACTGTCAGGTGGTAAACCAACATCAAATAGTGGATTCAGGCGTACTCTTGGGAATATTAATAAAGGTGGAATATAATGTCCACTGGCACTAACGCAGATCTCTGCAGTAACTAACGTTCCTCGTTCAGCAGACGAGAGGGATCCTATCTGTTTTTTTCCCTTCAAAGACAAAATTTTACTTGGTTTGTTGGGGACTGTTGAAAGACCAGTTTCGTCGCAATTGTAAATCTGACTGGCAGTGAAGTGGTATTTGTCCATTAACTCGCCTAACAATGCAAAGAAGTTTGCCACATTTGGTCGGTTAAATGCTGCTGCCCTAGCTGCAGAAGTCTTTTCCGGCAAACGTAAGGATATTTCCGGATTCCGTTTGAGAAAATTTGACACCCAGTCCTCGCCAGCTAAAGCAGTTTTCTTACAAAATGAATGCGGTATCCTATTTAATTCTGCGTATTGGTAGGCTAGAGACCTGAAGTCTCGCATACTTAAACCAAAAAGCCGTTTTTCCATAAGTAAAATGTAGTCCCGTAGCTGCTGTTCTTGCTCCTTGGTAAACGTAGGTCGATACCTCCCTAGTTTTTTCTGCGAAGCTTCCTCAGCTGAACTATTTAATTTCATTTTCCTATATAGTGTAGTGAGGGGAACATCATATGTTTTGGCTGCCATTGCAACACTTAAGTTTCCTGCTTTACAATCGCTGATTGCATTCTTCATACCTTCCTCGCTCCACGAGTGTTGAGTACTCTTTCGTTTATATTTACGGACCATGCTCGTCTAAAATGTACACCATATTAATATTTACATAGATATGATGCAAGTTTTAAATATTAAATATCCAGGGGCAAAGTGAAAACTAGTTTCAGTTTGCCCCATTTAAAATTTTTCACTTTGCCCCATTGTGCATCATAACAAAAGTAGGTTATCTTTTGCTCTCTTCCTTTACTTTCCAATATCAAATGGTTACGGTTATTTGTACAATAGTCTAGTATAATTAATAAACACATACAAAGTTATCGTGAATATTGTTTATACAGAAAAAATTGAAAAAAACTTACCATGAAAAGTTACAACATGTGCACCATTCTTTCCTTCTCTAAGATGTGCACCACAAACCACAAATGAGTAATGACAGAGTAAAATGATTGGAGGTTAGTGTGGAAGTGATTCCGCTACATATAATCTATGGTGCCTCTATTACGCATATATTTCACAAAAATTCGTGTAGATGTCGGTACAAATATCAGATGTATAATTAATTTTCACTTTGCCCCGGCATTTCACTTTACCCCGGGTTCCCCTACCTGAAGAAAAATATCTGTGTAACGTTTATGCACGAGTATCTTTGATTCGGATACACTTACCAATTTTTATAATAAAACGTGGTCTAAACGCGCGAAAACCGGCAACCAAAATGAACACGTTCTTTAACCGCACGCAATTCCTGCAGTAATGCGCTCGCGCTCGGCATGCAGGACCGGAGTTACATCCAGATTCGCATTCTTTCGCGCGCGATTGGAACGCCACACGTTTAGACCGCGCGAAAAAGCGTAAGTGTAAAGGTACCTATAACATTGCAACATTGACGTTTCTTTCGCATGCGCAGATTGTACGGAGTTTAGCCCTTTTATCTCAACGTTACAAGTAGGTACTTCGTTGGGTATTGCCATGTTTGAACTTCAAAATGTCAGTCGTACTACGCTGCCAACCTAAAACTTAACGGCATAAAAAGTGTTCCCAACATAAAACATGTTACAGTTCTAATGTTCCCTATAGCTTCTGATTATGATTTTTTAAATTAAATTAAAGCACCGAAATAGAAAAAATAGTATGAAAAACGCGTGTTACAATGCTTTATTGTAATACTCCTATCTTGCGGACACTCGTGGCTACGCTTGGCGTCGCCACTCGTGCCACAAGATAGTCGTATTACAATAGGTCGCATTGTAACACTTGTCTTTCAATATACTATTTAACTATCGGTCAATTATCGTTGGTCCTAATAGACGAATAAACGGAAGGCATCGAGATTCTTTTGTTACTGGTCTAATAGGGTCATAAACCATTGTATATAAGTATAATGGTCATTAGGTGTTAATATATTCCAGGTAAAAGTGCTACCTGAGTTGCCTATCGTCATTGTATGGAAGGTATTGCATTTCTTCCGTCGCTATATTTTATATAAACTTTTGAGTAAAAATTACGTTTTATTTCATAATTTGAAACAGTTCGTAATATATTTTTTTAATCCACTTAGTTACTAAATAAATTGTGCGGATTTACTTTTTAAATATTTTTTTTACTAAGGCCAGTATTCGCGTTCTTAGTAAATTCAAGATTATCATTTATACACGACTTGAATAATTTTATCAAAAAAATAAATCGCTACATTTAATGACTTTCTATATCTCTATCAATTTCCGATAAGACCTCTAGTTAGAATTAATATTTGGGCTTCAAAAATTACTCAAAAGTTTCGACTTTTATTGCAAATTTCAGTGACCATTGTGTGTTGCCTATCCTCTATCCCTAGCCCCCTTAACGAAATAAACAAAATACCTCTCGACGGAAAACAAAGTTACAGCGTTGCCGTTGTGGTGCACTAATCACCATAACTTTTCTTGTTACGCCGTTTAATTGTAAGTTAAAATTGTTTGGGTTACTGAACTCTTATAAGCATCTAAAAATCCATTTAGATTACTCGAGATGCATATTATTAATATTCCCTTAAAAACTATCTCGTGAAATGTGACAACTTAGCCTCCTGCAATGTTAGTAAACAAACGAGATGATGGCACGCATAGATAAGCATCAAGGCATCTATCTCTATCTTTACTTCTTACTCTGAGTTTTAGTCTTTAGACGAAAACATGAAATTTGGGTATACTGCCCCTTTAATTAAATTGGACGGCGGTATTTTTAAAAATGTGACAGCTGTCAATCGTATCATTTGAACTACTCAATAGATTGATGTGTTTTTTTTAAATCGAACATCAGGAAATTACATTGCATGCAAACTCCTAAGTTCGCATTTTAAAAAAATTCACTGTATATGTGCTTCTATCGTCTGCAACTTTACAAACACATTTCACAAAATATAAGACATAATGCGCCCTTACCTTGTAGTCCATTAAAGCTACTACACGTTGCCACAGGGGTTATTTCTGGTTTTTTATGTAGCAGATCGTTCATCAACGAATAAAATTTCCAGAATTTAGGATCGTTACCAGACACATCATTATGTTTTTTATAGTTTTATATTGCCGCAGTCCCCTTCCACTTCGTGTCACATTGAACACCAGTAATAAGTCCATTTGCAACCTCGCTCCATTCCTTAGCAATCTTATTCTACACAACATTTTTTTATGCCATTGTTAAATTCTTGTTCATGGTTTTTATACAGTTCTATTAACAGTCTAGTGTTCTCATCTGTCCACAATTTTTTATCTTCCCGGTCTGCCCCGAGATTCTGAGCTACACCTTCTTCCACTTTTGGCCGTTTGCCATCGTCTACTTGCAATATCTCCACACTTTGCATGGGATGTTGTATAAATTGTTGTGCAATGTGTAATAACATAGAAGACTCTAACAAGATAAATTCATATTAATATTCATACAGGGTGGTGACGTGCGTAACGCATCATAGGGATTTCAATGTAAAATTCATAACATGCGGTTATTGGCTTCCCAAGTTATTTTAGAGCAAAAATGTATTAAGGTTTTTGGTAGGAAAAAAATTTTTATGTCAAACCCCCATCTTTTTCAGTAATCTACTGTGATGCTATGGAATTTTATAATACAAAAACTACGCCAATATCCGTCATGCCATGGAATGTCTGCTATAAAACAAATCAAATTCTATCAAAAAGTATTATATTTAAAACAGCGAATTCAACATAAAGAAAGACCAAATTACTAAAAACGGTTTCCTAATATAACAATTTACAATAAATGTTCGAATAAGTCCATTAACTGCAATACAGTAACCAAGTGGATCATAAAATCCATTTCGAACTGCTGCTAATTGATAACTGGATATCTTTTTGTTTTAGAAAATTCCATGGCATCGTAGATTATTGAAAAAGATGGGGGTTTTATTTTTCCAATTTTCCGTCTTATATGAAAATAATTGAAAACTAATACGGTTGATTGACATAAAAAATTTTTTCCTACTACCTCTTTAGAAAATATCATTTCTCGCCCCGTTTTTAGGGTCGAAAGCTGCACTTTTCCTCCCTAAGGGAGGAAAAATGTTTTTCCTCCCTCAACTCCATATAACGTACCTAAGCTTATAACTAAACAAAATACCCTTCAATTACAACTAACTTTATTTATATGTACTTTTTATTCTCAGTGCTAGTAGAAGAACCGAAGTTAAAGGTGCAATTACTAAAGGCCGCTTTACATACTGCAATTCTTCATGCAAGACCATGCAATACGCAATAAAACTTGCCCAGAAGCATGCGCATTTGAGAAACAGCTGATTCATTTTGGCAATTCACTTGCAATTGCAGGTTAGCGGTCGCGCGCGATTTTTATTGCACTTGCACGTGATATTTTGGGGGAAAGTATTGACAACGCCAGGTTCTAGAATTCCCAAACGTTGAAACTAGACTTTGTTATTATTACTACTATTACTACACAAATTGAAGCTGCGACTGCCTTTTTTTCGATTAAAGTGTCTATTCATTTTTACTCAAAACGCATTCAGAATTATAACAACACCTGATGAATTTTGAATAGAATAAAGCTTTTAGTTCAATTTTAAATGCGAATGTTGGTAACAAACTATTGCAAAAAGAAAATTGCCGCGTGTAAAACCAAAGTGCAATAATTATTGCATGTACAGTATTTTTGCAATTAAACTTGCTGCAACTGTATTGCACAAAGAATTGCAGTATGTAAAGCGGCCTTAACATTGTTGAAAGTAATGTTACCAGAAAAAGGTGAGGAAGATTGATTAACGTTGAAACCTGTACTTGTCAATGTTTGTAGAGTTCATTTGATGTTCTCCAGAAACTTTTGAGGAGAGCATTCCGCATGTAATTTGGTTAGAAACTTTACTTTTTTTTACGATTGATTCTCCTAAATAGCCCTCGGCTACGTTGGTAGAGCGCCATCCTCCGTGTCTCTCAATAAATCTCCTCCAGCATCAACCAACAAAGACGCGGAGGTGCGCCGAAAACTATGCCCAGTGTAACCTTCTGCATCTGGTAGCTCGAGGTACTTTGCAATTTTATATGGTATTTTGGCAATTGTATTTTTCCCTATGACTTGGATGGTGCACTTCCCTTTTATGTAATTAACAAAAAATCTTGTATGTTCAGTTTTAGCAGAGCGTAATGAAACATATTTTCTATAAATTCCATGTACACTTGTTCCATTAATGGTTTCGTTAGTGATTACAAATGTTATTTGCATTTTTGTTTTGCTATCGGGTATTTTCACAACTAATATGTCTCCATTATCCTGAATATCATGCAATGTCAATTTAATTAGCTCATCGCAACGGCAAGCTCCGGCAAGTCCAATAATTAAAGCAACCTACGAACAAAATTTAGCGTTCATAATGTATCAAATTCAAATCATCTCATAATTACCTTCATTTGCAAGTAATAGTCATCGGGCGCCTCCGAAAGTAATCTGTTTAGGTCATTCCTACAGAAAATTTTAGCTTTCTTTGGTTTATACCCATTTCCTTGACGTATAAGCAAAGCTATGACTTTTGCATACTTAATGTCAACGTTGTCGTTTATAAGTAATGTGGTACGTAACATTGAATATTTACTCCACATCGTCGATGGTTTTAGAATGATGCGCAAAATATGCTAAGATTACCTCTTCAGCAATTTTCTTGACTTTTCTCCCCATCATCCAATTTTTGAAAGCAGTATATTCTTTTTCGTATCTGTCCCTAGATTTTGCAGGCAGTAGATCAAGCGATGCCTGATTAGCTTCTTCTAAAATGTCTGAGGGAATATTTTCCTCTAAATCACTTTCTATTTCCATATTTCCTGATGAAAAATTACAGAAACGACCAGTACACAAGCTACTGTTTATACCGCTACCATGGCAACATAACTTCACCATGGATACATCCTAAATTTTTTAGTGTAACTAGATGGCAAGCAGTCATCTTACCGTAAGAAATCTTTGCTAAATTAAAGTTGAGGTAGTAGAAAAAATCATATGTATAACTCTGGAGGAAAGTACATATCCCTCCCTTGTGTGATTACTGCCCTCCGCTTCGCGTGGGGCATTAAACTTCACACGCGGGAGGGAATCTTTAACTTTCCTCCCTTGTTATACAAATAGCTATTCCCTACAAAAACCTTAATACATTTTTGCTCTAAAATAACTTGGGGAGCCAATAATGGCATGTTATGAATTTTACATTGAAATCCCTACGATGCGTTACGCAAGTCACCACCCTGTATATGAAACTTTATTAAAGTTAGGATACCATTATTTAAAAAGTATCTGAAATCACCTACCATTTTAGGCAGCATGCAAGAATTCTTCATCTGGTAGAGGTTTCTTTCTTGAAGATCGTTTATTTTTAATTTGATGGTACCCATTATTTATTTTAGGGTTCGACGTAAATGCCGCGATATTGACGTTAGGAGTGCAGAGACTTTGCGCATGCACAACAAATTGCTCTAAATCGTCCGTTTACTCACAAATAAATCTGAATGCTCTGAAAATATTTTGCTCCACTCCGCGATCACGTAACCGAACGCACCTATAAATGTGAATGTACGTGTACGCTAATGAATGAGCGAGAAGATGGATGCGTGTCGCATACTATGTGTACATCTCACGAGTTCATTTCAACTCCTTACGCTTATAACTTGTTGTAAAAGCGGCCCTACAAAAGAATGGTGTTTACGTTACGAGCGTGCGCATTTGTGACTTCGTTATCGGTTTGGTGTTCGACTGCAACTTCGTTGGTACGCTATCTAATTTTGACGAATCCTTACCGTTATAAAAATATATTTTAAAATAAATAGTTAAAATATGGCAGACAAATACGATTCAAACGGCGATTATTCTGGAGGTGACTTTAAGCGTAAGGGGTCAGTAGATAAAGTAAATTCGATGGACGAGGACAATGACGACCAAAATCCGGCAGCCCAAAAAGCCGGTGAATACATACGGGAATTATTGGCCGAAAAATTGTTACTTGATCAAAACAAATTACCAAATGCGGCGCGTCTTATCGATATGGGTAAGTCTTATTTGAATAAAAATAGGCATCAAACGTATAGGTAAATAAAACTAGCCCAGCAGCCATTTGCATTAGGCTTGATTTGTTGATCTTTTTTCTGCTTTTAATTACCGATTATCATTTAGCTACCTATTATAATATGTAGGATGAGTTTATTGGTAGTTATTATAGAGGTACTACATTGGTCATTTCAAAAATCTCTATGTTAAAGTTAAGGTTCATGTTTCTCGGTGATATGGTATTTATGCTTACATTCGGTTTTACAGATTAGAGAAACCTCGAAAACATTTAGATGTTTTTTGAGAACAGTTTTTGGAATAAATTTCGTTTATTTGAGGTTGCTGTGATGTATGCAACGACACTTTTAATTAAATGTGTGCTGTACACACCTACATTGCGATGATGTAAAACTAGCAGTCTATAGGGTAGATCCGTAGTTTCAATAGTAATAGTATCAGCATTGCGAACAGAAATAAATCTTTGACAATAACAGCTAATAACACTTCGGAAGTTTAGTTGGCAACATAAACTACCACCTTACAAAATTCACCAGTCGTTCTATGTTTCTTTGTAATACTGACCCATGTTTTAACCAATCACAGTGAAGGTCAAAGCTTCTCTATGCATTCTACGGCTACCGCTACCTTCTTAAAATGAATACAGTATAGACATGTCCAATGAGCAATCATAGTCCTTTGTTTTCAATAGTTTCAATAATGTGTCTCTGGAGTTGCCATAAGGCATCTTCTCATTGATGACGGATCTTGCGTTAGAGCAATAACTCCACCAGTGCCCTTCAAAACAGCATTGTTTTGGTCAAGGGCCTGATCGGTTCCCATAGCTGAAAACGGATTGATTGAAAAAAAAATAATAGAAATTGTTACCTTCGAAATCACTATCCAATTGTACAGGGTGGCCAAATAAGAATGCGAAGACTGTATCTGGGAACCTGTCCATAATAGAGGCTTGTGGTAAAAAAAGTTATTACTAAAACGGCTACGAAAAAAACCTGGAAAATATTTTTAAGTTTCTGAAATGGTCGCTAGGGGTCGTAACTGCAATCTGGAATCTAAAATATGTCCAGTCAAACGGTTCCGTAAAGAACACCCTGCATCTTCGAAATGACTGAACCGATTTTAACAAACTCGGGGTAATTGAAAAGAGTTTTCTTTCATTTTTCATTTTTTTTTCATGAAAAAGTAGCTAAATGATGCCTAAACAAGCTCGCATCTCGATATCTTGTTCCTAACCTAAAATTCAGGTCAAAGAAAATTTTATCCCTCAAAATTTTATTTTTTTCAGCTAATTTTTCCGGAATTATTTTTATTATATAATATGTGGTGGATTGATTTAAAAAAGCTTTTAATGCCGCCGTAAATGCTCGAAATGACGGCCAGCGCCATATAAAAATATCTCAAGATATCGAGATGCTGTTTTCGCGAGCTTGTTTAGGCATCATTTAGCTCCTTTTTCATGAAAAAACATCGAACCAATGCATTTAATTTTTTTGAGAAAATTAGATTGCAGTTACGCCCCCTAGCGATCATTTCAGAAACTTAAAAATATTTTCCAGATTTTGCTCGTGGCCGTTTTAGTAATAAATTTTTTTACCGCAAGCCTCTACGATGGATAGATTCTCAGATACAGTACCTCGCATTCTTAGTTGGCCACCCTACATGAACTGTTGGAAAATCTGTAGTAATTAAGTCTCCAGCTCTACCATATCTCTTTGAAAAACACTTGTTTTTATTCATTCATTATGAGCTGATGTTTTTTAGCGATTTATATTGGGTGATTTCAAATGCATTGACCCCGCATTTTTTAAGGGTTACAAAAAATGTGCTATAGTTTGCGTTCTGTCTGTTCGTTCAGACCAACTTCTGCGGTTTTGAACTATTTTTAGGGGAATGGTCCTAGAGTCCTGGAATTTGTTGCAATATGTGGCCTATAACTTGAAGGTGTGCTAGTCGGTCATCAAATTTCGTTGTCTTAAGCCCCCCCCCCATGAATTATTTCCTGAGATGCTGTTTTTGAATGTAAAACGTGCATAACCAACATGCGTCACCCAACTGGTCTCAGAATTTGCATACGCGTGCCTTTAGCGGTGCCGAGTAGAATTTTTGAAAATTGGAGGGGTCGGGGAGTGAACACACGTTCTACCAGTCATGGTATTCTAATGAAAGGTCTCATCGAAATTAATTGGTTTTTACAAACTATAATTTTGCTGCGCGACTCCTTTCCGAGATCAGTAGGTGGCCGAGGGAGGGGGGTAGACATTTTTTCTTTCATGGTATTCCAATTAAAGGTATCAACAAAATCTATCATCTATCAAAAGAGGGGTTTGGGGGGGTGGAACTGGTTTTGTTCTTCTTGAATTAATTTCTACCAACCATAGCCTCCTCCTTGACTCCTTATCGTGATCGGATATAAATAATTCCTTATATTTCAAGAACAGATTGTCGGAGGATGGTGCTCACAAAGGGCGATTGGGACGCCTAGAAGAAATATATCATTGATAAATATGTATAGCATGCTTAGTACCTTATAACGCAATCATTTACTAAGCCATTTCGGTTTTAAAAAATGCGCTTTTGTGCACAATTTATACTTGTTTAGGAACTATAATTTTTTTTCAGAGGTAGCACGAGTGCAAAACATAGGGAAAGTTCCAATAAGAGAAACCAAGTATGTTGACATCTACAGGGAGAAACCTATGAAAGTTGCTGTAAAAGTGTTGGTACCCGTCAGAGAACACCCAAAGGTAAATTTAAATATATTTTTCTATTTCGATGTGGAAACAATACCAAAACCGTACTTGATTGGCCCAGTTTGCGTGCGTTTCTAGACAAAAATGAGGCCGAAAGAAATAGAAACGCATTATTTTTTTTATTTTGTTGGATTGGGACCCCTCGCTTTTTTGCTGTCAACGGTATCCGTCAAATCAAAACTAAACATAACCTGTAAATTGTAAATAACGTACGAGGAACTTGACCGATTGTATTAATTCCGATTAATTTTGAATATATACTCCAAAGGGTAGAACTTTTTATTTTTACTTAGCTTAGTAAATATGCCAACAGTACATTCTTGCTTACTTTTTGAACTCCCCTTCTCGGCCAGCCAGTTTTCAAAAATTTTGTACTCCTCGTACTTTACTTTCGATTTTACAGGCAGTAAATTTAACGTCGCTTCATTGGCAATCTCACTTGGATCTCTGGTGGGGTACAAGAGACGTGTTTGTCATCCGTATTCATCATAACTGCCGCAAAATGGAATTATGACCAAATAATTGAAGTTTGAAAATACAGGAATCAGGTTAGCCAACGTGAAAATAAATGAATTGTGTCTATTACCAACATACACTGAATGATAGTTTAAAATTACCTAACAACGCCTAAAGGCAATATTTATAATTTGTTTAATTTATTATTTAAAATAAAAGTCGAAATAGAAAAAATAGTATAAAGCACACGTGTCATTTGTCTACTTGTCGCACTCGGCTTTTGCCGCATTCGCCGCTACGCGGCTTATGCGGCAAACTACCTCGTGCGACAATCTTCGTCAAATGACACTTGTACTTTAATATACTTTTTCAATTGTTTTTTGCGCCAAATGTAGTTATATTGTCCCATTTCTTAACTAAGGATTTTCTTCTTAGATCGCTTTTCATAGTATTTAAAGGATCAAATGAACTTACCTGAAGTTCGATCTTAATTATACTTCATGTCCATTCCATTGATATATTTAACCTCGTATTTAAGTAGGGAGATATTCTGTTTTTAAGGATCCTCAGATCCTTTATAGTTTTGTATTGTCGTCCGTCCGTCCGTCCGTGTGCGCTCTAACTCTTTTTAAAAGTGGCCGATTGTGTTGAAATTTGGTATACGGGTACGTTGGACATTAAGAACGGACGCTATTGATTTTCAGGAAGCTGGTTCAACAGGAACAAAAGTTATACGACTTCGAGTGAATCGGGAACAGGAAAAACTGCGAACTCAATATAATAAAAATTAACATATTTCATTCCCTAGGTCATGTATCGTGTTCGGACTTTCGCTAGATTATTCCCTATGACTCTTAGATGTGTAACAATTCAATATAACTCTTCTCTGTGGTCTCGGTCAAAAGTTTTAGAGCAAAATGTACCCAAAATTATTCTTTACACATGAATTTAGAGTTGTAAAAGCTTTCAAACGCATTATCTTGATGCTGAAAGAGTTGATAACGTGCACGTTTGATAACCGCATGTGTGTGATTCAAAAATGTTAAATTATTTTTCTGAGGCCACATGGATTTTGATCAAAATATGTCAAAATCGTTAATTATGCACCAAGATCGTTGGGAAAAAGACTACGCGCATTATCTCAATGTCCAAGACATGAATTTGATGCATTTTTGGCGACCACGTGGATTATCAAAACATGTCAAAATCGTTATTTATGCACCAAGATCGTTGGGAAAAGACTAGGCGCATTATCTCAATGCCCAAGACATGAATTTGATGCATTTTTGGCGACCACGTGGATTTTGATCAAAACATGTCAAAATCGTTATTTATGCACCAAGATCGTTGGGAAAAAGATCAAGAGCATTATCTCAATGATCTAAACATGAATTTGATCTATTTTTATGGACCACATGGATTTTGATCAAAACATGTCAAAATCGTTATTTATGCACCAAGATCGTTTGGAAAAAAACCAAGAGCATTATCTCAAAGCCCAAGACATGAATTTGATGCATTTTTGTTAACTATAAAATGTATTTTGTAAGATTAAAATAAATTGTCGTTAAAAGTGATTGTAATACTGAGGATCCTTCGATATTTCGTTGTATCGGTTTATTAATGTAGGGAGTTTATAATTTTGCGATGTCTATCCGTCTGTCCGTTTGTTAGCACGATAACTCATAAACGAATGGACCGATTAGGATGAAATTTTGCAGGTGGATTCTTTATCAAATTTGTAGATCGGAGTTCGTGAATTGGCAATGTAGCGCAAAAAATAAGGAAGGCTCTTTTGACATCTCCGTGAGTTATGAACCAAATTGCATGAAATTCAATATGCGTATATAGACCGGGAGGCAGCGTACAAAGTAACTAAACCATAAGCGACAAAAAATTCGACAATACAGGCTGAAAGTACGTTGAAAACTAATAATAAAATCACTCGTCTGCCAGTCGTAAGTGGCAGCATTAACTTGGGGCGGCGCTGAATAGGTCACTTCTTTAGGTGATCAACTAAATTACCAAACTATAAGGGTCACGGAAAAGATTTGTATCAAGAAATCCCATTTTTTCCATAGTTTTCAAATATGCTATGGCAGACGATTTCAAGTGCAACGTTGGTAGCGGAAGACGCCCTCCAATGTAGGGAAAAACACCCCTGAACTAAACCATGAGGACCGTATAAAAATTATACATAAAAAATTCCTCTTTTTGTCACTGCTTTAAAATATATCCTGGCAGACGATATTAAGTGTAGCTTTAATAGTGGCAGACGTCTTAGAAGTTAAAAAATTTAGGTATAGTAAATCCCAGCGAGTGCGAGCGTGTGAGAGATAAGCGCGCGAGAGCATATCCAACAGAGATAGCGATAGGATACTGACTACTGAGATCTTTCAAACCATTTGATTCTAAACTTCTGATTCACATAGTTCCATCCACTTCAACGGATTGTAGAAACTCAGACATTTTTCGGTGGCATTCACCCAAATTGCGATGAACTAAACCATGAGGACCATACACAAGTCATACATCCGGTAAATGCGTGGGAACCCGGTAACGCGTTACACACATCAACACCCAAATTCACGAACATCTCTCGAAGATTTATGAATTTCTGCGTGTTATTGAAAAAAAGACCTACTTCCATCTATACCTTGGTGGTAGCGTCAATTTTACATTTCCCAAAGCAATAACAGCAATATCCATATCGGAAGCGCTAATAATGACTTTGCTACTTGTTGATAGTTTACCAAGATGGTAAATTATTCGAGAATCTGCCCCTTAGTGGCTGCAGCACAATTCAGTTTTTACCACATCATCTTCCCTTGTCACAAATTTATAGCACTTATCTTCATATGTGGCAAACACAACTTTCCTTCCAAGTAAAGCGCAACAGGTCTTTTTTGCCTATGAACGGTATAAGTAATCTATAAAAGAGGTTTTGAGCTATCATTGCGAAGTGGTTTTATGAAATTTGCAGGCTGCTTCTGATAGGCCAGTAAATGACCGTTTTGCCGTGTAATTTTTCGCGCCTCGACGGATTTGCTTCAAAATTTGGATTTAGGTTCCTCTTACCCTCTATTTCAAAGGTGAACTTGAGCCCAGGGTTGCTTTTACTTGGGGGGTGAATGCCACCCCTGCTCGGGGGGGAAAAAAGATACGTTCAAAATAAGTCCGGAAATTGATAAATTGAGTAATTCTAAGCAACTTTTGTTCTATAGAGTTTTTTCACTAAGTCAATAGTATTAGAGTTATTTGCGAGTGAAAATGTTCATTTTTCAACAAAAAACCCACGTTTTCAGACGGTTTTTCGCAAAAAACTCTAAAAGTAAGTATTGTATCGAAAAAAGTATTCTTAGCAAAAATATAGCTTATAAAAAAACAAACAAAATAGTCTACATATGAAGTCTGTAGACGCAGTAGAAACAAAGTTGTAGCTCATGAAAAGTAGGTTCTCATTCGTCAAATTCCCAATCGAGTACTTAATAACCAAAAAATGAAGCACTTTTCGGGGAAAACTTATGAATACTTTTTTAAAGTGTTTGAAAAAACCTTTCATTTTGTTTTTAAGAAAAGTTCCTAGCATCAAAACTAAGTGAGTTACGCTCAAAATAAAGTTGGTCCTTTTTTTTGGTAAAAAAAATTGAGGAAATCACCCCCTAATTAGCACCCCAATTGTAATTAAGCGTTACCGCTTTACAGTTTACTTTATTTATGTATTGTTTATATGATCTGTAAGTTTGACCGGTACAAAGTGCTTATTTTTGAAAAAATGTAGTTTTGAAGTAAAAAAAAAATTTTGAAATTTTGAAAAATTTTTTTTTTCAAATAACTATTAGTGTATTAGTTTAGTTTACTACGGTGGGCAATTTTTCACTAACTAAACTAATACACTAATAGTTATTTGGAAAAAAAATGACAATTTTTCAAAATTTTTTTTTACTTCAAAACTACATTTTTTCAAAAATAAGCACTTTGCACCGGTCAAACTTACAGATCATATAAACAATACATAAATAAAGTAAACTGTAAAGCGGTAACGTTTAATTACAATTGGGGTGCTAATTAGGGGGTGATTTCCTCAATTATTTTTACCAAAAAAAAAGGACCAACTTTATTTTGAGCGTAACTCACTTAGTTTTGATGCTAGGAACTTTTCTTAAAGACAAAAAGAAAGGTTTTTTCAAACACTTTAAAAAAGTATTCATAACTTTTCCCCGAAAAGTGCTTCATTTTTTGGTTATTTCACGTTGAAGTACTCGATTTGGAATTTGACGAATGAGAACCTACTTTTCATCAGCTACAACTTTGTTTCTACTGGGTCTACGGACTTCATATATAAACCATTAAGTTTGTTTTTTTATAAGCTATATTTTTGCTAAGAATACTTTTTTCGATACAATACTTACTTTTAGAGTTGTTTGCGAAAAACCGTCTGAAAACGTGTTTTTTTGTTGAAAAATGAACATGTTCACTCGCAAATAACTCTAATACAGGGACAGATATGAACTCCTTGGAGACAGATACCTGGAACCGAGGAGGGTGAAGCAACTTAGGCTAAACAGGGTCCTATCCTTCATTGAGAGGAACGGGCTCTGAACTCAGTTGCGAAGAAAGGGGGTAGGCACAATGGGCCTCTGATGTGCCTAAGTGCTGCCCGGTCGGGCTCCCCTGAGAATAGAATAGAATAGAACTCTAATACTATTGACTTAGTGAAAAAACTCTATAGAACAAAAGTTGCTTAGAATTACTCAATTTATCAATTTACGGACTTATTTTGAACGGATCTTTTTTCCCCCCCGAAAAGGGGTGGCATTCACCCTCCAAGTAAAAGCAACCCTGGGCTCAAGTTCAACTTTGAAGTGGATGGTAAGTAGAACCTAAATCCGAATTTTCATGCGATTCGTGGAGACGCGGAAAATTACACAGTATCGCTGTATTCCAGGTTTATTTACTGGCCTATGAGTGGAAACAGAAATTGAGTAGAATTGTAATCTTTCCTTATTTTGATCCCAACGATCATGTTCTGCGTCCTTCATGGAAGGAGTAACTATCTGTCAAAAGTAAGATGTACTTCTCTCACTGACACAGCACAAATCTTGCCGAGGATGTGTTCAGAAAATCGCTCAAAGGTTTACCGGAGATCTTTTAAAAGATGCAAAAAAAATAATCCATCGATTAAAACAACATCCACAGCTGACGATGGACTAGGAGCACTTGAAGAAATCATACTTCCAAAAAAGTTTCAGCAAAACAAACTTGTCGATTTTAATCATCGATCCATTAATGTTGCATAGAGACAAACGGAACTGGAGTCAGGGGATAGTTTAGAACGAGCTGAAGATCTATATTCTTTTCTCTTCAAGTTTTCTGTTTCTCAGTCTGAGAAGAATTCAAGAAATACCGACAATCTTATCGCGAAATAAACAATTTATTATTTTCCCTAATTGAATTCGTTTGGTAACTCCAAGCGGTGCGTAAATCTATAGCTATCTCTGTTCGTTGTGCTCTCGCGCGCTTATCTCTCACACGCTCGCACTCGCTGGGATTTACTATACCTAAATTTTTTAACTTCTAAGACATCTGCCACTATTAAAGCTACACTTAATATCGTCTGCCAGGATATATTTTAAAGCAGTGACAAAAAGAGGAATTTTTATGTATAATTTTTATACAGTCCTCATGGTTTAGTTCAGGGCTGTTTTTCCCTACATTGGAGGGCGTCTTTCGCTACCAACGCTGCACTTGAAATCGTCTGCCATAGCATATTTGAAAACTATGGAAAAAATGGGATTTCTTGATACAAATCTTTTCCGTGACCCTTATAGTTTGATAATTTAGTTGATCACCTAAAGAAGTCACCTATTCAGCACCGCCCCAAGTTAATGCTGCCGCTTACGACTGGCAGACGAGTGATTTTATTATTAGTTTTCAACGTACTTTCAGCCTGTATTGTCGAATTTTTTGTCGCTTATGGTTTATTTACTATGTACGCTGCCTCCCGGTCTAATAGCTTTAGCCATATAAAACGCAATTCCAAAAATTGAGCCTAATCGATCAACATTCACAGTGCCCTTTTCGCATCTCAATCGGAAACCGAATTGCAAACTTTTTTTTATTTATGAAGGTATTTAAATGAAATTTGATACGTAGCCACTTGGAATAAAAGCAAATTTAACGTCAGTTTCAAAATTTAGTTTTGCGCATGCGCAGTGCTAAGCGGGTGGTAAAAATACAAAACTTAGCATGTAAATGCTGCAAAAATTGCAGCAATTAAAAAACTGTCATATAGGAATGCGCATGCGCAGTACGCGCGGGTTCGCTTTATTTCAGCCTTGTGGCTTATTGCTCATCTTGCCTGTTAATTTCCGAAATCCCTCATTCTGATCTAAAGATTAGTATCTCTAATGAGTAGTTTTAATTACTTTCTTATTTTTAGTTCAATTTTGTTGGAAAGCTTTTGGGTCCTAAGGGAAATTCTATGAAAAGACTGCAAGAAGACACAATGTGTAAGATGGCCGTTTTAGGACGAGGTTCGATGAAAGATCGTCAGAAAGAGGACGAACTCCGAAAATCCCTTGATCCTAAATATGCTCACCTTTGTGACGATCTTCATGTAGAGATCTCCGCTTTGGGGCCACCTGCCGAGGCTCATGCTAGAATTGCTTTTGCCTTGGCAGAAGTAAGAAAGTATTTAATTCCCGATAACAACGATAACATAAGGCAAGAGCAAATGAGAGAAATGGAAATTATTACTTCGGCCGATCCCGCTCATCCTACCCATAAGGAAGGTCCTCCACCGACCAAACGTCCGACTGCAATTTTGAGGAGTGTGTAAATTTGTAATCAAACATTGTTTATCGATTGATTGTTTTAGCTGCACCTGCTCCACGCCCTCCTGTTCCAATGCGCACTGCTACTCGAATGCCCGTCTCCACACCGCGTGTAATGCCAGCAAAGACTAAAATTATGTCTATACTTGATCGCGCACGTATTGCCATGGAGGAAAGTTATGGAGGACCCTACGAGGAGCCATACGAACCAAATGAGCCGGCCTATGATTCCTACCCGACAACAGTGAGTCACTCTCGATCCACCTATTCCAGTCACCACTATAGTCCTCAAGAATACGAACCAGAGTATTATCGTGAAGGTTCTGCTCCATACGAAGGTAAGATTTCTGTTTGTATTTATAGAATGTGTAGTAATTAATTCTAATATAAAACGCTAAAATGATATAAACGATAAATTGTGGAATGCTAAGGCGCGTTTTTAATTTCAATATTTAACAAATATTTAAATAATAAAAATATTTCTTTAATACCTGGCTTAACATAAACACGTATGTACACAGAACCATCAACCCATCGCTGGAAACCATATAAAACGAGTAGTTCAACCACACGTCACAGTGAATCAACTCGTTATCGAGATTCTCCGTACTCTCGTCCTTCAAAGTAAAGCACTATCGTAAACTTCTTTTTAACTTTTACTCTTTTTATAAATGTAGTGTCAGTTCTCTACAAATTTTTAAAATACAATAAAAAATTTACTACAACCTTTAATTTGTATCACTATAATACATTTCTTTCATTATTTACGTAATCTTTTTTATTTTAAAATAACCATAAAATGAATTGACATTTTACTTAGCATAAACCATATGTATTTCTAAATAAATGTATCGTATTATTAATCTTTAGAGTAGATAAATGGGGCTATTCTTTAAGTAAAAATAATAGATAAACTACTGCTAATAATTTAGTGGTACGCGTTTAAAAATAATAACAGCTTGTGAACCTCTTATAGAATAGCTCGTAATCCATTTATGTGTATTAGGAAGAGTTAAAAAATTGTTGTGAAAAAGTGCTGTAACTGTAACACGAACTAAATAACGAATAAAATTTTCAGTCTCTATTGGTATAGTTTTTAAAATGTGCTACAACTAACTTTTTGAATTTCTTTACAGAAACAGAGAGTACAAAATAAGTAGATTGAATTGTTGAGTAAAAGAATCTCACTTTATAAATCTCGAAATATGAAAACTAAGGAGAATTATGTCAAAACAGAAGGTATAAGCAGAGAGAAGCATAAGAGATGGTAGAAGAGTGGAAATTACATTAAACAGGTGAAATGGACAGGAGCAAGTTACCTTAACCACAGCAAAAATATCATAAGAAATATACAGTGCGTTTATCTTAAACTGGAACATACGATTTTGCATGCAATGGTGTTTCCCTATGTTCCATTTTAGAAAATAACGCATCAACCTATGGGATATGTGCGAGTCACAACTGAACCTTTAATTATTTTTAGGTTATGTAGGATACTGGACTGCAAGTAAATCGCGGACTTGTCTTGCACTGTTGTGACCTTTGTATAAATTTATAATTTCAATTTTCATCTCTAGACAGCATTTTTTAAATTTATCTGCAGGATGGTAGATTTGAAGGTGACAGTTGTACATTGCACCTACTACCCATTTGAACTACTGTAGGTTGACGCTTTTTTTTTTAATGGAACGTAGGAAAATAACATTGCATCAAAAATTGTATGTTCCAGTTTAAGAAAACGCACTGTATATTTCAACTTGAAAAAATTTACCACAAAGGTTTCTTTGTGGCAAAGTGTTTCGTGTCACAATTCTGTTAAAATTGCTATTTTTTGCGAATATTCAATGTTTATTTTGATTATTTAGGGTGTTCTAGATTACACGTTGTTAGTGTTGACACTTCACTTGAATTTCTCCATCAGCCTTTACAGCCCGGTAAACGGCTAAGTATGTACAGTAATGTATGGTATGGATAGTCCAAACAGAGAGGTGGCAGAACCGTTTGGAGGACCATGTTTCAGGAGTACAGAATTCATAATAAATGATATCTATAATTCGAACACGTTTGGTTTATAGGTACCATACCATACATACAGGGTGTTACATATATGTATGTAAAATAAAATTGGGTGGAGAGGGGATCAAAACAAGCACTATTAATAATAATAATAATAATATTTATATATTTATACAGTAAATATTTCCACAAGTCACAGTAAGGATATTACCAAATAACCTGATGGTCCAATGTGTTTAGTTTGAGCGTCACCCTCAAAAAACTGGTAAAATTTCTTCTTTTATTTTTTTCTTAGCAACCATAAGAATTACAAAGACTGGTGGCATATCTTAAGTAATTACCATGACAAATTGGCTTTGTTTGGGTTCTGCATTCAACTGAGATGCAATGTTGTTATCTATAATTGTTTCTTCGTCAACCTCACTTAGATCCGAACTCATATCACTGCCACATTTATGAAGCATATGTAATTTAGACCACGAATTATGTACCCAGTCCTGGGAAACACATCTCTTTATCTCATCATCAGATAAAAAGGTTTCGGAATTACAATTACTCTAGTCAAAATCCTGGTGTACCTCTCTGGGAAACACAAATTTTCCTGACAATTCAGTAACTACATCGTTAATGTAGGTAAGTCCTGGATTTTATGGATGTGCTAAAATTAACTATGGTAGAGGAGGCGGAGGTTAGGGATCTAGTTTGTCTGAATATTTGCTCACATAGCTGTGAGCTAAAATGCCATTTAGTAAACATATCTTTGTTTTTATCACGGACTAAGTTATTGACTTTAATTTTTACATTAACCTCATATGCGTTTAACAAGATAAAATTGTCTGTGGTGTTCCATTGACTTGATGATAATAACCAATAACGCCACAGAATGTGTTCTGAAAAGAATCACATACCATTTTCATTATTTTTAAGTACTCGATAGTCATTAATGAAAATTTTTAAAACGCTAACGGAGCCAATTTTTTTCGCAGCGTTGTAGTTCATGTGTCATCGGCCTTTAAGCCTGATAAAATAAGAAGATGGTTATTTTTACTGTGATTAGCAATAATATCTTCCAAATCGTTTCTAGATGCGGAGAAATCACTCATTACCGCAGTTTTTGTGATTCTCTATAAATTTTTAAAAAGAGAGTTTTTAATTTTGTTTAAATATGTACAGCACCACTACCACCATTGCGATCTCCGTAACGGTGAGAGATAAAGTGTTGCCCTTTTTGTGACTAAAAAAACGCAAACGAAATTCTTTGAAAATAACTGAGATATCGCAGAAAAACAGAAAATGTCAAATTTCATTTTCCCTAACTTTAAGAGTTCTGTACGTAAAAGCAACTTTTTAGCGCATTTTTGATAAAAATACGCTAATATATTCATTATGGTTAGCTGGCTGGCTGTTTGGCTGAGATCTCGGCAATTACAATAGCTAGAGACTTCAAATTTTCACTAAAATCTTTCTGTTATAGTGTAGAAGTGCAGGCTCTAGTCTATTTTGAGTTAGATTACTCATGAGATAGATAATTTTAAACTTCGCTAATAAAATACTGATCGGTATTACCAAAAATGCACTTTCATCATGCATATGCTGATTTACAACTTGTTTACATTACAGTGTATAGATGATTATAGTAAATGCAAACATTTGCTAGAGACAAGATGGTATTCTTGCTTTGTCAACTCCTATCTTGCTCCTTAGTGAGTTCCCGCCGACACTGTGCGGCACCGCCACTTCTACACTCAAATTGTTTATTTACCGCCCGCCAAGATACAGACTTTATTTATAGTCGAGTAAAATTAGAGTTCAACCTAGAACAAATTCGGGACAAGCAAGCGATGCCCGAAATGAGTAGTACCAATAATGCTCTTTAACAGACTAAAAGTCCCCATATCTCGGAGGTGCGGAACATCCTGAAAATTGAGCCGCCATCTTGGATTTTCATGTTTTTTGCTAATAACTTTGTTAGGTATTATTATTTTTTTCGGAAAAAGTCAGAAAAGGGAATTTGTGAAGCTTTAAAATACAAATGCAATACTGCTTCAATTCTCGAATTCGATTGAAAACAGTGCAACACTCCTCCCTCCCCCAGATATGAGCAGAGATATGTGTGATAACCCCCTACCCTTACTCCCTCCTGCCCTCACCCCCTCCCCGCCCATCTGCCCTCGCTTCATCCCCCTTTTCTGGTATAGTTGATCTAAACTAATTAAAAAACTAAACATGATTAACGTATATTTATTTGCAATGGACAATTTAGGGTAAAGGTTCAGCATCATCACTTTCTGGGTCTAAGCTGTTGCCGACTTCCTACAGCTACAAGAATTAGGTACACGTTTCTCTGCAACCGCAAAACAGCATTTTCAAAATGAGATCCGGTTCACAGGGTTTTTCCATTCTTACGGGCTCCAAGACATTGTTTTGATTCGTAAACCAGCCAAAGTTTTTAGGGTTCAGTTCCTCACCCATCCAATTCTGGACCTGTAGATACACCCGTCTCAAACGTAATCTAGCAGCATGCGATGTAATGTAGGAGGTAATGTAAGCTTGACACATCATCCGATTCAAATTTATATAAAACCACGAGATCTGCAGCTTTTTAATCAGTGCGACTCAAGGTCTGCTTGTTGCTTTCTTGGACCACTTTATTGATGATGATTGTAAAAGTAACATTCGGTAGTTATTTGAAAATATTGCCCCAGGAGGGGGCGGTAAACTAAAATTTGGACTGAAAATTGTTGAATCGATAAAGAATAATTTTCTTTGTCTATAAAGTTCCAATGAATTTCGCCTATCGGATAAATCCAATTATTCGCGTAGTTATTCGTGTATAGTGCGATTATTGATACAATAAAAAAATCATAACTCCATTAGTTTCCAATCGATTTCGAGAAATAAAGAAGCATTGGATTCGTATTTTAAAGCTTCACAAATTCCCTTTCCTAACTTTTCCGAAAAAAATAATAACAAAGTTATTAGCAAAAAACATGAAAATCCAAGATGGCGGCTCAATTTTCAGGATGTTCCGCACCTCCGAGATATGGGGACTTTTAGTATGTTAAAGAGCATTATTGGTACTACTAATTTCGGACATCGGTTGCTTGTCCCGAATTTGTTCTAGGTTTGAGCAAATATTACTCTAATTTTACTCGACTATTACAAAAAATACGATTTCTTTTTTGGGGCAATGTTTAGAAGTAACTTATCTATAAAAGTGTCTATACTTTTTCCATAAATCAGGAGTAAAATAATAAAACAGATTCGCGCAAGTCGCCAACTTCATTTACACTTGATATTATGGTGATCTTGCGCAATATGCATTTTAAGTTGCAGTAAATTTGGGGAGAATATTTGTTTCATCAACGATTGTTAATTTTGCAATGTATCTCCATATTATTTATAACTTCTTCTATATTTTTGTGATTTTCGGTGAGGTTTTCTTTATGGTTTTGGATTTGACCTTTTGGTGCAAGTTGTTTTCTTCTTCACAATATTTCCTATTTTCTTCAAAAATTACCATGTCCCCATCGAAAATTTTGAAACAATCTGGTTTTTTTTAAAAAGATGCTATAATGCAGCAGAATTTCAGCAATTGCAATCAGTTATTGTACGGTGTTTGGTGCAAATTTCTCAATTTTGGTGATACGTTCTTTAGTTAATGATAACATGTTTTGGTCTTGGAAATTATGGAAAATTAAATACGAAAGTGTGGTCCAATTTTAATTTTGCGATTCTTTTGAATCCTGTCAAACAAAGAACCTGCTAAAACTGTGCTTAAAATCCCTCGTTTATTTAGTTTAATAAAAAAACACAATATAAAATGCTTTGTGAACATTTGGTGCTCTGGCAATAATACTAAACTTCTCAATCATGGTATATATGGTATAGAACCCGGTTTATGCACCATAGGTATTTTAAAGCTAATTTCTTTATATCGAAATATTTTCTCCCCTAATTAATTTACAGCAAAGTTGTAAATAGATGTAAAAAAAACATTGATACAAAAATTGATATACAATTACAATTATAATTTCCTTAATTTTTCCGATTTTCTACAACAAATAATTACAAATGGGCACATGAATAGACGCACAATTTTACAATCTACAAAAAAATTCATTACAACTTTGCTGTAAAATAATTAGGGGAGAAAATATTTCAATATAAAGAAATTACCATTGAATTACCTATGGTGCGTAAACCAATTCTACACTCTGTATAATATACTATTATTTTCCACCAAACAGTTATTAAAGCCGTTTTTTCCCGGCACTTTAATTTTTAGCGTTGATTTTTGTTCATTTTTTGATCTTGAACAATTACTATAGAAATAAATAATGTATTCCACACAACGATAAAATATCAAGCCGTCGCCGTCGTTTCCATAGAAACAGCATTGTCATATGTTCTGAACGTCACTTTATATCGTGCTTTGCGTCCTCAAATATGAATGACAGATATTATTAGAATGCACAATCATCTGTTTCACTTAATCTACTCTTGCAGTTAAGGTGATCTGATCACTTTATCTACCCTTACGGTTAAAGAGCGGCTTAGCCTACTCATTCAAACCTATTAAAATGTCAATTTAACATATGCTATAAAATAACTAACTATTAATTTGTTATGTATACTGTATGTTATACTTACTGGCGAGTAAATATATCAGTCTAGCATGTTTTCTTGTTAAGTAACAAGCACGAGCACAACACGCATATTAATACCGCACGTGGGCAGAATACATGCGCACGCTTAAGTTAGCTTTCAAATCATATTCATTGCAATATAGTTAATGAGAATACCTATACAGTAATCAATGAAAATATGTCACTACAGATAACATGTGGTGGGTGTTTAGTTTAAATGAATTTAGGTATGTTATAATTTGAGCTTCTACTTATTTTGTACTCTTGACAGAAACGCTGTTACATCATGAACATCATTAATTTAAACATGTAAGTTGGTTATTTTGAATTTTTCTTTAAAACTCCGCGGATTTTCTTTTGTTGCACAAAGTAGCATGAAATAAAACGCGTGTGAATTTTTTAAACAAAAATATGAACAAACAAGCATGTGGTATCCTTAAAATTGATTAAAGATATTACATAAATATTCCTTGAAATGAATCTTGTAGTTTTTACAAGTTGTGAAATTTTTCTAACGAATTGTTATAAATTAATTTTTTTAGATAGTAGGTATTAAAATATTGTGTCTTATCTACTTATCTAAATAATTTTTTGTGTAAATGTCTAATTTCCTGTACTTATATTTTTACTGTTCCAGTCTCCACCATACAAAATGGTTGATGCAGCAATGAAAATTATGGAATGACAATGCTGAGTTATGCTCTGGGGAATTACAGCGAAGACTACCTAATTATTTCAGAAAAAGAGAGTGTCAATTATACGTCCAAGAACATGAAATCTTCTTTGAATAAATATTTGGTTTTTCATGTACAAACAGTTGCATTGTTAGCAATCAGTAGAGATAAAAAGTGGTCACATTCAGCAAGGAGTTTTCGAAAATATCCACAAATATTGCATACCAATTTTTGCAACTACTCAGATTTTTCCTGCTAATTGTTATTGTGCAAAAACTTGTGTACTTACTGCTACATTTTCCAGCAGCCAGATGGACTGTGGACGAGTTTTCAAAGTGCCTTTTGTATGTTATAAGATGCCGAAATTCGAATATATTTTAGATGTTCTTTTTGTGGCAGTGCAATGTAATAAACATTATTAGCGAGCTTGTGTTTAATGTTCCTGTAAATTTCCTAATACTATACTACAGTATTTCTTTTTTTTTTAGCAAAGTTGTTAAAACTACGAGTTGGTTTTTCCGGCTTTCATTAGGATAGAACTGAAAGTTTGTAGGGTATGTAGGCCAAAGAAAGGTACTTAAAACATTTTCTCAATCAGACAAACCCATTTACCCAAAATAGTCCTGAAACCTTCATTTTCATGCCTACTTTTTGTCAGGAAATTTTAGTTTCCATGACGGGCAGAGCAGATTACGTTCCTGCCGGTTGTCACTTTACTGGCCGCAACTGTCCGGCTGCATTTGTGACAAAAACTCTGTAATGACTCCTGTCATTGACAGACGATCCAAGTGGCAGCGTTTGTCCAGCAGACGCCGTTAAAGATTGTCATTCCATCTCAGTTTAGCGCGTAAGGAGTAATTCTATAGAGCGAGACGTCTACAGTGTTCAGGCTCACCTACGTTCTGGCCGCCGTAATTATAATTAAAAAATGTACAGTTTTTCATCAATATTTAATATTTTTTACGAAAATAAGTACCTATTATACAAAAAAAAGACGCCTAATCTTCTTCATCACTGGTTTCGTGATATTGTGGATCTTCATCACGTTCATCTAAAAGTACCTACATTAATATCTTTAGTAAGAATATCTTTCAATTTTTCTGAAAATTGGGGCCCTACGTACCACCGTAGTGTACTTATACAAATTATTTTCAATAATTCAACCGTCGTTTTCAGGCTGGTTAAATTTAAGAGATTTTTGTGTGGCATGCCTCCAAATAGCACAAACCTGGTTTATTCTTTTAATTTTCATTAAAAGTACACCCGAGCATGGTGGTAGTGAGCTATACCATCGAATTGCCGTATTCGGTTAAATATTTTTTTGTTATTTTGTTTCAGTTTGTCTAAGAAAATTTCCTACCTGCAATATAATTATATTTTTAATAAACACTCGAAGTTGGGACATCCCACTTATACTTACCTCGCTTTTTTTATTTCAGTTTTTTTTCTTTTTCCGTATTATTACTCAAATAAATAAAATCCGTCTATTACCGAAAGATTCCGTGCCAGAGACTCGGGCAATTTTTGGCAGAGATGCCGAATAAGCATACCGGACCTGACCAGATACAACCTACAGATTTATTGAAGGCACTAGAACAGATAAATTCAAATCCTCGTTAGTAGAATTTCTAGTGCAGGAATGGTGCTAAGATCATTATGCCACTATTTTGGGGGACAAAATTAATAATATATTAATAATAAATTGTAACGATATATGAATATGATACAAAATATAGTAACGAAATTGGATTTATGTTCCAAGAAATTAAAGAAGAACTATAATATGTTTTCATTTATCAAACTTCCAGAAGATAACAATGTCATTATAAAAGCTTTGGCGACAGATTCATTCATTGCCCAAAAATCTATCAATTTGGATTGAAACAGATACCTAATAGGAAATAGTCATTAACTCATTACCTACGATGAAATCTATTTAGTTTTAAATACATCCACTTGAATGATCATTCTTACTTTAGGCCCCGAACTATGTAATTCTTATGCCAGATTTTCATGCAATTACTATTTGTGGTTACACCGCAGCTTTTGCAAGAAAAGCAAACTGAAGCTCTTCAAAATTTTAGAACAAGATAAAGGAATGCTAGATTTTTCAACTTTCGGCGATTCTGAAATCGTAGATAAAAAATAAATTAAAGCAGTTGAAAAATTGGCTTGCCTAATATACGGAAAAAGAAAAAAAACTGAAATAAAAAAAGTATAAGTGGGATGTCCCAACTTCGAGTGTTTATTAAAAATATAATTATATTGCAGGTAGGAAATTTTCTTAGACAAACTGAAACAAAATAACAAAAAAATATTTAACCGAATACGGCAATTCGATGGTATAGCTCACTACCACCATGCTCGGGTGTACTTTTAATGAAAATTAAAAGAATAAACCAGGTTTGTGCTATTTGGAGGCATGCCACACAAAAATCTCTTAAATTTAACCAGCCTGAAAACGACGGTTGAATTATTGAAAATAATTTGTATAAGTACACTACGGTGGTACGTAGGGCCCCAATTTTCAGAAAAATTGAAAGATATTCTTACTAAAGATATTAATGTAGGTACTTTTAGATGAACGTGATGAAGATCCACAATATCACGAAACCAGTGATGAAGAAGATTAGGCGTCTTTTTTTTTGTATAATAGGTATACTATTTTCGTAAAAAATATTAAATATTAATGAAATACTGCACATTTTTTAATTATAATTACGGCGGCCAGAACGTAGGTGAGCGTGAACACTGTAGACGTCTCGCTCTATAGAGTTACTCCTTACGCGCTAAACTGAGATGGAATGACAATCTTTAACGGCGTCTGCTGGACAAACGCTGCCACTTGGATCGTCTGCCATTTTCGATAAAGACACAACTCAACATTGTGCATCGAATGGGACATCTCCCATCCTGGAAGAAATCGTGTGATTTCTCGATATTTTTTCCAAATTTGAGCGCGCGCCCTACTCTAACGCTGCCAATATAACACGGCAGACGGCCGATTTAAGAATGTGCATGTAAAGTACTTTTAAATAAAAATAGTGAACCTTTGGAATAATGTCAGGTGGTATAATGTTTGCTAGCTCTCGGACTATACCACTAAAGTTGTAGGACTAGGCGCCAGTTGCACCAACAAAATTAAGCTTTGTTTATAAAGTTAAGTCGAACTTAAAATCTATGGCAACGATTATTAAGGCAATAGTTGCTATGGTATTTAAGTTATGCTTAACTTTAAGAGATACTTAATTTTGAGGGTGCAATTGGCCCTAAGACAATTTACTGGTTCAACACTTTTTCGGGTCTACCAATAAACCATGTCTATGCAATAAACGAACGCTTTTAAGTGCAAAAAGAGTGTTCAGAACGGATGTAACGGACGCACCTAGGTTTAGGAACCAAGCTCGCTGTGACGCCCGGCCTTACTGTCATTGTCTCATTGATTATACACTCCTGACACCAACATATCTATGAACTATGAACGACAAATAAGCCACCCTGTATTTCTGTAACAGTCGATTCTTTTTATTTATTTTATTTAACCTGTAAACTAATGCACGATAACGATACGTGATGTGTTTATGGGTACACTACTAACGTCAGGCCTTTTGTTTATTTGAATAACCAAAAACAATGACATAGCAAGGAGTAAAGTATTCTTTGGACATAGGTAGCTAGTTCGCCAATTAGTGACCCCATTTTCCCTCCCAACAGTGCGCCAGTGTTTTATACATTTGTTCAGCTTCACAGAACAGTAATATTTCAGCTTCACCATTGAATTTGATAGTAGTTATACATTCAATGGCTTCAGTGTGATATGAATCTTTGACTTTTTTAATTTATTATTATTATTGCGTGTTGAACTTAATTTTTATTGCTACTTGATTGATTACAATTTGCAGCTGACTGTTCTTTGGACTTTATACTTTGTGCTGACCTGACTCTACCAATACCAAACAAAAGTAGGTAGAGTATACCAAAATAAATTAGATGGTAGTTCAAAGTCCACGTATACCGTGTAGATTATTTTGTATTTCGTTTTCAAAGGTGCGTTCATCTGGTGCAAAGTAAAAAAGTATTATAAAAGTGAGTTTTGTTCGACCTAAGTATAATGGCTTTGCAAGCTGGTAAACATTTTCTGAAGCACAGTATTACTTCAGGTGTTAATCAAGGTAGGAACATACTGGTTTGATACCAATAAATTATCGATACTGAAACTTTTAGGATTTATTCGACCTATCTCTGTAAGTCACCAACGAAATGCACCTCGAAAAGGTTTGCCAGACAAAACGGGCAAGAATATAGTTCTTATAGATGGTGTTAGGACACCATTTTTAATGTCGGGTACAGATTATTCGAAACTTATGCCACACGATTTAGCGAGACACGCTTTATTGTAAGTGTAGAAAATAGTTCATAACAAACTTTAATTAAACAATGCAGAGGAATTGCGAAGAAAACCGGACTTCCGAAAGAACTTGTCGACTACATTGTTTATGGCACTGTGATTCAAGAGGTTAAAACATCAAATATTGCACGTGAAGCCGCACTTGCTGCGGGGTATAGTAATAAAACCCCAGCGCATACTGTAACTATGGCTTGCATTTCTTCAAATGCAGCTTTAACAACAGGTCTGAATGCATTTATTACAGTTTCGTGTACATTTTGTATTATTTTTTAGGAATCGGTTTAATTTCTGCCGGTGTGTATGATGTAATTGTTGCTGGTGGTGTAGAGTTTATGTCCGATGTTCCAATCAGGTTAAATCGAAAAATGAGAAGTCTTTTACTGAGAGTAAATAAAGCGAAAACTTTAGCGCAACGTTTACAACTGATGCTTTCCATTCGACCTAATTTCTTTGTCCCAGATGTATGTCATTTACCAAATAATGTTCGTTAGAGTTACATGGAATTTTAGCTTCCATCCGTGGCCGAGTTTTCTTCAGGTGAAACTATGGGTCATTCTGCAGATCGTTTGGCAGCAAGTTTTGGTACTACGCGGAAAGAACAAGATGATTTCGCATTAAGATCGCATACGTTAGCGCATCAAGCTCACGACAAGGGGTATTTGACTGATTTAATGCCAATCAAGGTAACATCAACAGTTCATTTTTTAAATGTTTTAAATAGGTGTTTGTAGGTGCAAGGAGTCGATAAGACCATCGACAAGGATAATGGTATTCGAGTGTCTAGTCCAGAACAGTTGGCGAAACTAAAACCAGCGTTTATTAAACCGCATGGTACAATTACAGCCGCTAACGCGTCATTTTTGGTAGGTCATAGTGATCAGATGCGCTTATCCGAAACTATTGTAGGTGTCATAATAACTAATTTCCTACTTATATTGTTTCATCATTAAAATTGATTTCACATATAGCAGTTAGACTTGGCCGACCTCACGAACTTATTAAGATGGACTGCTGATGAAACAATTGCATAGAGGTAGAAATGGCCCTAGCATGGGCGCGGCCATGATGTGCACGTTACAGTTATTTTCTAGGGGAGTTTTCCTAGTGCTCAAGTTTTGAGATTATTGCAGCCTTGGAAAATGACATGTGTCACAGTAATTTATTTAGAAAACGTGAGGTTATAGTCGGAGAGCTGGTAGACATTTTTGGGTAGGTATTTGAGGCACTCTGAAAACTTGTCCAACACTTCTCCAATAATCCCCAAGCACAGAAATGCAGACCTGGCTGAGGAGTGGCGGGGCTAACACTTTGCCAGGGGCCTTCAAAGTTTGGAAAAATAATGTCATTGATTTGTGAATCAATTTCAGACATATGCAGACATACGCTAAAGGGCTGCAACAACTATCAAGTATGCGAAATCGATAAAAAATCTTGTCTGAAATTGATTAACAAATCAATGACGCAGGGTCAAGGGACTCTTGATTTGAATTTTGAAGTGTATACTGGCCGCAATAAATACATGAACACCTAGTGTACTTTGATCACTTTTGACGAAAGTTTCAGGAGAATTGTCTTTATTTCGGCATAAGAAACGATGAAAATTTCAACATGATACAATTACAACTAATTCAGACGACACTAGAGTAGTCTCAAAATGAGAAGTACATTGTGACGTCATCACTTTCTGCGCGTATTGTTGCCACTAGTGGCGTATCATAGGGTATTTAAATTGAGGTTTGAAAGTACATTTGCTGTGTGAGGCAATGCACAAATAATGTCAACGCACGCGCTCCCCTTTAGGAGTTATCATGTACTCTCCCGGACACATTTTCATGCTTTGCGCAAATGACGTCACGATGTACTTCTCATTTTGAGATTACTCTAATAATGTGTAGATCATCCACTACTTCTGACGCATTCAGATACTCGACTGGGCATACATTCTTTTTTCAAACTTTGAAGGCGCCTGGCAAGGTGTTAGCCCCGCTTCTGCTCAGCCAGGTCTGCATTTCTGTGTTTGGGTATTATTGGAGAAGTGGTGGACAAGTTCTCAGCGTGCCTCAAATACTTACCTAAAAATGTCCACCAGCTCTCCTACTGTTGGGTTAATGGTTGTTTATTAGTTAATTTGAATTTCGCGCCAAGTGAATGCACATCATGGCTGTCCCCATGTAGGTGTCATTTGTCAATTCAGCAGTAGCAGTCCATCTTAATTTATAAGTTCGTTGCCGACCTATACAAACAATGATTAAAAGATTAGAATGTTAACCATCTTTCATTGTAAGAATGTTTCCCATTCTAATATTTTTAATCATTGCTGAACCTTATCACGTTGAGTGCCACGAGAAATTTTTGAAAATTTTTTATCGGGCCAAAAACTATTTTAAGCATTTTCGGATATGTTATGGCGGGTATAATGGCAAAAAGTTATAAATATCATGATACAGTGTGTAAAGCGATGGGGTATACAAGAGGGAATTTTTTTTTAAATATTGATTTATGAAAAAAATGTATTCTTCATGATATGTTTTGCTTGCTTTGAAAGTACCAATAACGTTTCGATAATCTAAAATTTATTTATAAAAATTTGGAAAAATAATAAAATTCATTTTTTTTTATTGAAAATTATCATTCTACATTATAATTAAGATAGAGTATTACTATCAAACCACAAACAATCGAAACGTTATTGGTATTTTCAAAGCAAGCAAAAAATATTATGAAGAATAAATTTTTTTATTTAAAAATAAAAATAATAAATTTAATAAAAACTGCTGCAACTACCGATGCCCTATCAGATATGTTACGATCGGCCCCCACGGACCGCTGCGGCGCTAAACGTGGTAAGCATCGTTTGTGAAACCTGCCATTAGACTATACAGGAGGGTGTTACATGACTGTATGTAAACAAAAATTGGGTGATACAGGGGATCAAGACAAACACTTTTTCCAAATAAACCGAGGGTCCAACGTGTTTCGTTTGGGAGCCACCCCTAAAGAAGTGGTGAAATTTGGATTTTTTCTTTAATTTTTTTCTTAAGAGTTACAAAAATGATTGGCACGTCTTCGAATAGGTTTTCGAGTATGCCCTATCCGATTTTGAAAAAAATATGTTTAAAATTCCTACCACGAAAGAGCGCACCCCTACTTGGGGGTGCGAACAAAAATTCTGATTTCGATGAAATTTTGTATTTGGGGGTTTTTGAACATGAAAATGACGAATCTGGAATTAGTTTTTGAAAATTATGATTAAATGATCACAAAAATTTCTATCATGGTATTTAAGTCTGCAAATTCGATTCCAAAAATTCCGTGCCTGCGGGAGGTGGGAAAATGTTTTTTAAGTAGAGTTCCATTACAATCAATAAGCATTATTGCAAGTATAATATCGACTTAAATGTCATCAGATAATAACAAAAGTGTTACCTTTTTATATAACTCTCGCCAGGAAAGATTGCCGGTTACAGCACACCTTGTGTTGATCTGCAGTCTATGTTTTTCTTAAGATGCGAGCGACTTCCGGAATAGAATCGTGCCAATGGCCCGTATGAATAAAAGTAAGCAAATGCTTATACTTGCAAAATTCAAAGTAAATACTCGTAACTCCCCCTTCATACTGGTCTGTTTAGCATGGTTTAGCAGCGCTGCACTGCGTCCTGTCCTTCTGCTTAGAAGCGCTGCTAAGTCGCCCAGAGCGAAGGAGCACTTACGAGTATTTCTTTGAATTTTGCAAGTATAAGTATTTGCTTACTTTTATTCATACGGGCCATTGTTGAACGAAAAGTCTTTTTGTTCAACATTGACATGATACTATCCCGGAAGTCGCTCACATCTTTAGAAAAACATACATTGTAGACCCGGATCAAGTGTTCTGTGACTGGCAATCTTTCCTGGCGAGAGGGTTATGGAACTTGCTGCATATTATTACATCATATGAAAGCGTATTAATTTTTCTACAAAAGTTCTTTATGCACCATAGCCAAATCCTTCAAATGACCAAAATATAACCATTCATTTCATTTCGATCTACTAAAAAAACAAAAATGATAAAATACGTTGTTTGTGCACATTAGTTCATTGGTCCTAAATTTATCCTCCAGTATTGATATATGCGTCCTTTCAATCATGGAAAACACAAACTTCGAGTTTACTTTGCGTTACAATAATTTTCAAAATTCTCTTTATCTTTACCGAGGTGTAACACCAAACGTTTGTCTTAAAATAAACATAAAGTGTGTGGTTTCCACGATTAAAGGGACGCATGCGTTAATACTGGCGGATAAATTTAGGACCAATAAACTAATGTGAACAAACGTCATTTTATCATTTCCATGGATAACTAGTTCAAAATGAATGTCTTTGTTATTTGAAGTATTTTATCCATGGTGCGTTCACATTTAATTTTTTAATTGCAGATTTGGATTCAGTAGAACAAAATACACAATTTTGATAATTTACTTGTCTTTCCAACTCTGCAATACTACGACAGTTAGCAATATATACAATAGTGTCGACTTAATTTGACTGTATTATTAATTATTAGATACAACCAAAAAGTGAATATGGATCATTTAAAGTGTTTTCTAAGTAATTAATTAAAATTAAATTCTTGTTTTAACATTTTAGTGGATGCTCGCTAAGAGCAAAAGGATCCTGGATCAAATCTGAATTTGGGTATCTTAACCTTCGTCGTACCGTACCAAAAAAGTTACACGGAATACCAAGCGGGGTACGTTTGTACCCCACTGTAAATAACACTGGGGAACAGTAATTTTGCGGCATGGCAGATTGAAGTCAATTCTGTATCAGACTAGTGTGCTGAATACTGGAAAAATATCAGATTTGTAAAATTGGCTCCAGTTTTTGAGATAAAAACTATTAACTATTTCAATAAAAAATTTTAGTAAAAATACCAATTTGCACGGAAAAAATACTCTTATTAAGTTGATCTTTAGGAACGAAACAAAAACAAAAATATCTGACGAAATTTAAGAAAAATCACAAAAAACTTTTTCTGTAGGCTTTTCTGCCATGGTTCTGCCCAAGACAATCCCTTACTAAGAGTCTGCCATCATGTGGCGGTCCCATCGACCTTGGTATCTGTCTTCCATGACCCTAATGTCCTGGTGGAACCGTTCTCCTTGTTCCTCGCTGTAATCGCCCACATTATGCGGGAATCTATCTAAATGACAATGCAAAAAGTGCCTTTAATGCTCATATTAGCTCCTAATTTGTTAAAATTTTGAAGCATTTTAGTGACTATTTTTGCATAGTCTGGAGCTTTATGACTCCTTAAGAAATTTTTGATTACTAAAAGAAAGCTTAACCGTGCCTCAGATTCAATTTGTGTCGTATAGTACAAACTCCGTGATAATTTTTCTTTGTTTTTGTAAACAAAATTTACCACATATATAACAAAAATTGTTGGGGTCATTTACACACGGTTTTCGTTGCGAAATCATATTTTTCAAGACGAATAGAACTTTTACGAAAAAGAGTTGACGTCGCGTCAGTTTTGAAACTTCTGTTTCATGGAGTCATATGTAATTTAAATATCACCGAAGGCGACTTGATGTCAATCCTTTTTTGATCACCGCGGATACTTAAAATAAGACGAACTGATAATTTTGGTCTAATAACTGATCAGTGAAATGTTTACTACTAAATCCATGAATAGATAACCAAACTTCAAATAAATACAACTTTAGAAGGGTAGTTTAAAATTTTGCATTGATTTAATACGTTTCGTTTATCTCAAGAACCAGAATCAATCCAAAAAAACTAAATGCATATAGTGTATCTCAAATACCAGTGTTTATAAAATTCATTAATAAAATTAGTGCCGCAGACATTTTTATTTTTTTTGTTCCGCTGTGTAATAGATGTAATGTCATTTAATGCTGTTGTTTTGTTAAATGTCTTTTAATTTTATTATATACTTAAGAACATATCAGTCGGAGTTAGTTTTGAGAAGAAAAACTACTAAATTTATGGAATATATGGAACTTCGCATATTTAGCCCAGGCTTCTTTTTTATAATATTTTCGGAACCCCGACGTTTTTGCCTAAATGGCAGTTTATTCCATTTTACGTCACTTTTTGTTCTGAAGCACAAATAATTTTGTTTCGGACTCTCTTCTAAGTCATCTTCAGGTATTTCGATGCCCAGTTCGTTACCTTCAGTTGTGATTATAATTATCATCTATTTCTTCTACTACTTCGGGCTCGGCATCGCTATCGTCTTCCTCATCAGATATATTTGTGTATAAAAATTGCTCCAATTCTGCATCAGTCAATGATCGCTCGTCAGGTACTTTTATATTCGTGGACATCGTAACCGTGGAAAGAAATTCTGAACAGCGCACACAAGACACCAACGATTGTATACTAACTGCGATACTAACGAATAACCAATTACCAGAAATGTGTTGAAATGCGCATATCAAATTAGGTCGAAAAATTGTCACTCGAAGTACTGTGTGGGGTACAAACATACCCCAGTTCAATTATTATTTATTTTTACATAAACGGGATGACGTTTTTGGGCCGTGTAGGTGTAAAACTATGTTGCAGGCGTATATTGACAATAAATAAAATTATGAATGCATGTTGTTTTAGATTAAAAAAAATATATGCAAAAAACCGATATTGGGGTACGTTTGTACCCCATTCGGTACGACGAAGGTTAAGTTGTGGAAATGTAAATTGTGTATGCGGTGGGGAAAGTGAGTACCCCCTTCCACGAACTTATAAATTAAAATGGACTACTAATGCTTAATTGACAAATGACACCTACATGGGGGCAGCCATGATGTGCACTCACCTGGCGCGAAATTCAAATCAACTAATAAACAAGCATTAACCTCACGTTTTCTAAATAAATTACTGTGACACATGTCATTTTCCAAGGCTGCAATAGTCTCAAAACTTGAGCACTAGGAAAATTCCCCTAGAAAATAACTAAAACGTGCACATCATGGCCGAGCCAATGCTAGAGCGATTTCTACCTCTATGCAACTGTTTGATTAGCATTCCATCTTAATTTATAAGTTCGTGTCCCTAACAAATTTCATATGTCTTAATAACTCAATTCTTAGTTTTTATCTTTATAGATGCATTTTTGAATATGTTTTTTAAACAATGATTCTTTGTCTTCGTGAATTTCCCTGTATACTTAAGTTAAACATTATTCCTTATACATACTTTATACAGTAATAACATTTCACCGCTCCATATGATTGATGATGTAATTTTGTTAATCAATGTGACCTCTGATTCTTACAGACTGATGGAGCCTCTGCTGCAATAATAATGACTGAAGCAAAGGCAAAAGAACTTGGCCTCAAGCCAAAGGCATACTTAAGAGATTTTACGTTTGTTTCGCAAGATCCAATTGATCAACTTCTGTTAGGGCCAGCATATGCTACACCGAAAATTCTGGATAAGACTGGTCTTTCTTTGCCCGATATTGACGTTTGGGAGATTCATGAAGCGTTTGCTGTAAGTACCTATTTAATAATTGCAGTGGAACCCAGATCATCCATGCTCCACGGGATCACATGAAGCATGGATGATCCAAAATAATATTTATTTCTTACATGTGAACATATTGTATAGATATTAATTCAATAATTTTTTTTTAATCGGCATTAGTTGATATTCAGGTAAAGGTTAGTAGGGTGAATAGGCCCAAAAATTCAAGATTCAGTATTTTTTTATTTGAAGACCTAATATTTCGGATGCAAAAACGCTGTCGTTCATCAGTGGACCCACTAAGAATAGTTAACCATAGAACAACAAACTTAGAATGGAAACTCTAATGTAATGTCATAGATATATAAATACCTAGATACAGCCATCCTTAACAAACGTACCTCGGTTTTTAAAAAACATATCAAAGAAATTTGTACATCTCTCCATTACTTTCTAACCAAGAAGAAACATGTTCTATCTCTTTTTATTGCATTAACCACTATGTCGTACGCGAATCGGACGCTTAAAACAAACTTAGCGCGTCTCATAAGTCATGTGACAGTTGACACATTTCACGATCGCGCGAAATCAAATCTAACTAAAAATATTCGCCCTAAACATGATGGGCGGTTTTTTCACTAAATATTATGTAATTATTGCGTTATCAATTGAATACGAATAAGATTAGTGCTTGCCATAATGATAGACGCGTCCATAATTGTTATTCCTGAAATAGTTTTATTACATAGAGCTACGCCATTCAAATTTGGGACTATGTTTACCTTGTTTGGCATGATGTGCTGCAGTGAATTCATTGCTGGCTTGCAGAATATCAAAAAAACCGTAAGTAAGTAAAGATTATGTTCAACATTTTAATTGCATGGTTTTAGGCGTAATGGTAACGGCGATTACGTTGCGACAGGAAGTGAATTCGTTTCCAATTATCATTTTGGCCTATATGATGTTGATGCAGTGCGTTTGTATCATGATCACAAAGAAGGATCCGTGCAATACTCTTAGGAAAACGAGATTTATAGACTGTGTGTGCGTGCAATATCAAATTTTGGTCGCTACGCGTCTTGCCTACCTTTCGACATATGTCCAATCGGTGGGGTTTCTTTTTGAAATTATAGTGCTAATTGTAGTAAGTAAGCTACACGTGTACATTTATTTAAAATAAATACAACATCTTAACAATGATATCCAATGTGATAATACTCATTTAGTGAACATTCATTACATTTGTAAAAGTTCACAATCCGAATAATCACTGTCATTATTAACACTTATTTTAAAGTTCAGAAACATCAACCAATATAACTTCTCTTTTAAATTAATCACTTTCCACATGTTCACACACTAATTCTTCCAGTTGTCAGCTGTAATTTTTTCAAATTCTTCATTTGCCAGCTTTCTAAGTAACATCTTCCATTTTAAATGTAACATTTCTTGCTGCTATGCGATTTAAATAAATAAAAAGGCGGTTTATTTATGTTGTAAAGTCTCAAATATGATAATTTTCTGTGCGATTTGTGCTAACAATTTGATTGACAGTTGTAATAAATAATGCGAATCTTGTCTTCCATGGTCAGGGTACCTCTATAAAGGATAGCGCTATACGTAATTAATGTGCCGAAAGTGATGGTAATAGATGGTACGTCCTTTTGAACTATGTTGGGGTATGGCTGTATCTATGTATTTATATATCTATGTGTAATGTAAAAATGACGCGCCATCTCGTGTATGTTCTCAGCAGCTTTTGCGTGAATGGCGCCAAATTTAAATATTAAAATGTAAGCTACGTCCGCATTATACTGAATTTCTCCGGATCTGTAACAATAACATTGGATTTGACTAGCTGAAACCTAAAAGGTAAATGAATCCAGCCAGTGAAGTCCAATTTTGTTTGTTAGGGATCCAGATAAATTCAGTTTAATGCCGATGCACCTCAACAGTCAGGGGCTTCAAAGAGTACAGACCACTTTATAAGTAACAACTCCAATTAATCCAATCAAGGAGTTATATTTAATTTAATATGGATATACAAGATACAAGATCAACTTCATGGAACTCTACACTTTATGATGCTCTCAAGATCGTTCTAAAAACAAAATATGTAGCAATTTATTACAATTCAATTAGTGTTACCTGCTAAAGATAATGTGCGAACTGCCACACGCTTTAAACCTCTTCGTGTTCCAGGTTCTAAAGCGCAACCAGAAAAATGACGTTCACAAACCAAAAACTTTTGTGTAAATTTCTTCCACATTATATTCTAAACCAATTCTATAAAAACTTCGGGCTCCATTTTTGGGAAACGTCTTCACAATTTGTCACACAACATTTACGTTTTCGATTTGTATATGCATAATTCATTGTAATAATGAATAGTAATTATACTTAAAGCACAATAAGCCGTCAATCAAAATTCAACTGTCATAATGGCGACACGTACTAAAGTCACTAGATTTAGTAACTTTAACAAGCACGCTAACTATGCGCCATCTATTGAATGTTCTCCAAACTAATTATATTTGTACTCAGTTGTTCCCGTTTACGTTTCCCTTCTAAGTTTTTTGTTCTGGGTAGTTAACGATTAGGCAATTGGTAATTAACCTTATGAAAACTTACAATTCTGTGTACTAAACACATTTCTCCAAGCTAACAATGCTGTGGGTGTACAAAATGGTGGTCGCCTCCTTAGGAAAAATGTTTATAAATATTTTAGATACTCTTTTTTACTAGACCAGTAATTACTTTGACTGTAGCATATACAATACAGGCTGATTCAAATTTGAGGGCAGGCAGTTTAAATCTCTACAAGATGCTAGTTTTAAATTTTAAGTCTGACATTTCGTCTCTGGTTAACCAACATCAACTGTGTTTGTTGTTATGGAAGCCATTTTTACTTTTTGTGTCATTTGATAAAGCATTTTTTCAAAAATGTAAATATCACTATTTTTTAATAAGAAAAATGGCGCTATTAATTCGTAAAAACGCAAGAAACTACGAACATACACTACCCACGACTAAGTTTCCTAGGCAAAAGAAAATATTTTAACAAGATTTAAAAAATAGTGGTGTACATTTTTGAAATTAGAAAAAAATGCTCTATGAAATGACACAAAAAGTAAAAATGGCTTCCATAATAAAAAACAAAGTTTATGATGGTTAACCGGAGACAAAATTTCAGACTTAAAATTTAAAACTAGCATCTTGTAGAAGGAAAAAAGTGGTCATAATAATATGTCATTTATTTTGAAATATCTTTTTAAATAACTTAGGTAAAAAATAAAAACGGTTTTGCAACTTTTTTTCAGGATATCTCCGAAAGTAGTCTGAATTTTTTTAGATTTTATTAAGCAATAAAGTATGCAACTTTGCCAAATTTAAACTACCTACCTATCTGTTACAGTTTCCGAGATCCCCATGGTGGCCCTCAAATTTGAGTCAGGCTGTATATGTATGTACTAAAAAGAATAATAAAACAGACAAAACGGTGACTATGATTTCGTTAAAATTTTGCAAATGCACATTACGCATAAAGGATATAAGACTGTCAAAAACGGTTTCTCTTTATATCTTGAGTTTTTAGCGCCATGACGTCTTACAACTTTTTTTCAAATAGCAATGCAAAATGTTTATTAAATTATTATTCGACAGATTTTCTGTGTACACCCCAAAACATTTGCGCTGGGTTTTATTATTAAAAAAAACTGAAAATTTCAAAGTTAAAAAACTAAAATAATCGAATTTCGCCAAAACAGTTATTTTGACTTCGTTAACAATTTTAGCAGTGTATATTAGGTGTAGAGGATGTAATATTATATTTGATCCAAATTCCAATGAGATTCTATAAATTGAATACGAAGGAAGAATATTTTATTTGACTTGAAAATTACAACTTGACAATATCTCAATTATTTAATTCAAACCGATTGCTCTGATCTTAATATGTAAGGCTATCAAAAACTTTTTTTTTAATATCTGAGTTTTTAACGCCATGGCCTCATACAACTTTTTTTTCAGATTTTTTTTGCTAATTAAAAGATGTACCAAACGCAAACCCTATCGTTTTCAATTATGTTTTGACTCAAATGCCTAATTCAATTTTTAAGAAAGTACTTGCGAAACAAAAGACCCAAAAAAATTGCATAATGCACAGTTCTAATAGGTAATTATTTAAACCATGGTTAGTTGTTTTAAACGAATATCTGTAATTATGAAAATATTGATGAGACGTTTTCACAACAATTATCATGTTTTTGTTTCCAAGGCACTCTTGAAAATTGGATAATTAAGTATTTTATTCAAAAAACCATGATACCTACCATTTTAATAAGACGAAAACTAGAATGCCAATTGAGCACCATAATAAAAATAAATAAATAAAAATAAGTGTTTTAATGTCATAGTTTAAACTACCTAGTCTTATCATAAAGTTAAAAAAATTAGTAAAAAAGGTAATATTAAGAATATTGGATATCCGTAGTTTGAGGAAGGAAAAGCGACTGCCTTGATGTGTTGTAGTTGGTAGGCAAGTGATTGAAAATGGTCACCAAAAACAGAAATACATGGCCTCCTAGTATTGTATGGAAGGTATACATTCTAGTATTTTTTTGTAATTTTATTATTTTTCTATTAATTAGACAAGATGTTAATTGCGAGGGGGGTTGATTGCAATGGCGCAAGATGAATGTAAATTAAAAATAATGGATGATAAATTATAGATATTCTTCACAATATTGAGAGCTGTATGATAAATTATATAGGTCCTATCACAAGATATGTTTAATAGCTTTTTATTTACATTATATCATTAATTTGTTTTATTTTTTAGGGTCAAATTATCTCAAATCTGAAAGCAATGGACAGCGACTGGTTTGCACAGAATTACATGAATCGGAAAGGTAAGGTGGGCGCTCTCGATATTAACAAATTGAACACCTGGGGAGGATCTCTTTCGATTGGTCATCCATTTGCCGCAACTGGAATAAGATTATGTATGCACACCGCAAATAGGCTTGTTCGTGAAGATGGCCAGCTGGGGGTTGTTACAGCATGTGCTGCAGGTGGCCAGGTAAGTTAAGAATACTTTTAAAGTAATCTGTTAATTTCTTTCATTTAGGGTGTGGCAATGGTAATTGAAAGACATCCAGATGCTTCCCCGAATTAAATCTTGTGCAGAATTGATGTCACACTATTTTAATTATAATTATATTTTATATAAAAATAAAATTTCTACATTACTACAATATCATTATTTATTATTATTTAAAAATCTATTGTTTTCTATTTGTTTGTGACCATCCTGTTGAGCTTCCTATATCTTTAACATGCTGTCGTACTACGTCATCTAAAATTGCCTTTATATCTTTACAGCCTTGAAGTGCTAAATTTAACACCTTCGGTAAGTGGTCTAAGTGAAACCTTTGAGACATCTCCATGTGAACAATTTTTGCCGACATAGGTAAAGCTACAACAGTTAAAACGGGACCACCAAGGGTTTCTTCTTGGTTTGAAATATCCACCATAGCAACATTGTTGTTAGCCAAACTAGCTGTGCAAGCGCAAACATATTCTTTTAACGGAATTCCCGCATCAATCAGTGCTAAAGTTGCGGCATTCACGCAAGCAGGAAACACCCCTCCATCGGCATGTAAGACTTCTACGTAAACATCAATTTGGGACCACGGGTACAGTTCAACCTTTACAGCTGCCAGTAATGCTTGATGCAAGTGAATTGAAATTTCTGTAGACTTTCTATCGCCCCGAGGACGCTTTTTTCGTTCACCCGTTGAGAAAACGGCCATGCTGAATTGACAGTTAATTATGGCTGCATCGTGTTGTGCTTTGGAGCGACCGCCACGTACCTAAAACAATTCCTTTTGATCATCCTTAAATGAAGTGGGGTGCAACATACTTGATGTGGACCATAAACTGCGGCTAAAACTTTTGTTAAACCTTGCTCCAAGTATGCACTGCCATCAGGTTGAGTAAAAACGCCTAATTTGCACCGAATTCTTCTTAATTCTTCGGCACGTCGTCCGTCTTGCCGTAAACCAATCTTTGATAATAATTCTTTTCTACTCATCGTATTCTGAAAGAAAAAATCTCAGGAAAATATTAGGCTGTAAAAAAAGGTTATGTGTATTAGTTTGCAACAATGGTTTGCAAACATGCTTACCGATCTGTTGCACCGTGACTCCCTCAGCACTGCGCAATCGCAAGATTTTGCAGAGAGACAATTCAATGCTACCAATATTCGAGCAACACATAAAATTAGAGATCCGTCGTGTCGTGCGTGTCCACATCTTTACGAACTATCACATTTCAACTGCTCATTTCAAGTATATACAGGGTGGTGACTTGCGTAACGCAACATAGGGGTGCTAATGTAGTATGCGGTGTACCTATACCGGTTGTTCGATTTAGTAATGCAGCATGCGGTCTGTCTTCCCATTCCGTGTAATATAAAAATGCAAAAAATTCCTATATAGTAGGGGAGCTAGCACGAAATCCACTGAACGAGAATGATCAAAATTTTAACCGATGGAGTTCCATTTTGCCCTATCAGAGTATGCTAAAATCGATCGTCTGCCCCCTCAGGTCATATGACTTAAGGCGCTGCGGGTACTTCTTGCGGTACCAATTCTGAAAGGTTGTTTTTCGAGAAAATAAGTTATACGCCAAATGAAAACGTTGATAATAGCTCTTAAAAAAATATTTAAAAAAATCGCGAACATTTGATAACTCGGTAAAAAACAATTCTTAGTCGGTTTTTCACGAACTTTCTATTGATATAACTAGGTTACGGTTGAACGAACGAAGCTGATTTTTTTTACAGACTGATGATAGGTAGGTACTACTAATGACTTAACAGTGTTTCGTTTTTAAATTTTTTCTCTAATTATAAGATTATCTTAACATTATAAGATATCTTATAATTAGAGAAAAAATTTAAAAAAGAAACACTCTCATAGTCATTGGCTGTACCTATCATTAGTTTGTAAAAAAAATCAGCTTCATTCATCCAACGGTAACCTAGTTATATCCGTAGAAAATTCGTGAAAAATCGACTAAGAATTGTTTTTTACGGAGTTATCAAATGTGCGCGATTTTTTTAAATATTTTTTTAAGAGCTATTATCAATAGCCGGTTAAAGCTTTGCGAAATCCTGGAATTAATTTTCATGTTTGTCCATGAGATACCAAACGAAACAACTATACAATTAACGGGTAAATCGTCACATACAGTTTGTGATTGGTTCAATATGTGCCGAGAAGTTTGTTCTTCCATTGTTATAATGTAAATAGACGCGGGCAACTAATTGGAACAAATGAAGATCCTGTGCAAATTGATGAAGCGAGGTTTGCAGGCCGTCGAAAATATAACAGGTAGTCGAGTAAAATTAGAGTACAATATTTGCTCAAACCTAGAACAATTTCGGGACAAGAAACCCATGTCCGAAATTAGTAGTACCAATAATGCTCTTCAACATACTAAAAGTCCCCTTATGTCCGAGGTGCGGAACATCCTGAAAATTGAGCCGCCATCTTGGATTTTCATGTTTTTTGCTAATAACTTTGTTATTATTATTTTTTTCGGAAAAAGTTAGGAAAGGGAATTTGTGAAGCTTTAAAATACGAACCCAATGCTTCTTTATTTCTCGAAATCGATTGGAAACTAAGGGAGTTATGATTTTTTTATTGTATAATATATATCACTATACACGAATAACTTCGCGAATAATTCGATTTATCCGATAGGCGAAATTCATTGGAACTTTATAGACCAAAGAGTCAAAGACTAATTAGGTATTCTTTATCGGTTCAACAATTTTCAGTCCAAATTTTAGTTTACCGCCCCCTCCTGGGTAATATTTTCAAATAACTACCGAATGGATGAGCTTCTCAAACAAGGAGAAGCATTTATATTGAAGTGGTACGGTGCCAAAAAATGCAAAACGCTCGATGACTACCGGTACATCAAGTACAACCAAGTCGTGGCAAGGCAGAATCTCATTACCAATTTCGAGCTAGCAACATTACCTTCTACATCGCATGCTGCTAGATTACATTTGAGACGGGTGTATCTACAGGTCCAGAATTGGATGGGTGAGGAATTGAACCCTAAAGAATTTGGCTGATTTACGAATCAAAACAATGTCTTGGAGCCCGTAAGAATGGAAAAACTCAGTGGACCGGATCTCATTTTGATAATGCTGTTTTGCGGTTGGAAAGAAACGTGTTCTAATTCTTGTAGCTGTAGGAAGTCGGGGCTCAAATGCACTGCATGTTGCAGGAATTGTACTGGCAATTTTTGCGGCAACAGCTTAGACCCAGAAAGTGATGATGCTGAACCTTCACCCTAAATTGGCCATTGCAAACAAATATACGTTAATCATGTTTAGTTTTTTAATTAGTTTAGATCAACTACTTATACCAGAAAAGGGGGATGAAGCGAGGGCAGATGGGCGGGGAGGGGGGAGGGCAGGAGGGGGCAGTAAGGGAAGGGGGGATATCACACATATCTCCGCTCATGTCTGTGGGAGGGGGGAGTGTTGCACTGTCGTATAGTAGGTATACACAGCGAATGCTGTATAGTGCGATTATTGATACAATAAAAAAATCATAACTCCTTTAGTTTTCAATATATTTCAAGAAATGAAATGAAGCATTGGATTGGTATTTTAAAGCTTCACAAATTCCCTTTCCTGACTTTTTCCGAAAAAAATCATATATAATAACAAAGTTATTAGCAAAAAACATGAAAATCCAAGATGGCGGCTCAATTTTCAGGATTTTACGCACCTCGGAGATATGGGGACTTTTAGTATGTTAAAAGAGCATTATTGGTACTACTAATTTCGGGCATCGCTTGCTTGTCCCGAATTTGTTGTAGGTTGAACTCTAATTTTACTCGACTAAGGGGTCGCTTGTTGGATGGTGACCACCCGGCTTTGTCAGATGACAGTGATGTTGCAGTTGATAACCAACGTAATCATGGGCAGCGAATTGACGGCCCTTGGGTGTTTGGCCTGCTGAATCGGAATGAAGTGAGGTATTTCGTTGTGGAACGCAGGGACCGAAATACGTTGATTCCAATAATACAACGTGAGGTTCAAATAGGATCCACAATTCATTCCGATGAGTGGCCAGCATACTCTAATTTGGGTAATTTGGGCTACACTCATTCAACTGTCAACCACCAACACAACTATGTGGATCCTGCCAGTGGTGCCCACACACAAGGTATCGAGAGATCGTGGTTAGAGGCCAAAATGAAGTTGATGAAAAGGAGAGCAGTTCCAAAACAGCATTTACAATCCCATTTGGATTATTTGTCGTGGAAGTACATGAGATCAACTGAAGAAGATATGTTTGTATGTTACCTCAGGGATATTCGCACTGGTCATATGTAAATACTGGCGTTTTATGTATTATTGATAAGTTTTTCGAATTGTGTTATTTTTTGGAATATATGTTCATTAGTAAAATAAACTATGAATTTATTGGTTTTTCTTGTATATTGTATGAAAAGGGTACGTAGACCGCATATCTATAGGTAGACCGCATACTACATTAGCACCGGGATTTCAATGTAAAATTCATAACATGCGATTATTGGCTCCCCAAATTATTTTAGAGCAAAAGTGTATTAAGGTTTTTTGTAGAAAAAAATTTTTTACGTCAATCAACCGTATTAGTTTTCAATTTTTTGCATAATAATGACGGAAAATTGGAAAAATAAAACCCCCATCTTTTTCAATAATCTGTGATGCCATGGAATTTTATAATACAAAACTACGCCAATATCCGCCATGCCATGGAATGTCTGCTATAAAACAAATCAAATTCTATCAAAAAGTATTATATTTTAAACAGCGAATTCAACATAAAGAAAGACCAAATTACTATAAACGGTTTCCTAATATAACAATTTACAATAAATGTTCCAATAAGTCACCATTAACTAGGTATAAGACACTAACCAACCAAGTCGATCATAAAATCCATTTCGAACTGCTGCTAATTGATAACTGGATATCTTTTTGTATTATGAAATTCCATGGCGTCACAGATTATTGAAAAAGATGGGGGTTTTATTTTTCCAATTTTCCGTCTTTATTATGCAAAAAATTGAAAACTAATACGGTTGATTGACGTAAAAAAATGTTTTCTGCAAAAAACCTTAATAAATTTTAGCTCTAAAATAATTTGGGGAGCCAATAATCGCATGTTATGAATTTTACATTGAAATCCCTATGGTGCGTTACGCAAGTCACCACCCTGTATAGTAACTGTTCTCGCCTGATATATTTCTGCTAAGACGTATGTGGGTTTTTTTATTGTACCGAGCTCGCGGCACGGTCCTCTTAAAAAAAAGGTCCGTGTGGCTCGCGGTTACCCATATATATAAGTATATACAGGGTGGTGACTTGCGTCACTCATCATAGGGATTTCAATGTAAAATTCATAACATGCTATTATTGGCTCCCCAAATTATTTTAGAGCAAAAATGTATTAAGGTTTTTTGTAGAAACAAATTTTTTACGTCAATCAACCGTATTAGTTTTCAATTTTTTGCATAATAAAGACGGAAAATTGGAAAAATAAAATCCGCATTTTTCCAATAATCTGTGTTACCATGGAATTTTATAATACAAAAACTACGCCAATATCCGACATGCCATGGAATGTCTGCTATGAAACAAATCAAATTCTATCAAAAAGTATTATATGTAAAACAGCGAATTTGACATAAAGAAAGACCAAATTACTAAAAACGGTTTCGTAATACTTATAACAATTTACAATAAATGTTCGAATAAGTCACCATTAACTGCAAGACAGTAACCAAGTCGATCATAACATCCATTTCGAACTGCTGCTATTAATTGATAACTGGATATCTTTTTGTTTTAGAAAATTCCATGACATAGCAGATTATTGAAAAAGATGGGGGTTTTATTTTTCCAATTTTCCGTCTTTATATGAAAAACATTGAAAACTAATACGGTTTATTGACGTAAAAAATTTTTTTCTACAAAAAACCTTAATACACTTTTGCTCTAAAATAATTTGGGGAGCCAATAATCGCATGTTATGAATTTTACATTGAAATCCCTATGATGCGTTACGCAAGTCACCACCCTGTATATGCGGTTACTATATGCTTAAAGCGACGTTATACCAAAGAGTATTTACTCTTTGGTTATACTAGGCGCTTTCTTTCGGTGATCCAAACGCGTTTGGATTGTCAAATCACGTTCTTTCGAAGTGTGATTTTATAATCATGATTGCTAAAATCGTGAACAAACTGAACATGAAAGTTTTATGATCACAAATTCCCTATAAATGCAAGGATATTTTTGCTCAAATGTTAGGTTAGTCAATTTTCGTAACTGAAGAGGAGCATATAATCGTGCAAGTACTTCCACTTGTATTTAAATTATTTTCATAATCCAAAAAAAAAATACGTAATTCGAATGCAAATGTCTACTTCGTAAACTTAACCATACTTTGATTTAAATTCGCGCGTTCTTTCGTAAAAAGTGATCCTACGAATCACGATCTCGAAATCATAATTGCGAAGTAGTCGAAAGAAAGCGCCTACTATTCAAGAAACCTAACCGTACGTGCAGTAGTAATGATCAGCATCAGCGCTAATCCGGTTTGCAACTTATTCATTTGCCGACTATAGTTGTGGACGTTTTACTCTCAAACAAAGGTGTGTGTGTCCAATCAGTCCGCATATATTTTATTATATTATATACCGTGCAACTGCAAGGACAATTAATCACTTTCACTTGTATGCTTTGGAATTGTGATTGTGCCTCATCCTTCGACTTCAGGCAGAGCCGGTATACCCCAGACCAACGGTGCACCTTGTATATAAGTAATCATACACCAGAAAGAATTTTTAAATTGTAAAGTTGGTATAGGAAGGTTGTCTGCTTGTGTCTGATTCTGTCTGATTGGTAGTTTGTACTTCGTAATCTTTGATGAACCGTTTGTTTTATTACAGTTTTGCCTCGTTAGTTTCGTTTTTACAAAATTTTCTGTAAGTCAAAGGCTTTGCTTTGTTATTGACAACTGTTCATTGTTTTAAATCGATTCTTCACAGGAAACATCTCGCCTGGCCGTGCATGCGTCAACGCTGTATTAAAAAAAACGGTGATACAGCTAAGTTAACAATCCTCTATATTTCCATCATAAATAGCAACAAACATGAAGAAATCTCCTATTTTTAAAGTAGGCGATAAAGTATTTGCCAAGGTGAAAGGTTATCCTGCTTGGCCTGCACAGGTAATGACAAAACAGTTGGTTCCCTAATAAATGGTAAATCGTTTATTATTTGTTAGATTCTTGAAGACCGAGGTGGCAAGTACAATGTGCAGTTTTATGGTACTCTTGAAACGTAAGTATACTCATTCAGTGTTGTAAGAAATATTAACAAACGATCACCAAAATCACGTATGTATGATTTATTATGTTATGATCTGATGAGATAGTTTCTTGGTTTGATAATACAAAAACATATTAGTTGTGTTTGTTTATGCCATGTTAATCAATTGAACTAACTAAAACCGATTTAACACTGTTCGTTTCTGTTTAATCACTACAGGGAAAGGTGTAATTTGAATGTTTTTCTATAGGATTCGGAAACATTTGTAGTTTTGGTTTTGATTGAAGTGGTAGGGAATTAACAGAAATGAACATGCAACAGAAACTTTCGTTTGCCAGATTTTTTTTTCTTTAAAATCCAATCAGCTGAACCATTCCTTAACCTTTTATATTTAGCAATAAATCCAATTACCAAAGTCATGTTGAGCCATGACTAATAAGGCAAAAAGCAGATTCAAACATTATTCAAGTCGAAATGAATACCTATCAGCTGTCATTAGTTTTTTTTTGTAAAAATGTAGTAATTCACTGAGGAAAAAGTGCTTATAATAAACGTTTACAGCGGAAATAGTTACTCTAGCACACGATATTTGTTTTCCGTGCATTTTTGTGGGCGTCCCATTTTGTCCGTGTCAAAAGCTATTTTTCAATTCTTTAGAAAATTTCCATGGCTTAACAAGATTTTGTTAATTGGATTTATTGCCGAATTTTTGATAACATATTAAGCTAGCATTACCCTTGTCAATTTCTTCATGAATTAATTCATGAAGTTACTTCATGAAGAAATTGTATAATGTAATACACCAACTTTGACGTCCAATAAATTCACGAAGAACTTCGTGAATTTCTTCACGAAATTAAAACATGTTCTATTTTTCGCCAATTTTACCGTGAAGTTCAGTGCTACCAAATTTTTGTTTATATCAGAGAGAGTGAGGTTATGACTATATGTTTATGTTTACATTTTACCCGAAAAAATGTAATAAAAACGAGAAGAGTAGTTGTGGAAAGGTAAGCAAAAATGCTTACATGATTACAAAACATTTTACAACTGTAACCTATTTTTTTGATTGGGATGGCACCACTGCTCCAATGACAGATTTGTCAAAAACTTCACCAATTTATTCACAGATGTAAAAACCAAACCCTGTCGTGAAGAAATTGACGACAATAAATTCGTGAATTAATTCATGAATAAATTGACAAGTGTAATGCTAGCTTTAAAAAATAAAACTGAAAATAAACTAATTGGCATATTATTAGATGAGAAAAAAAATCTTCTTTCGATTGGTGTCATTATAAACCCTCCAAGTTAACATGGGGAGCAAAGATCTGCAAAAAACGTTTTTGATAATTTAAATCTTAAAACTTGCATACGAACATAGTTTTTTATAAATAAATGATATATGGAACGAAAATAATTTCATGATCCTTTCACTTCCTGTTTTACCCGATGTGGATAGTAACTTAAAGATTTAAAATAGAACACCCTGTATTTTATTACATTTTCGAAATCTACATGAAAAAGTTTTTCAAAACCAACAGTACTGATCATAGATCATAAAAAACTATGTATATTGATATCCAAATTTTGATTTAAATTATTAATGAGAGCCTGAATGCCATGAATTTTATGATAGTTTATGTCTTCTGTAAAAAAAAAGGTTTATTTCTTGTACCTTAATTATTTTAATTCTCCAGCAGGATGTCTTGATATACATGGACTCGCTGAATGTCGCCTACTGGTAGTGTCTTTAGTTCCTTACATTACCTTCATGTGCAACACATACAAAAGTTTGGTGTACTTGTCTATGGCTAAACATAAAGTTCGTTTCTTAATCAAACCAGCTTGTTTGTTGTTTGTTTCACTTTCAAAGGTTAGCGTCTTTCGTAACCAATGACCTTTTGACTCAAAATTCAATAGGGTGTGTTTATTTGTACCAAAAAGAACCTATATACCAAGTTTGAAGATCCCTAAGAGCTTCCTTTCGAGAGTTGTTGTCTGCGCCAACCGACAGACAATCACACGAGTTTAGGAAGGACCTGTCGGTTTCTTCATAATCGAAATGCACCTAATACTATTATGAAAGAATCTATTTACAACATTTAAAAGTAATTGGTAGCTATCCATCTTATAACGACTCAAAACGGGGTGATATTGACTAAGTGGATTGATAAAGACACTAAACCTTCCCCATACTTCTTTTAATTATTTCAGGTATTGGAATAAAGGCATTAGGTGACAGCGACTATAGTTTCGACCCGAAGGTCATTATCAAGCTTAAGTTTAAGAGAACATATAAAGGTGGTTGAAAATTACATTTTAAAATGGTGAGGACAAAAAGTTTTTTAAATTGTTAACATTGTTATTGTTTCCCATGTTCTAATTAGTAATTTTTCCCCATATTGATAACCAAATGTACCATTTTAAAATGTAATTTTCAACCACCTTTATATGTTCTCTTAAACTTAAGCTTGATAATGACCTTCGGGTCGAAACTATAGTCGCTGTCACCTAATGCCTTTATTCTAATACCTGAAATAATTAAAAGAAGTATGGGGAATGTTTAGTGTCTTTATCAATCCACTTATTATTTAAAAGTAATCTTTTGTTTAGCTTGCATTTCACCCCGTTTCTTGATTTGGGATTTATTAGTGTAATTGTAATAAACCTCAATTTAATGCAATTCAATATAAATCCCTATAATAAATAGGTTGCTGCCGACAAGCTTCAATTAAGTTAAAAATGTTTGTGCGAGGCACCCTAACATTTCTACTGCTATGTGCTTTAGAGGCCAGTTCTTATAGTTACCAAACCAAATGAAACATTGCTAACACATGATTTGATCTCGGGATATTAGACATTCCCAGCTCAATTGCTGGGAATATCATTCTCATAATTTCGTACACATTTACAAAATTTACTATAGGTATATTCTGAAAAAGTAGCAAACAATTCTTATTAATTCTAATAACAAGTCTCTAGTTCAAAATCGGTCTTACTATGTTTGTGGCATGTTTATCTGCCATTATACTTACAAAGTATAATAAATTTGTTTAAAACAAACCAAATACTACTCGTTCTTTAGAGTACAAACATCGACTTGTACTCATACTGTATTTTTGCTGTGATTGGTACTCACTTTGTGATGGTACTTACCTTGTGTATTATTGAGTCTTATGTGTCCAGATTTACCTACACTTGTCAATACATAACACCAAATACCTTAATATAGTAAGGTATTTGATAACACTTCTCTCAATGACGAGCATGCCAAAAGGACAATGTCATCTGAAACAAAAAAGCATAGAATCTTGGCAAAATCAATGGGGGAGACAAAATACCTATCTATCACGTATTAAACTATCGGCACAGATAACATATACTACAGACGGTCAATCTTAAGGGGAAAAAGCACGCTAAGTTTTGTGTCAAATGTCCCCTTATTTAAAAACCTGCTATCCCTCTATTTTGCTCCATCTATTAGCGTATACAACAATGTGTTGGTTCTTCTACAGATTTCTTTCATTGGAATGGTTTTGCAAATTGTCTAGGGAAAGAAGTATTGATACTTTTTTGTTAGAAAGCTGTCCCACAAGAAATCCCCATAATTTACATCTGAGGCGAAGTGCTGATAAGTGATAATCTTTGCAGGTACACTAACACATACAAAGCAAATATCACTTCATATTCGCAATTACGTATTACTCGTTGTCTTTGCCCTTTGGGTGCATAAGCATAAGAAACGATATAACTTGCACCACTTTTCGAATTCTCGAAAAAAGTGTAATCTCCGTGTTTGTTTATATACCTACGTACCTACTCTACTTGCCTACTTGTCTCTCTGTTTGTGGAATAAATCTTGCAATCAGCAATTTAACTTCATTTAACTTGGATAAAGAAAACCTAAACGTAAGCAAATTTTGGAATGAATATTTGCCTCATATGTAATAAATCCCATTTGAGGTGTGCAATTATCGGTCAATTACAGCGGTAATTGCATTGTTGTAGAAAACGAAAGAGCCCTGCGATAATTGCACATTTCATGGGAATACACTTAACAATTTTATAAGTAGGTAAGGTGAGTTTGTAATGTTTATTCGGGAAATATTACCCCGAATTACACTCGTGCATCAAAATAATCCTGATAATTTTTAGCGCATTTTCCAACGAAGTTGGGTGCGCTATTGCAGCCACTTTCTCTGTCCGTCCGTCTGTCCGAGGCCTTAACTACTACTACAGTTTTTGAAGATATTTAGTTTGTTCTTTTTGCATTCGGTAGCGTATCGCTCTGGCACCTGAGTCAAAGAAAATCTTGACGATTGAACTGCGCATGCGCAGGCTGCGCAATTTTAACTTTTTTATTTATTAATATATTTTGTTGAAATTTTAATCACAGATACTTGTAGTAAAGGCAAATATATCGCATACAGTAAAAATCAGATGTGCGCATGCGCAGACTGCGCAACGCAAACTTTCTTTATGGAGATATTTCTATGAAATTTTAACCAAAGATACTTATAGTAAAAGCAAACGTAAGTATTGCATTTTATAAATATCAGATTAATAAGCGCATGCGCAGGACGCGCAATATCAACTGCGCAGTGAGTGTCAACTTCCTTATTTATGAAGATATTTCTTTAAAATTTTAACCATATATGCGTCTAGTAATGAAAAACGTAGCGTACATAGGTATGGCCATTGAGTTAGAAAACTAATGGAGGGAATCAAATGCTTGGCCAGACGTAGACCACGGGAACCAAAAGTGGCCTCTAACTGTGATTAAAGTACCACACCACTTCCGTTATCATTAGCGTTTCACTTCAGTGGCGTAGAGATATAATTTTCTTTCCACTAATAGGAATAATAACAAAAAAAAAACGTATAGAAGGAGTAAAATACATGCTCGTGGTAAAGTAAACAAAATAGACAAGGATGGGAAAGTATGCAGATTTAATATAATCATTGATTACAAATCTAAATATACATCGATGTGTTCCAGTAGTATAATTAAGGCCAGTTTACTATAACCACTACAACTTGACAACTCCCATTAAATTCACTGTGTTGATCAATAGCTACAATTGTTTGGTTGGTCTCAGGTTCATTACAAGTTTTGATAGTACCTACCTACTGCATATTTGACTAGATATTTGATGAACATTTTCCGGTGCAACCTTTGGTCGAAATCACAGTCAATGAAGCGTTGTGAGCACAAAAGTAAATTTCGAGAGCTGTTCTTGAGATATATTTACAAATGTTAGGTAACCATTTTGCTCGAAGTACCGGTTCGTTTGAAAAACTAAGAAACATAAACTAGGTACCTACAACCTCGGCTACAACATGATAAATGACATGTCTTACCGATGAAAGGAAATTCCGTGTTTCTTCCCTTTATGAGAAATTTTGCATGATACGCAGCTAATCATTCTCAATTCACAAAATTGCGTGTGATAAAAACACTGTGCGGCAGTTAGTTATTTATATAAACCAGAGCACAACACCGATCCGAAATTATTAGGTACTGAAAATGGCAAATTTAATAAAATTTGAATTTGGTGGAAAACTGACAGTGACAGGACACGCGTTTTCATGTCAAATAATGTCGGCCAAAATGTACCTTCACGGGAACCTATCCACGCGAGTGGCCTCTATCTGTGGCAACTTCCGTCTACAAAAATTCTTACCCCCTCCACCATTATATTCCCTCCATTAGTTTTCTAACTCAATGGGTATGGCCTTTGGGGAAGTATTGATCAATTTATGGAAAATGCGCTGAAGTTACACTTCATAATTTGTTAAAAGAGCATTTTGATGTGCTCGGAATGGAAATTTTCGCCGGAACGCAAGCATCAGCCCATCAGGAGGAAGGGGGGGGGTAACATAGAAAACATGTACTACGTACATTAAAACAACGAGAAAACGTAACAAAAATTAAATGTTTCATTTTTATTGTTTCCCTTGGTGTGGAGACCAGTGGATACTAATGGGTTTCGTGTGCTGGTATGATCTGAAGGACGTATTTTCGTTTCCATGTGATTTTTATCGCATTAATGACAAATAATCCAACATATGTAGGGTTCTGTAAAATTTCTTTGTGTGCGGGTGGAGAGGATCTGACGCTGCGGTCCCTTTACGAAAAGGAACAGTGTACAAATATTTTCGACGAAACGGAACGATATTGTAATACTTTTTACCGTTCCGGTCCATTCCGAGCCCTGGTACCAACTGAAAATTCGACTCTAAACAAATTCATTTGTCAAATGCGAAAAAAACTGCATTTTTCCATTTTTTCTTGTTTTTTTTGTGTATAGCAATATGTTCCGGGAGCTTCCGGGCAGTGAACTACATAGAATACACAATACACTTGGTTTCGTTGTGTGAAATGCCAACATCCAGTTCAGAATACTTTTGGAGATAATTTGACTGGACTATGTTGACCCTACACATTGACATAATAAATAAAGTTCGTTAAGTGCAGCTCCCTCCCCTAATCAAAAAAATTTGTGATGGTATTATCACAGATACATATAGGTAGGCAAGGCCGTGCGAGGGGGAGGGGCGAGGGGGGCCCAGGCCCTGGACGCCAAGTCTGGGGGGCGCTGAAGTCGCCCGTCGTCGCCTTCGTCGGGAGCGTCAAAGGCGTGAGTGAAAGATTTACCTCGAATTATATAAACGAATCCGTACATACTCTTGTTTCGTATTTTATAAATTCAGAATCAGTAAAAATTAAAAAATTAAAAACTGTCGCGTTTATAAAGTCGGTAATTCCATGGAGTTAGGAAATCAAACAAAAGCGCCTGCATTTGCCATGTTTGATCTCAAATTGCCATGGCACCACTGATTTTCTTAAAAGCGCCAGTTTTTAATTATCCAATTTCTTGGATTCAAAGTTCAGAAAATTAAAAGCTATAGTATGCATGGATTCGTAATTTTTTTCCCTACAAAAAACCTAAATAGACTTTCTCTCTAAAATAATTAGAGAAGTCAATAATCAGAAATGAAAAAATTTCTATTGCAATTCCTATGGTGCGTTGAACAAGTCACCACCCGGTATAATAATATATTTATTATGGAAAAACAAAAATTATGTTTATTATTCTAATAAAATCTTTCCTTGTCCAACCTCATAATTTTATATGTGGAGGCCAAATTTAGTTTCCGCCCTTGTATAATAACCAAACCCGCTCCATCAATTTTTTAAATGTTTAGAAAAGAGAAAAATGAAGAATTAAAATGTATCCTATTTCATGTAATTTATGATGTTATACAAGTGAGCGCTTATCTTATCTACATAAAGGCCGGCGTTGAAGCCGAGGAAATAAGGTTTGAGTATGTATTTTATTTTTACAAAAATGACTCCATCTATTACACACTTTTACCACACACAACAGTTTTCTGTGCGTCTACCACATTTTACGACAAATTATTTCGACTGCTGCAAGGTAGACAACACACTAACCGTACTCTATTAGCTGTTGCGTTTATTTCTATAGCATTGCATTGACCGTCTGTAGTATATGTTGTCTGTGCTATTACTAAATCTGAAATAAGTTATGCGTAATGGTTCTTTGTTTCCTACTGCTCGTCCCTTTGCAATAACTATAGTCAGCCCTGTGATGTATCAGAAACTTCAAACTTAATGTGAAGCTTATTTCCCAAAAAAACGTTTTGCGTTATTTAGTATGGGCGAAATAATGTTTTCTAAAGATAACCTGCACGATAAGTTTAATGTTGAATATAATATCTTCTGCAGGTTTTAACTTATGTATTCGCCGAGGTATTCGCGTTGTGCATATTAAAATTGGTTATCCAAAATTGCCTAAACCACTCGAGTGGGTTACCTATGCCTGCAACACTCAAGTGAGAGTTTTTTATTTTTCTCAACTTAAACGCCAAATATATTTGTGTTTTGTTTTTCTACATAATTGCATTTGGTTCTAGATGATTCTTTTAAATCCATCTGAAAATATCTATGGAAACCCTGTATAGGAAATGTGATGTTTAGGAAATTTTACGGGAAATTAAATAAATAATAGGTTTGTGTGGCTTGTATGTATTGATTGTGCCTTATTTTTTAGAGCAATTGTGAAGCCAAAGGATGTGTATTACTATTTACAACATAAGAATTCATTTATTAAGACCTTAAAACGTAAGGATTACAATGAAGCTATTGAAGAAATTGAAGCGGCAATTAAAGATGCTGGCGGGTCAGATGGAGGTTCCGAAAAGGTGATTGATAACAATGATAAGGTATTGCTTATAATATTGAGTTTTTAAAACTAACTTTTATTATTTTGAAGGTTACATCTACAGCAAATACCAAAACAGAAAACAAGGGAAATAAGCGAAAAAGGTCGGCATCATCAGATGACAATTCGGGAAAGAAACAAGGTGAAGAGGTGGTAAAGGAATCTGGTAAGTCAAATTTTTATCTTGTCTGGGATTTTGTATAATTGCCAATTCTACAGGTCCAAAGGAGAAGCTTAGGAAAACTACAGCAGAACCACTTCCAAAGAAATTGCGGTCATCACGGTGAGTATTTTATTGGAATAACAATGAAGATATCCAATCACAATAAAATTTAATACTCTTGCAATTCAATTGAAATTTTGTATAGTGCCATAGTCCGAGAGCTGGTAGACATTGTTGGGTAGGTATTTGAGGCACGCTGTAAACTTGTCCAATACTTCTCCAATGATTCAGGGCCAAGGGACTCCTGATTTGAAGTGTATACTGGTCGCAATAAATACATGAACACCTAGTGCACTTTGATCACTTTTGATGAAAGTTTTAGGAGAATTGTCTTCATTTCGAAATAAGAAGCGATGAAAATTTCAACATGATACAATTACAACTGATTCAGACGACACTAATAATATGTAGATCATTCACTATTTCTTATGCATTCGGATACTCGACTGGGCATATATTATTCAGGATCCTCAGATCCTTTATAGTTTTGTATTGTCGTCCGTCCGTGTGCGCTATAACTTTTTAAAAGTGGCCGATTGTGTTGAAATTTGGTGTACGGGTACTTTGGACATTAAGGACTGCCGCTATTGATTTTCAGGAAGCGGGTTGAACAGGAACAAAAGTTATAGGACTTTGAGTGAATCGGGAACAGGAAAAACTGTGGGCTCAACATAATAGAAATCAACATATTTCATTCCCTAGGTCATGTATCGAGTTTGGATTTTCGCTAGACTATTCCCTATGACTCTTAGATAATATAACTCTTCTCTGTGGTATAGGTCAAACGTTTTACAGCAAAATGTATCCAAAATTATTCTTTACACATGAATTTAGAGTTGTAAAAGCTTTCAAACGCATTATCTTGATTCTGAAAGAGTTCATCACGTGCACATTTGATAACTGCATGTGTGTGATTCAAAGATGTTAAATTATTTTTCTGAGGCCACATGGATTTTGATCAAAATATGCCAAAATCGTTATTTATGCACCAAGATCGTTGGGAAAAAGATTAGGAGCATTATCTCAATGCCCAAGACATGAAATTGATCCATTTTTGGCGACTACGTGGATTTTGATCAAAGCATGTCAAAGTCATTATTTATGCGCCAAGATCGTTGGGAAAAAGGCCAAGAGCATTACCTCATGACCAAAATATGAATTTGATCTATTTTTGGCGACCACATGGATTTTGATCAAAACGTCAAAATCTTTATTCTTGTACTGATGATTGATGGTTTATTCATTTTTTGATCTGCACTTTCAATTGATTTTCATTCCCTATATCTTTCAAGTATTACTGTGCAAGTATGACTACACAAATATAACTGCACAAAAATTATAAAAAAAATGTGACAAATATGGAAAAACTTATACCAAATCATTCCCGATTTAATGTAGAAAGTTTTTTGTTATTCCCTCCACAAACTTTTTAGTCACTCTTCCTGTTTATACGATATACCCATTGTAAGATATTTTGATTATAATTATTTCAATTTCATTATTGGTTGTAGTTGTAATACCTACAATGTTTATAGGTTCACAAGCACTACAGAAGAAGAAATCTCTACAGATGAATCAGAAAGTGTACTAAAAACTGAGGAATCAGAAAGTACAATCGAAAGTCCAGACTTGTTGGGTCAGGAAAAAATTAAAATTGCCGTAGAGGAACCTGTTGTAACCGCTAGTGATATTAAAATTGTAACGGAGGAGTATCTCAAGGCGATTATTGCTTATGTAAGATTTTTTTTTAATGTGTCCTGTGATGATATTAGAAAAATAATTTAATCACTTCCTTGCATTCTTATGTAATTTGCCATAGTATTAATCATTTGCAATGACATTATGATTGACACTCATTTATTTGCAGGCTGAATTTGTGACAAAAGAACCAAAGGTCTTCAAAAGTAAGTATCAATTTGTTTCAAAGCTGTACAGATATGTATTTATTTATATTCTAAATCATGTAACCAATTGCTAAACGCTGGTGTCACGTTACAAAAATGTTTTTTAAGTCACATCAAAATATTTTCAAAAGATTGCAACCACATTATTACAAAAATCCGAGATGCATTCAAAAAATACTTATTTATTAAACATTTTTTACATACACATTTTTCATTGCAGCATTAGACATTTATTTCTATTCTCAGAACAAAGAGTATTAATTTCCCATAATGAGTTTGTTGCATAGGTATTACAGTTTTGCAGTATCTTCATTACATGTTTCCATGCTTTCTTATTTTAACCTCACCCTAAAACACAGTATGTAACATTCAAGTAACTTTGATATAAAATTTGTAAATGAAACATCTTTGAATCCATGTAGGTGCTTGTGCTAACCATAACTGAATGTTTTTTATAACCTAGCTTGATTCCGATTGGTATACACCGCAGTTAAAATAGAATGTATTAGATACTAAATATTGGATTTTGTATGAAAAAAGATAGCAAGTTTGCTAATTCCATTTCCTGAAAAGCTTGTTTACTTTCTTAGCCCTTCCAACTGAAATTGGAGGCCATTTCATTGGAAATTACATGGATCATAATCGAACCTATCAGTTTCGGTATTTGTCTTCGGCCTGATGCACTATAATGTTTTTATCTAAAACGTGAGATAGATTGGTATGATTTAATCTAAACAAAATGACATAGCACAACCAATTTATCTAGATAGATAAAGATATACAGGTATACAGGGTGGTGACTTGGCATAGCGCATCATAGGGATTTCAATGTAAAATTCATAACATGCGATTATTAGCTCCCCAAATTATTTTAGAGCAAAAATGTATTAAGGTTTTTTGTAGGAAACAAATTTTTATGTCAATCAACCGTATTAGTTTTCATTTTTTTGCATAATAAACACGGAAAATTGGAAAAATAAAACCCCCCATCTTTTTCAATAATCTGTCATGCTATGGAATTTTATAATACAAAAACTACGCCAATATCCGTCATGCCATGGAATGTCTGCTATTAGGACAGTGAATTCAACATAAAGAAATACCAAATTACTAAAAACGGTTTCCTAATATAACAATTTACAATATCTGTTCGAGTAAGTCACCATTAACCGCAAGACAGTAACCAAGTCAATCATAAAATCCATTTTGAACTGCTGTTAATTGATAACTGGATATCTTTTTGTTTTAGAAAATTCTATGGCATCACAGATTATGGAAAAAGATGCGGGCTTTATTTTTCTAATTTTCCGTCTTTATATGAAAAAAATTGAAAACTAATATGGTGGTTTGGCGTAAAAAATTTTTTTCTACAAAAAACTTTAAGACATTCTTGCTCTAAAATAATTTGGGGAGCCAATAATCGCATGTTATGAATTTTACATTGAAATCCCTATGATGCGTCACGCAAGTCACCACCCTGTATATACCACGATGGAGAAGTCTATTATTGCCTTCGCACCTTACAACCCTCGGCGCAAGCGCCTCGGGATGTAATCTTAGTGCTCAGGCAATAATACTGGACTTCTCTACCTTGGTATATAATGTACTATTATCATATAGTGTGTATAAAACTTAAAATATTGTCATTCTGTTAATACAAAATAATAAAACAATTGTAACAACGTATGTGGTACATATACAATAATTATCTTTGAGTACTGCTTTGAATCCGTCAAACCTCAGAAACGGTGGGCCAAAAGTTTTTGTTTTACTACCCCACTGGATCCTACGCAAAAATATCTAAAATAGGTTTATACCTGTTTCTATCTTACATCGGTATTAAGATATGATAACATCCCAAAAAGTCAAACTTTTCGTTTTCTCCCTGTATCTGAGAAACAAACATGGCTAAAACCGCAAGATTCGTATTGTTAAAAGCAGTTGAGATCTAGACTCAGATACACTGCAGTCGTAACCAACTTGGAACGCAACGGCCCTTGCTAGGGGCATTTTTTTCAGAGAGTCCGAATCTGTTATCAGATTTTCCATAACATGCTACATGTAGAAGCTATAGGTTACTACTTTCTTATGCATGGACGGACGGATATTGGATTTTTACAGAATGAGATAGAGGAGGAAATTTATTTGAAATCATATCCACGTTGATTCAGCAAAATCTAGTGCCCATGGATGTTTCCCTTTTGTTTTTCATTTTGTCCATTATCTCATTCTGTAAAAGTCTAATATGGCGTCCATATGAAATAAGAAAGTAGTAGCTTGTAGGCTGTTGTTTCTACATCTAGCGTGTTGTCGAAACCTTGACAACAGATTCAGATTCTTGGAAAAAAGTGCCCATATAAGGTGCTAACAGGCACTGTCAATTTCCGAACGTTTAACCTTCCTAATACCAGGTGGGGCAGCATGCCTATTTACGTGGATATTTTTGTTTTTAGTCTACTTACAGGGTTGTCCTCATAGTACATTGTTCTTTACAATCTTAGGAAGCAACTAAACCAAACATGTCTAAATTATTTTTAAAAATAATGAGATTATTATTTTAAAAAAAGCTGAGCGTACTGCATGCGGGGCGAATAATCGCCCCACGTGGTATTTGGTGTCGGTGATTTGTAATTGTAATATAATTATTGCCCACAATTATTTAGAAATTTAACGTTTATTTAATTACTGATTATGGAAATTACACTTTCGGGTTGTTTATGCAGTTTTGCATTTGGACCTAATTAATTTCTATTCATTCAAAAAATCCTTCTAGTAATATAGTTATTACTAAAAACGTTTTCAAAATTATGATATCTCACATTATTTCCTCTTTTACATCATTTTAACATTAATTTTGTCTTAAATCTACAAAAACAACACTGGGGCGAACATTCGCCCCACCTGGTATTAGGTGTTTTAAAATTGACCTGGTATTAGGAAGGTTAAGCTAAGGAAAATTAAAACGAAATTTGACATTTTCAGTGCTTATTTATAAAGGTTTCAGTGCTTATTTAAAGGTTTTTGAAAAATTTCAAATGCGTTTTTTTACTTAGAAAACTTCTCAATGGTGAGCCACGAATTTGACCCACCCTGTACATAAAAGGTTTCGAGATCCATCACATAACAGTATTCAGATAACATAAATAATCACGTTTGGCACTTAGGCACAATAAGATAATGGCAAAAGCCATTGTCTTGTATAGCCATAATAAACTCAAAAAGAGGGATCATTTATTTCGCTAATTATTTTGTCATATGAAAAATGCATTTAATACCTACAAAAACCTCAAAAGATCTCAGCATTATGTAGAAAAAGTAAAAGTTCCAGTGCTTGTGTAGGCGCAGTAAAGTAACAACTATTGTTTTTAAAGCTTGATATGTTTATGCAATTAAAAATTAGGTTTTTCATGTAAATCGTACACAACAAATTTTGCATTCTGACCTAATTTCAAAATTATAGTTCAAATTTAACATTTGAAAATATTTTGTTCTGTCCTTGCCTAAAGTTTATAAGGAATAAATGTCTAATACTTTTTTTATTTTTAAGGAAAAGCAATTGAACCCAGGCAATCATTCCCAAACGAGACTGTAGTAACCAAATTACCATCTGGTAAATTTATCGGCATTAAATACAATAGAGATCCAGTTCCACCTTTGAACAACGAATATGATAGAGCAATTTACGATGAAACGGAAGCGAAGACTGTTCTATCTTTGAAAAAACTTTTAGAAGAAGGTAAATGTGATCCAGAGACTGACAAAACACTATTTATAATGAACATCGATATTACGGAAGCAGAAATAAAAGAAATCGTTAGATTAGAGATAATAGAACATAAACAAACCAAAATCAATTTGCTTAAAATAGAGTCTAGTTTAATAGAGTGTGATGCTAAAATTAAGAAAAGTTTAACATTAGAGAGAGCTCAGCCAGTACCTGCCTTACAGTTGCTAGATCGGATGCTTCATTTGAATTTGCAACCTTTAATGTTAAAGAAACATCCACACATTGTTGATATGATCAGAAGGTTACGCCACTATATTGGCAATGTCTCGGCGTGGGATTTCACGAATGAACAGTATGAGGAATTTACTATTGCTGCAGGAGAAATTAGAAACAAAGCTGATGATGTTTTTTACAAGTTCTCTGTAAGTATTACATTTATTTTAATTACGCACTCGCATTTGCTTTTGTTCTATCAGGATTCAGGCATTATCTTAATCCACATCTTCCTTAAAAATTCCATTCTCTTAACGTTTAAGGAACAAACCTGCGTTTTTTTAATTGAAAACTTGAGTACTTTGACATTTTGTATATGGTACAGGTATATTTTCAGATTATTTGCAATTATATTGTCTAAATCTTTTCACAGGGACACCGCAATAGACACTATGCAGACCAATACCTAGTACAGTTTGCAGTGCTATAAAGTAATGATTTAAGGTTTACAATATATGATAAACAAGTATAAAAGTAGCCTTGCGATTTCTTCAATAACGTTCTTTTGAAGTAAATTTTATAATAAATTATTATCAGTGCGTTAAATAAAAGACTGTGTCCAAGATAAGGATATCTATCATGGGGATCTTTTATCACCTTTAAAGAAAACCAGAAAATTCTGATTATTTCGGAACATATGCTAGAGAAACCGAAATTTGCCGATTTGGTTTTTATTTTTTCTGATGTTATTTGAATAGATACAAAAAGAATAAAAAACACCTTCTCGTTGCGACTTTTTGAGCTCTACAACAAATCGGTCAGAGATTTCCAAAACAACGTTTCCCTTTGGAAAAATCACCATCAATTTCATTTTTTATATAGCCCTTAAAAAAGTGCATACTGTATTGAATAGCATTTTTTATTATGAATACAACCATGTGTGGCACAAAAAAAGTTGGAAACTTTTGGTTTCAACAGGATGATGCACCCGTGCACAACGCCCTAATTGTGCGAGGATACCTATCGGACAAATTTTCTAGGAAATTTGTCCAAAGAGTTTTCTCACACGGTTAGGGCGTTGTGCGCGGGTGTACCGTCCTGTTAAAACAAAGTTTCCAAACTTTCTTTTTTTGTGTGCTATACATGGTTGCATTTGTAATAAAAACTGTTACTTAATACAGTATGTACTTTTTTTAAGAGCGATATAGACCAATAAAGTTGATAATGAATACTCCGAAACGCAACATTGTACCTCTCAACCACGAACTTATAAATTAATATGGACTGCTAATGCTGAATTGACAAATGACACCTACATGGGGGCAGTCATGATGTGTACTCACTTGGCGCGAAATTCACATCAACCTCACGTTTTCTAAACAAATTACTGTGACACATGTCATTTTCCAAGGCTGCAATAGTCTCAAAACTTGAGCACTAGGAAAATTCCCCTAAAAAATAACTAAAACGTGCACATCATGGCCGCGCCCATGCTAGGGCCATTTCTATCTCTATGCAACTGTTTGATCAGCAGTCCATCTTAATTTATAAGTGCGTGCTCTCAACAGTGTGTTGGACTGCTCAAGTTAGAAAAAAATAAAAACGAAATCGGAAAATGTTGGTTTTTCTGGCATATTTTCGAAAGTAATCAGATTTTTTGGTTTTCTTTAAAGCTTGATAATAACTCTTTAATTGCGTAACTTTTCCCTAATTTTACCATCGTCGTATATTGTATGGTTTCGGAGATCACCATGGTAGACGTCCTTATCTTAGACGCAGTGTATATGCCTGTTTTTTAAAATTCTTATTTCGGCGAAAGTGCAGGAATTAGCTAAATTAGGAATTATTTTATTTTATTTTATGCTCTACCAACCCAACCCACTATACATTTACAAATATCCATGCCCGAACCAGGGACCTTTAGCACCACAGTTCAGCTTTAACTGAACTGGGCCACACAGGCACTCATTTATATGTTTTTATAAAAGTACACTGGAGTATGCCGTGATAATAAAAAACAAAAGAATGTCCGAAAGTAAATAAGTGTCGTCAATTAATTATTTGCCGCATGTGTACTTTTTGGTAGTAAAATAAACTTATTTAAAAAGGTGAATTTCAAAAAAGATGAACTAATCTTATTTTACTACAAAATCGTAACAGTAAAACAATAAAAAATTAATTTGTGACACTTATTTACTTTTGGGCAAACTTTTGTTTTTTATTATCGCAGCCTACTCCGGTGCATAAACATGTAATTAATATTAAATAAATATTGATTAACGTAAGAACTACGAAGTTTAGACACAGCGCATCGCTTATAAAAGTTCGCAAAAGACTCGAATAACGAAATACATATAATAGTGGTAGTTCTATTTGAAAAAAATATACTCACCCATTATAAGTTTGCCTCGTGTCGCGGATGTGAATCGTGACCTTGGCGATATCTGGATGTTTAATAGTTACAAAAGTTATTGAACAGTGGCGTGGAAAATTTACTCGTCATAATAATTGTACCTATCTAGAGGCCTTGTTTATATATTGCTAAATGAAAGAATAAATTAAACAAATCATTTTATTGGTTATGAATACACCTATACCTACCTAAAACCATTGTAATATACAAGTATTGAAAAAGGTTATTGCAGGTCTGACTTTTAATAAACTAGAAAGAAACTCAATAAGCATTATTTATATTTATATATATGAGTGTGAAGTGAGATAAAATACAAACAAAGTAAAAGCGCTGATTCCAATCATGCGTCTGTCTCTCTCCCACTCATGTAATGCGAATTGGGTTTCTTTTTAGCTTAACAACAAACCTGCAATAATCTTTTTCCATACCTGTATGTCAGAAATGTCTATTTACATTTTATTCTGCCCTTAAGAAATCACGTGACATTTTCAGCATTTCCATTTTGAAAATGTGAAGACCGGCTAATTCCATTGCAATTATTGCAGGAACTGTGTGATGTAACCACAATACTACAAGGAGTATTATGCCTTGACGAAGAAGTTTTGTCCTGAACACTTTGTGGCAGCTCTTTTCTAATGTCATGGATATTTTCAGAAATATAAGGAATTTCTATCTCCAACGATACTCGGTGTGTCCTCTTCAGTAATGACACACCCCTCGATCCTGTAAAAAAATGTTTAAATATAATTTATTTTGTGTATCAGCATACTTACATAGGTATATTTGGTAGCCTGTGGGCAACATGGGGAAAGCGTGCCTATTGCATTACAGATTTTGCTGTAGTCTCCCTTCTTTTTGTAGAATATTCTTTTCTTCTTTGGTGATACTAACCTTGAAGTATTTGCCACTTGGTGTTGAGCAACTTGCTGCAAATTTAATTATATACAGTATGCCCCGAGATGAGGTGCACTATACCTATAATTGATATTTATTTCAAGGAAAACTAAATGGTGCATTTAGACTTTTGAAACAAGAAGGACTTTTTCTCGAAAAATGAACCTCATCTTGGGATACACTGTATAATTGTAATGCAAAGTCTAGAAACTTACCATCTTCACTGGAAAATTATTTCATTGGTTTATCTAGGTTATCATTTAAAACAAAAAAACACAAATTTGGCAATTACTCTGAACACAATATTGCTATAATTACTGTATTAGATGGCACTTAATTCGATTTTTGGGTTAGTAACCTAAGTTTTTTTTAGGAATTATTCAACATGCCCAATGAAACAGTATTCTGGGAAGTATTCAGTGATGAAGTCGATAACTTCAAAGAGCAAGTTAGTGGCTTGAGTGAAAGCGTAGTATTTTCGCTTACATCCGAACCAAGTAAGTTTCCACTGATTTTACTATAAAAAAAAAGTGTGTTCAAATAATTCATCTTTAGAAGAGTAGTTATTTTGTCCATTTCTGTTCAATGAATCGTTCATTCAAACTCCTGTAGCATTGACAGCCAGTGTTGTTATTATGTCCCTGTCGAGCACTCACGAATGTGAATCTTTGTACTGGGATACACAGACACGTTTTAAACAATGGCAATAAAACCAGGCTATAGTATATAAACTATAATATGTGAACTATGGTTTCTAAGCAAAATTATCTTCTTGTAACATATTTACCTCATTAGTGACCGATTTCACAAACAATGGTTAAGGTTAATAAATGATGAAAAATTTTAGAATGGGAAGCCTCTTACCTTATAATCAAAGGTAAACATTCTAATATTTTTAATTAACAATTAACCTACTCTTCATTTGTAAAATCGGGCATTGGTGTCTGCACAAACTATTAATTATTTGCTTAAGATTGTAGGCAATCATTTTTGAATAAAATTGAGGACGACGAGGAAATGAAGATAATAGTTTCCAGAATGGAGAAAACTAAACCAGAGACTGAAAATGTACGTATTTGATATGTGAATGTCATCTAATCAATTGCTCATTTTAGGGTAGCTAAGCAACATAAATCACACCTATATATATGTGGAGTTCTATTTTATTGTTAATGGAGACTTGCTTGAAGAATGTTCACTTAATTGATTTGATGGATTCAAAGCAGTACTCAATGATAATTATTGTATATGTACCACCTACATTGTTACAATTGTTTTATTATTTTGTATTAACAGAATTACAATATTTTAAGTTTTATACACACTATATGATAATCGTACATTATATACCAAGGTAGAGAAGTCCAGTATTATTACCTGAGCACCAAGATTACATCCCGAGGCGCTGGCGCCGAGGGTTGTAAGGTGTGAAGGCAATAATAGACTTCTCCACCGTGGTATATATACTATTTTTTTTACTACTAGTACTTGAACTCCTCTAAATTAACATATATTGTTAAGAATTGTGAACGGTTGGACAGCATTTTTTGTTTATTAATTTAACATGTCATTTAAGGGCGTGGAAGTAAGGTGGAAGGCCGTATATTGTCTTGTCATTGCGATATTTTCAGAGTAATTTCGTTCGAATTTTTTGAAAATGTGATAATTTTAAGTATGTAATTTCTCTGGAAATGATGGATGGTGGCAATTATTCATTTTAGAGAACTTGTCTAAACGTTTATTGAGAGAAATTTCGGGTTGTGGTTTCTAAAACTGACGGCGTGACAGTTCTCGTTGCTAACTACTGGTTAAAAATGTCCACTTTAGTAACCCCTTTGAACAACTGCCGAGAAAGCCTACTTTACAAGTGGAAAAAAGGTTAATAATCATGTCATCAGACGCTAGTAGTGAAAAAACATTTTTTTTCTATTTCGGTGTCACAATGATGATTTTGTACAACTGTTTTCGGGTACAAAGACAGTGATTATAGTCGTTTTTTTTAAGTTGGCAGTTACTAGTTAGTACAAGTAGGTACTTCGTTGGGTACTTCCATGTTTGAACTTCAAAATGTCAGTCTTACTACGCTGCCAAGTGCCAACCTAAAACTTAACGGCATAAAAAGTGTTCCCAACATAAAACATGTTAGTTCTAATGTTCCCTATAGTTTCTGATAATGATTTTTTTTATTAAATTAAAGCACCGAAATAGAAAAAATAGTATGAAAAACGCGTGTTACAATGCTTTATTGTAATACTCCTATCTTGCGGACACTCGTGGCTACGCTTCGCGTCGCCACTCGTGCCACAAGATACTCGTATTACAATAGGTCGCATTGTAACACTTGTCTTTCAATATACTATTATATTACAGAATGTTGACCTTGTTCTATCTGGAAGTAACAATGATAAATTACAATAATGATTTATAACAATTATAATTGTCACGGAATGATATGCCATTTATAGTGTAACATAATCATATACAGGGTGATTTTTTGTCACTTTCACTATGGGGATCTCATAAACCGTAAGAGATACAAAGTTGCTTAATTGAGCAAAGATATACAGAATTTTATGCTCATTCACAGTACCTCTACAAACAAGCAAAGTGAAAGCTAAAAAACTGTAGTCATTTTCGAGAATGCGCTGGCGTTCCCTTATTTTCAAAGATATGAAAAAATAATATTAACAAACCCTTGGTGATTTTTTCTGAGTTTTCTGATGCTACTAAAGTAACATACTGTGACTAGTAGCTTACAACTTTCTTATGGAAGCCATATGGAATTTTCATTTCACTTGATAGACTGAAATCTAATATGACATTCATAAGAGTTGAGGTGATTTACTTGTAGCCCACAAGTCATAAATGGTTTATTTGTTGATACCTTTGAAAATAAGCGAGGGCCATCGCATTCTCGAAAATGACATTTTTGGGTTTTTTTAGGCAGAACTTTGCTATTTGTAGAGGTACAAGAAACTTTGAATGGGAAAATTAATCAGCATAATAGTCTGCATAACTTTGCCCATTTAAGCAAATTTTTGTCTCTTATGGTTTATGAGATACCCATATGAAAAAAATCACCCTGTAGGCAGTGAAAATGGTACCGAAAGAATATGAATTCTGAAAGCTTATAATATAGGGTGTAGAAACGTTTTCCGTTTATACAGGGTAGTGACTTGCGTAACGCATCATAGGGATTTCAATGTAAAATTCATAACATGCGATTATTGTCTCCCCAAATTATTTTAGAGCAAAAATGTATTAAGGTTTTTTGTAGAAAACATTTTTTTACGTCAATCAATCGTATTAGTTTTCAATTTTTTTCATATAAGGACGGAAAATTGGAAAAATAAAACCCGCATCTTTTTCAATAATCTGCAATGCCATGGAATTTTCTAAAACAAAAAGATATCCACTTATCAATTAGCAGCAGTTCGAAATGGCTTTTATGATCGACTTGGTTACTGTATTGCAGTTAATTGTGACTTATTCGAACAATTATTGTAAATTGTTATATTAGGAAACCGTTTTTAGTAATCTGCTCTTTCTTTATGTTGAATTCGCTGTTCTAAATATAATACTTTTTCTACAATCGATATCCAAAGTAGGCATTTGCGCTCGTATTTGACAACGCAAACGTCATCTTTTTCGAGGAATGTCACTTTGTCGCTTAGAAAAAACGCTCGCTCTTCCAATTATTAACTATAAATCAAATATGCATTGCTCAGAGTATCCAATGACAACGAGTAAATGACATCTTTCATTTGGACATAAGATTAAAATAATCTATGATTTGAGTGAAAAATTTAAATTTTTGGAAATATGTGAACTGCTCGATTGTAGAAAAAATCTTGTGTGTAATTCGAGCGCAAATTGATTGTCGATTTCAAGACATTACCGCACTCCTTCGTCAACTGTCTCTTTCAATCGACAATATATCATTTTGCGCTCTTAATACACAAATAGCTATTTTGATAGAATTTGATTTGTTTTATAGCAGACATTTCATAGCATGACGGATATTGACGTAATTTTTGTATTATGAATTTCCATGGCATCACAGATTATTGAAAAAGATGGGGGTTTTATTTTTCCAATTTTCCGTCTTTATTATGCAAAAAATTGAAAACTAATACAGTTGATTGACGTAAAAAAATGTTTTCTGCAAAAAACCTCAATAAATTTTAGCTCTAAAATAATTTGGAGAGCCAATAATCGCATGTTATGAATTTTACATTGAAATCCCTATGATGCGTTACGCAAGTCACCACCCTGTATAGGGATTTCAGTGTTAATTTCTTTATATCGAAATATTTTCTCCCCTAATTTAGAGCAAAGTTGTAAATAGGTTTCTTCTACCTTGAAAAATTCTGCGTTTGGTCAATGTCCTCATTTATTATTTTTCAATTCAGGAAACCGGAAAAATTAAATAAATGTAAATTTCTAGTACACTGCATGGATTAATTTTTGTTTCAATGACACCAATGATTTTTACTAAAATGCTAATTTATACTTTCCTTAATTTCTCCGATTTCCTACAACAAAAAATTAAATGGACATATGAATAGATGCAGAATTTTACAATTTACAAAGAATATCTTCACAACCTTCCTGTAAAATAATTAGGGGGGGAAATATTTGAATATAAAGAAAATTGCAATACCTATGGTTCGTAACCAATTCTACACCCTTTTGTTTATATCTGGATAATATACTAATCTACTCAAAGACCGGAAATTGTCAAATATGGGAAATAATTCGTGTAATTGGCATAGTTTTAGGTAAAGGCGTCTTAAACAACATACTAAAAGCCCTGATGGATGGAGGTGAAGCTAATAAGTGTGTGGGGGGGGGGGGGGTGTGGGGGGGGGGGGGTTGTCAATATCCCTTTTTGTAGTTTTTCGTAAATACCTTAAACTGCGTAACTGCAATCTGGAATCTAAAAAAGTGATGTTTCTGTGAATTCCGCTATATTAACCTAACAAAAAATTGTCCGGTCTTTGAAGTTGACGATAATCTGAACCTTTTTTGTTTGACATTTTTCGTGTATCTCTAAAAATGAAGTGGTGGGGGGTATTCAAAAGTTTCCGTAAAGAACACCTTGTATCTTCGAAACGACTGAGCCGATTTTAACAAACTCGGGTTAATCGAAAAGAGTTATTCTTCGGCTATAAATATTGTAATATTTGAAGTTTAGTTAGTTTGGCATATCGCCGCTTGAAGGCTTTTTTCGACATTCCGACAGAAATGGTTAATTTTCTCAAAAAAATTAAATGCGTTGGTTTGATTTTTTTTATGAAAAAGTAGCTAAATGATGCCTAAACAAGCTCGCGAAAACCGCATCTCGTTATTTTGTTCCTAACCTAAAATTTTGTACCCTCAAAATTTTATTTTTTTAAGGTAATTTTTCCGGAATTATTTTTATTATATAATTTGTGGCCCTAAGGTGGATCGATTTAAAAAAGGAAGCTTTTAATGCCGCCGTAAATGCGCGAAATCCTGGCCATCACGATATAAAAATATATATATCTCAAGATATCGAGATACTGTTTTCGCGAGCTTGTTTAGGCATCATTTAGCTACTTTTTCATGAAAAAAAAATCACACCAATGCATTTAATTTTTTTGAGAAAATTAACCATTTCTGTCGGAATGGCGAAAAAAGCCCTCAAACGGTGATATGTGAAACTAACAAAACTTCAAATAGTATAATATTTGTAACTGAAGAATAGCTCTTTTGAACTAACCCGAGTTTGTTTAAATCGGCTCAGATACAGGGTGTTCTTTACGGAAACCTTTGAATACCCCCCACCACTTCATTTTTAGAGATACAGGAAAAATTGTTCACATTATCTTCAACTTCAAAGACCGGACATTTTTTTGTTAGGATAGCTGAATTCACAAAAAAATCACTTTTAGATTCCAGATTGCAGTTACGCCCCCTAGCGGTCATTTCAGAAACTTAAAAATATTTTCCAGATTTTGCTCGTGGCCGTTTTAGTAATAAATTTTTTTACCGCGAGCCTCTACGATGGATAGATTCTCAGATATAGTACCTCGCATTCTTAGTTGGCCACCCTGTACATTCTACATAGATGATTCGGTACACTTTTTCGAGAAGAGATCAATATGTAATGAGATATGGAGGGAAGATGGATAATAAAACAAACAATGTAAGTATGGCATGTATATTGTATAGTCCTAAAAATAGAAATCCTAATCATCTTTTAAATCTCCCTTGTAAATATAAACACCAATTACTTACAGTTGTTTATAACGGCATCACACAAATTCATTAGGTACATGAACATTTATTCAC